CCTAACATCTGCTTATTTTCAAGAAAATGATCAAAATGATCAGAATAATACTTACATGACTATTCACGCGTTACTTCGTAACACTCTCTCATCTTGGTTGCAGATAGCACCTGGATTAGATAGCTGGAATCCAGTTACTATAGGCCGCTCACAGCTTCCCTCTCCTGATTTCTCACCCTCAGGAAGGCCTTGACATCGAGTGTCCTACCCCCTGAAGTGGCGGTCAGCCTAAAACCTTTACACTATTTGCATATACTTTGTAAATGGAACCCGGGCCTGTCAACACCTTAGAACCCTAAATATAAAATGGAATCCGGGAGGGTTCCAACACACGATTTTGGATAGCTTACGATAGCAAAACTAGCTGGGCTTGACAAAATATTCATAACATAAACCTTTGAGATAACAGTTTTATTTGGGGATTTCTCAGCTCTAATGAACTAGAATTATAGTATACAGCCTCCATGTTATAGACATATGGTGACAAAGGAGTAAATAGAGATAATTGCAGACAATAGAGTACTAAGCTGGAGTTCAATGCTCGCAGCAGAACTAGACGTGCTAGGGGTGGTTGCAGTTGAGCTTGTGATACTAGCACTACTAGTTCCCGTGTTACTGGCTGCCCCATTAGTACTATCAGTAATGATGGCACTAGTTGTACTAGACCCGCCACTATCCACCGAAGATGTTGAAGCAGAGGATCCAGATGGTGTAAAATTGACTACCGTTCCGTCAGGGTACCTGTAGACTCCAGTGTCATAGTCAATGAAGGTTCCGTCAGATCCGTAAAAGGTTCCGTTATTTAGGAATGCTATAGACCCATCTGAGAAATACAGCCTCGTTGTTTGTGGATTCTGCAAATATCAGCAAATCATCTATTATATAACATTCTGTAGGTACTAACATAGCAAAATGGAACATTATTGACATGTAAGCACTCAATCGGTGCCGGTTTGCAACATAGCGAACCTTGACGTTTTTCAAAGACGTTATACCCGTCATTTAAGAAAGGATAATCATCTACAACATCGCGACGAACGATTGGGCTCATGGCTGCACTTTGCAGGCTAGACCAAAAACCACTGCCACCGGTTGGAGTAAGTGAGGGAGGTGCATAAGCAGTGCTGGCGCCAGGCGCAAGACACGGAACATAGCCTGATGTAGCACACTGTGCATGCACAGATACAGAGAGGGAAAGAAAGGTAAGAAAGGGAGATAGTCTGAGCATTCTGGCGTGAGAAAAAAATTGAGATTTAAAGTTGGAAGAAAAGACAGGCTCAGCATTCAACATAACTCTTCTAGTTATATAGGACTGACAAAGTAATGAGCCTTTGTTCGCTACAAATCTAGAATAGGAAATTTAAATTAGCTTAACCCCATTTGATCTCACCGGTGCTAAAGGTGTGCGCTGGATGTGAGGCTGGAATTATAGTGGCGTAGATCATGGGCAACGCTAACGGAAGTGTAGCGAGCCGTTAAGCGAAATCTGTAATGGTGTATCGAAATTATGCGATTTTGCAGAAAGCTTGTCCAATTGCTTGAATCTAATTTTAACATAATCTGCAGGTTATTGGCCAGCATATCACTGTGCGGCTGAGTTCAGGGAAGAGGAAGAAATGCGAGTACAAAGTAGGCTTAGCATGTACGCCTAGGCCTTCTTTTGCTGCGCCAGGAAAAAGGATATTTTGGATTGAGGCCCTGGACTTGAGCTTTGAAATGGGAAAAGAGTGAAGGTTGAGCGGCCTCAGATGTGATTGAGGCTGTGAAACCATAATCGAATAACCGATGTCGAAATATCCAGGCATAGGCATGGCGGTAGATAAAGATCATCGCCTGCACTCGCCCGCAGGCATTAGACAAGGTGAGCATCGTCACTTACAATTTTGTATCTAATAGTAGTCGTATTATTAGACCTCAACCCGGTAGCGTGTTGAACTTTGAGTTGAATTTTCTAAGTGATGTGCATCTTGTTCAAGCTGTACTTCTCACTGCGATAATAGCACAACTCCTGTAGATTCTTCCAAAGATGGTAGCTATGGCAGCCAGAACTAACAGGATAACTTACAAGGAATCTTGGTCTTGACTCGATTAGCTGATAATTTTCTCAAACGTCTGTCACGGTGCCTGCGTTGTTGTTCGGTATGATCCACTTTCTCCGTAACATAACTACTTCACCGGGTCAACTAGGCATAAGTTCGCAGAATAAAGCCCATCGACTGTCAAATAATCAGATAGTAACATCCATTTGCGGTATTGGCTTCATAAACTGGTGAGAAAGACCGTACATCTTAGGTAGCAGCGCGAATAAGGGTACCATCCGGGACCACACCGTTTAACATAAGAGCCCATTACCAAATAAAGGTCATACTACTAGTACCACAGCCATTCCTGTAGTGTATAGCACTTTGCAGCTTGTGCTCGCGAAATCTATTTGTGCAGGCTCGAGATTAATACTTACAACAACACTAATCATTTTCTGCTCGAGTTTCTCACCAACACAAAATGATCTCACCGCATTTGCAAGTGCGATGGCATCATCCCGACAAGCCATAAATACATCCATCGGTCTCGATAACGAGCTTCTGGTAGGACGATCCTAAGAAAAGGCGAACACAGATCATATGTGAAGAAAGTGTCTAAGTGAGGCAAACAAGTTTCTTAAAGGTCTCTATTCTCCGCTATGTATAACAACAAGTGGAGAATCGTGAAACAAAGTGCATCAATTGCTTTGAAATCAACAAGAACAAACTTGGGAGCGGGTTACTCAAAGAAGCGCCGCAGAGGCGAAAAGCTAAGTGAGGGCCTGATTCATAATGCTATATCAGCTCAAGTGCTTATCTCAAGAAGGCATGCTTCCCAAAAAACGCCACCAATCGTACAAATGTCACATTTTGCTGCGCTTAGCCCATTCAGTAACGCTTGCTTTGAGAACTGACTTTACTCCGATCTTTTCTCGGACTCTGGCTCGGAAATCGAAATCTCCGCGAATCGGTAGCTTCAGAAAGATGTCGAGACGGAGCGTTCCCTATGCATGAACGTCATGTACTGTACGTGCTAAAATAATGAGCCCAAGAACGACTTGAGATTGAAAATTTATTTATCATAAGCCAAGGCTATCTTGATTTCTGTATGCGAAGTTCTCTTCAGAGGGCTCAACTATGTCAGTGTTCACAATCCGAATAAACTACAATCAACTAAGTTAGGCTGCAACTGGAGGCGCCTACTGTAATTACTTGTATTCTCGGCAAATTGCCTCTCGTCATGGTCTCCACTTGTCGAGAATGGATGTTTTCTATTGTTCTTTCCATTTTCGCTACAAATACTTGATACTCGTCCACATAGACTTTGCATTTTGCGTTGGTATTCTCCATACAAGGTTGGCCAATTGCAAGGTTTGCAACAGGTTTCATTCTTCAGCCTTGTGAGTTGTTCACTAGAAAGCATTCTGAATCCCACGGATCTATCCAGCTTTGTGCAAAATGTCGAATAGATCCTAGAGATCGCATGCATAGCTTTGTTCGGACTATGGTGGTGAAGACTCTCATGATGGCCTATAGCGCCCCGAAGGTTTATGAATGCCACAAATGTCGAAATGACACTGGTATCGAAGCTATGTCCAGACTCTGCCTGTACCAGAAAATCTTACCAAGATAATAAGGAAAACGGAGCATCCTGGAGCTATCAAGAAACGAGGCCCAGACTCAGCGCTTTTCTCAAAGTTGTCAAGTTGATGAGCTACTGAGCCAATAAAGTTGTATCTTTGAGTCATCGAAACATCTACCTCTCATGTACGTCAAGATTTTTTAGTCGACGGCAGCAGTGATTTGTCCCGATGGGGCTCGATATATACGTTAGAGCGAAGCGCGTCAAGATATTCGTTCGGCGGAATTGGGATGATCCGAGCGCTCGTAGTTAGCAACTGCCTTGAATCTAAAGGAACTTGAAGAGGTTACGAAATTTAAAACGCGAAAACATCTTCCCTTGATAGTATTTTCAGAGCCAAGGAGATAGCATTTACTGACGCAGAGGGATGGACGGAAGAAAACTCTTTAGAGAGAGAAACGATATTGCTGGATCATATGTATTGGGCGGATGCCGAGATGAGTTGAGAGGGTAACTTAGTTGTCCTTCGAGTGAACTGAATTCAAATAGGTTATAATTCTGACTCTGCGCAGGTCATAAGCTGGTGAATACATAACCTACTAACTTAGCTACCATTACTGCCAGTATTCCGTCTATGAGCTTGTCAGTCTAAGCGTTGGGCCCAGTGGACACTCGCTGACCTGGCCAAGCTTTGATAGTCCAGTTCATTTTTCTGAAAAGGTCAAATACAGCAACAGTGCGAGCGGGCTCTTGACCCAGTATTGCCGACTGAGCGAAACAAGATTTGCAAATAAATCATTTCCCTCCTGCAAAGTCCAAATGCAGGGAGCACGCGAATTCGACCGGAAAGAAATCCTTTCATACGTATACCAGTATTACGTGCACCGTACAGCAGGGAACATTCAAGATAAAACGTCGGCTTGTGGGAGATCCAAAGAGATCTCTCTTCCGCTTCCAGTGGGCGCTTTGATTCTCACAGAATTGGCCACCCGAAGGGTGAAGATTCTCTGCGATAGAGATACTTGCTGCTCTTACTTTCGACCCGTAAGCCTGCTATGTGGCGGGAATGTACGTGTTTGGAAATGCCGTTCAGATGTAGTTTTAGAGGAACAATGTTCCATTTCTTACTGTGCACAGACTCTGATACGCACTTTGAACGCGATACCATATTGAATCAAATAATTTTGATTTGCATTGCGGAAGCAGCGTCCATTTTCTCTTAAGAAGGCCTACCAGATCTATCCAGATTGTTCAATGGCCAGAATCTTTGCTTTGCTAAATCTCGATAAAAGAAATGCTACTACTGGATTTACTATGATCCGTTCTGAAAATAAGGGTTCCAATGTCATATCCTTGTTGTGCTCAGGTTATGATTTTGCAATTAATCTGACATTTCGTCAAATCACAGTCCATTTTGGACTAAGCGCACCGTCGAATTCCGCAATCAAAGTATCGATTACTGGTTCCAAAATTGAAATTGGCCAACCGGACATGAGTGTGGGAATAGACACGTCCACCTTCTTGCAACCGGGACTAACTGGCACACCTGCGTGCCTCTCTTTCATCCACTCAAAGGCACCAGGGAAGTCTGTTGGTGTAGGGTCAGTACGAGGCACAGCTTATGATATTACTCGTACGTACTAACTACAGACTCTGTCGCATGCGCTAGACCCAGTTGAGACTCTTCATACTGGGGAATATTGTAAGTGATCTTATGGTTACAATGGTGTTTAGGCCGGCATGCTTACGTAGATAGTGGCACCTTGCGCACAGTATTTCTCGTACAGGGCGCGAGTGAGATTTATTGGGGATACTTCATCTGCAGCTGTCTGCACACAATTTGATCAGTATTGGTATTCGCAGAGCTCAGCACATGTTTCTCGTACCTCATACAGATACCAAGGAGCCTTTGGCGTCGAGTGTATGCCCATCGTTGCTAAAGACATGTTACCAACAGGCTTCGGTATTTAGATAAAGGGTTATTTTACTTGAGTTGTACAAGATGGAGGAGGGAATCTCATCACTCCATGCGTCGCATCCGCGTGTAAAGTAACTGCAAGTCGGGATCGTCGTATATTTGTCTGCGATTCCCTGAATGCTTAGTGTCTCCGCCAGCCAAAAGTCGGCTGCTTTTTCCGGGATCAAATTTTCATCGAGCCAGCTTGATAGTTGAGGATAGTCGTGAGAAAGGCCAACAAGTGTGATCGGGCCCCAAGCAAAGTATCCAGTCCCTTCTCTGATGAATTCTACGTCTGTTAGCCTTGGAACCGAAGCAAGATAGCAAGATCTCTGGAGAACATAACCTACCAGAAAGATATGTAAAGTTGGGAACTAAGCCTCCAAGTGCGATTCCGGCTATGTCAAGCTCTGGAGCATAAACAGGATGTAGTTCTCCCGTCCATGCGGCAGAAATTCCGCCCCCCGAGTAGCCGTTCAATGTGATAATCGCGTTAGATGATAATCCAGTAATATGCTCCGACTGTAGCATCGCACGCATGCTATCAAGTGTCGTATATGCCATAGTAGGGCCCGAAGGAAAACTAGCTTCAGGTCCATTGTCGTCAGGCACGGCGACTATCCAACCCTGATCAAGAGCCTCGACAAGCGGGCCAATCTGCTCCTTCGTAAAGAGCATGGGATAGCATGGTCGCAATGTCATCTCGAGCGAGGGATTGTAGTTCGGACAAGGCGTGTCTGAGAAATATATATAAGAGAATAAATGATTGAAATTGGGGGATTCGGGAATAATGGCCGTAAGCACGTTTGCAATCGGTGTACCTGCAGCATTCTGAGTCCGGTACTGAATCTGATACATTTCTTTCACTGGAATGGCAACTACGTTGTCTAGAGACAACGGTCTTGGAGCAGGACGCCATTTTAGAATTCCGCCGGGTGGGACCGACGTGAGATTATCAGGTGCAGCGTACCAAGTGTCGTTTCCCGGCAGTGGTGGAGGTGGGTGCCGCTTTTCCAGCTGGTGAAGAGCAGTGGAAGTTTCCGCTGGTGAGCGATGCCATGGATTGATCGTTGGCGACATAAGAACGAGTGACGGAAATAAGGCAAAGAGGATTGACTTTGCCATCTTCGAGAGAATAAGAACGCAAGAACTGCTGGAGCTTCAGAAAGCTACCCAAGCAGTGAAGCTGGTACGGCAGCTCCTAAAATAATATGTCAACTTTAGGTCCTCCATGGCTCGCAATCGCACATGGCTCTGTATTGCGTATGCAAGACTGCAGTAGCCGGCGGTTCATGTTTCTGTTCCACTAGAACTAAAGCCCTCACTTTACGCCACATTAAAGCACGTAGAGAGACTGAAGATCGACTCTAAATTCGGACCTAATTAAGGTCCACACCATGTTTGGCTTCGTATGTTTCCGTGTATGGTGTCGAATAAAAGATTTTAAGAGTCAAGTCTTCTCTTGAAGCCTGTGCAGATCTCGTAGGGATGGGCCTGTTTCGGCTAATGGACGAAAGAGAACCTCAGCCGAATCTATATGTGAGGCAGGCATGTGCAAATTCCTAGGTTCATAATGAGCAATTTGATCCTCGGGAAGGAATTTTATCGAAACTTCAATGCCGTCAGCTTGAATGCAGCGGCTCGCTACGATATGAATGATATCATGCACCGTTCCACCGGGGAGCGGATGCGAGGAAAATGAAAAGCACCTTTGGCTCCCCGCACGCCAGTCAAGGGTATCATCATGACTGCTCGCTGTTGCGTACTCTGCTGCGCTACCGCTGCCAGGGGAAGTGAGCGCAGCCAGACCACCGTGCTGGTTTCATGCCAATGGATGACGGCTGTTCTTCGTGATACGGATCTTTGTCGATCGGATTTTCTGGCCCTTACTGACTATCAAATGGCACGTTGTCCTCTCGCATCTTATCATAGGCTCATCAACTTCTTTTCTAAACAAAGTAACTGGATTCTACGGCGTTTTATTAAAGGCCACTCCGCCACCATCTCTACTGCGGATCGACGCCCGTCGATGGATTTTCAATGGACCGAGCGGCCTGCACAAGTGCTTTCTTTTTAGCGTGAAACAAAGCCATCGCAGGTGATGAACTTCCCAGCCGTCACATTAGACATAAGGATTCGTAAACAGCCCTCAAATGAAAAAAAAATCCTCCTCGGTTATGTTCAACACACTCTGCAAAGCCATTGGAACAACGGCTCCAGACGTGAGAAATCTGGGGATCTGGCAGCTGATTTCGCCATTCTTGAGCGTACCCCTCGTTTTTCCCCACCGACCTTTCATTACTCTGAAAGCTCAACTCGTACGATTGCGCAAGAGTTTATCTTCCCTTATAAACAGGCTGCGCATCGCAAACGCAGCTCGTTTCCTCCCTGACCCTAGTCATCCGTATTGTGGCTTGAACCTGGGGAAAGCACAGGCTCAGAGAGCTTCATGGCACAAATTCACAGTGGTTACCAGAATCACATGGTCAAGCGCGTCGTAAGTGCAGCAGCTATGACAATGGCAAATTCATATTTGGTCCCCTTGGCGCAGTTTTAATATCTCCATAATTGGAGGCGTCATTCAAACTGGGCACGAACTTGCAAGTTCTCCTCCCCAATGAAGCGACGGATTGACGACACAATAAGCAGACTTCGTCATAAAAGGAGTTCTGGCTTCGATGGGTGCAATATATGAAGGGTGAAATACCATGGGGGGAGGCCAAAGGAAAGGTAAAGGGAAGGGGGAACTCCCTAGTTCTTAACACGGTCTATTACAGCGAGTTAATAAACACTCATTTTCAATGTCTTCTATGTTCATGGAATTCGCCCATATTGAGTCCCATGCCAGCGCTGGCCTTTTTTAAGACCACTTTGCGGAAGAACTCTTCTCGGGCTATCGCCCTCATCTCCTTGACATACTCCTTCACGCCAATTCTTCCCCTGTCCAATGCCTTTCCCAACGCCAGTCGGACATATCTCGCGGCCTGCTCTTCCGCCACAGCATTGTATACCTGTTGGCCGACAACAGTTGGACAAATGATAAGAGTATCGATTTCAGGCCGCCTTTGAGTTGCTGCGTTGGCAATAGAAGAATCGATTTGCGTCAAACCTTGTCGAAGAGCTGATTCGTTGCCATCGAGGATGGAGGACAGCTGAGTGAGGGATTCGATCTCAGCCTGAAGTGTTTGTTGCGCGTTCATGAGTGCATGATGCTGCGCAATTAGAGATTGTACGGCAGCGTTGTTGTTTGCAATAATCTGACCGGCTTGCGAGCAAAGCGCCTGCGACAGAGCGTGGAGAAGAGCATCTTTTTCAGGGTTTGGTGGAACAGGTGGCACAGGTAGTTTTTCAGCTGGTTGACTCTGGCCTGGAAGCTGTACATCTAGAGGAGAGGAAAGCAAGTCAATCTGAGGCTGCGGAGGTGGTCGACGGGGGAAGTCTTGCTCTATTGGGTGTTGATAAGGATGCTTTTGGGAAAGCTGAAGGTGGCTTTGGGGTATCGGTTGAGGCAATGGCTGCGGTGGCTGGTAAGGAGCATGCGGAGGGCGAAATTGAATATCAGCTGGAATATGTTGCTCTGCATATTGCGCCGGTTTAGGTGGAACATTACTCAAGGACATGCTCGGGCTCACTGGACTCTCTAGCTCGTGATGCGATTGTTGCTGAGAGCGCACGTGGGGGGGCAGAATCCTGACTGGCAATGGCCCGTCATTTCTGCTTCCCTGTCGTGAATCAACTGACGTCTGCGCTGGCACGTAGGTCGCATCTTGCCAGTGCTTATTCGGGACATAACCATCCCCTCGGACGCGTGACAGCGAAATCGGAGGCATAGAAGCACCATGGCTTGACTGTCGAGCTCGTTCATCCGTTGGATTTATTGACAACGACCGCGAAGGGTCCACGTCCTTTGGAGGGAGCGGAGGAGGAACTTCGCCATGCTGTCGTGGATAGTTCGTACTATCAATGGATGAATGCGAAGTTGGCTGTCGAGACTTCCTCCACTCCTCCGGCGGAGGAGGTAAGGGTGGAGGCGGTGTTGGGGCTGTCCGAGCTACCGATTGTTGAGGACGAGCCTGCTGTGTATGTTGCTTCGAGACGACCGGTGGCTCTTTAGCAAATACTTCTCGAAGAATGGCCACAAGATCCAGCAAGCTAGACTTCTATTCTTGCCCGTCAGCAGAAAATCTATTCAAGCGACGACGGAGATACTGACATCCCAGAAACCAGACCATTTCGCCAGGTAGGGATGATAGATCTTCCCTTCTCCACTGACGTGCTGCCCAGGTCGAACGAGCATCGTCTCGTTAGGAACCACGAATCCTATGGGAGCTTCGCGCGGGTATGCATGGGGAATCCAGAGATGAATGGGGAAGTGAAAGACCTGGCCGCGAAATTCAACAGGTATAGTGCCCGCCAATAGCAGCAGAAGTGCCGACGTGCCGTGTTCGTATGCTATCATGTGCCTCTTAGATCTCAGGTTCTATCATCAGACGTATGCGGGGAAGGTGTGCGCACTGTACACTTCCGTCTTGGGCCGTAAGGAAGGATAATGGAAGAGAAGTTGGGCCGTGTCACTGTACGTTCTGTTGATGTCATGATATTCCTGCGCCTGGTCAGCCTACGCGGCGAACTTGTTTTCAGGGGTTTTATTACGCTTGTTAGCACGCTGTACAGCCAGTTGAGGACGTTGTCCGGTACGGGGGGCATCTTGTCCGGTTTGCGCGCCAAGGTTTGTCAACGCCGACACGTTTGACTGTACAGCTATGTTCTGTGCGGGTGGTGATTTTTACGACGGCATGAGCAAGCGTATGGGAGCAATTTCAGAGAAAGGTGATGCAAGGTTCCTTTGGTGCCCTTGCAGAAATAACTGCGAGGGCGAAGGGCAAATTGATGAAGGCGACTTAAAGACTGTCCGGCGCGAGCAAGTCGGTCGTCAACCTCGTCATGCGGAGAGCTTGAGCTCGGACACCCCAATGTCCACTTTCGTCACTCCCCACAGCATCGCATCAGCGTCACGGCGGCGCCGTTATAGCAGAACACGGATTCAACGCATGTCAACCTGAGCCACAACGAACTGGGGGGGGATGTCTCTTTCAATTACGTGTGCCTGATCGACTATTGTCAATTGCAAAGGAGCAAAGGTCGTTCTCAGTATATAGACGTCGCTCATAAATCCTTGAACGTCCACAGCCAAAAAATTCCCATGTTTACAAAACAGTGCATTTTCTTTGCATCCGCGAGAACGCACTGAAAATGTCGAAGTCATGCTGGATGCATAGCGAGAGAAAGGTTGGGAGCGCAGCGTAGCCCGGCGCGCAAGACGACGAAACACAAGCCGGCTCAATGCTGGCTCCATTGAATCGAATTCAAGTCAATACCCTCCTGCACCATTTCCCACAAGGGGCTAAGCTCTCTTAAGAAGTCCACCCTCTCGCTGACAGCCTTGATCACGTAGTCAACTTCTTCCTCGGTTGTAAACCTACCAATGCCAAATCTAATGCTGCTGTGTGCACTCTCATCACTGTTGCCTAGAGCACGGAGAACATACGACGGCTCGAGTGAAGCCGACGTGCATGCGCTGCCTGATGAAAGAGCAATGTCCTTGAGAGCCATGAGCAACGATTCGCCTTCCACGTAGGCGAACGAAATGTTGACACATCCTGGGTAGTGATGTAACGCGTCGCCATTCAGATGTGTATGCCCAAGCTGGAGGAGACCAGTCTTGAGCTTGTTGGAGAGATGTGCAATCCACTTGCTATCATACTATTGGCAAAGAGTTAGTTAGTAGCGTCCAAGTCGTGAAGATTGAGTGCACATTAAGGTTCTTCATTGGCAATCATAACCCCTGCTGTTTCTCAACACAGCACGTCTGGACGAGCTTGCGCCCGTGACACCCAGCCGCGCTCTGCAAGCCATGCATGTATAAAGCTTTTTATAATCATGGAAGAAAAAAAATGCGGAAAAAACACCAATTGCTGGCAAATTAAGAAAGAAAGCACGTACCTCCATTTCCTCTTTGCAAATCCTTGCAGCCTCACCCATACCGATGGCGAGTGGTGGGGAGAGCGTCCCGCTTCTCAGACCGCGCTCTTGGCCACCACCACTGATGATCGGGTCGAGTCTAACCCTAGGCCGTCTCCGAACGTAACATGCACCAACACCTTTTGGTCCGTATATCTTGTGGCCGGATATGGACATTAGGTCAATGTTCATCTCATTAACGTTGATTGGGATTTTTCCAACGGCCTGCGCCGCGTCGGTGTGGAAAAAAACCTTCTTCGACCGGCATAGCTTTCCAATCTCTGCTACTGGTTGCACCACGCCAATTTCATTGTTGACCGTCATTATGCTAACTAGTGCTGTTTCAGGGCGGATAGCGGCCTTGAGCTGTTCCATGTCGATCAGACCGCTCTCTTGTACAGGCAGATACGTGACCTCGAAGCCCTCATCCTGAAGGTGCCTGCACGAATCGAGAACGCACTTGTGTTCCGTCTGACATGTTATGATGTGGTTCTTCTTGCCACCCTTTTTGAAGAAGCGAGCAACGCCTTTGATACTCATGTTGTTGCTTTCAGTCGCACCGCTGGTGAAGATGATCTCTTTCGGATCGGCACCTATGAGGTCGGCGATGTTTTTGCGCGCAGCTTCGACTGCCTTTTCGGTTTCCCAGCCTAACGTAGGTCAGCGATCAAGAATAGGGCAAGCATTGTGTTCCAAAGAGGAAAGTAAGGATGGTAGGCGACGGGTATGCTTGCGTAGGGTGTCAACAGAGCGACACCGCAACAAGATTGTGAACAAGGGGACATGCGGACGAGTAGCTTAGCCAACTCAGTGCTCGGGGTTGCGATCAAAGTGCTCTGCGAATAGTCAGCATCGATCGTCTCGTCGAAGATTAGAGCAGAACATACTACCATATGCGTGAGTGCGGCTGTGAGGGTTGCCGTATAAACCCGTCATGAAGGGAAGCATTGCGTCGAGAACTCGAGGGTCCATCGGGGTGGTAGCTTGCATGTCCAGATAGATCGGCCTCGTTCCTTCGTCCTAGGAGGCGCGTCAGCAATACTGAGAGAGGCGGTGCCAGGTGGGAGGGACAAGGGACATAGTGGGAGAGTACCATTATAGTTGCTTGTTTGAGCATGCCGGCGACGGGACTCATCATCGCACCAGCGTCGAGCGACTGTGCGGCAGGGACCTGGGCATCACTGGGAGCAAGACCCGACTGCTGCATAAACTTCTTCTGGTCCGCTTTGATGGCGGTTTCAACATTGACTGTAGCCTCGAGCGGATTCGTATGGGAAACATACGTCCTGCAAGACCGATGGCGACTTGTCGAGGCATGGGTGGCGGCTAGACGCGCAGTGCGAGAAAGACATGGCGACGAAGCAGCGGACCGCGAACAGGTCCGCAGAGCATGTCTTGCAGCGGACGGGATGTGTGACATGATCAAGGCAGCAGAGATGGAGAACGGTAGGCTTTGTCGATGGATGACATGCCGATGCCTGCAAGGAATAGTTGTAGGTCGCGAAGCTCGGGGCCTGCGAAGAACGTTAATGAGCATGGACAATTGTCATTGGACCGCTCCGATGCCGCAGACGACCCTACACAAAGGATGCAAGCAGCACACCAGACGGTGCAGTTCATCCACCCTCAGCCGGCACAATCTCGTTGCATTTATTCACAGTCATGAGTCCCTATTTGGGGAAGAGAAATGGATTGGATTTTGATTTGGCTCTAGGCCTGCAGCTTCAGTGTGTGCGTCTGTTGGTTTTTTTTTGGTGTCGGCTCTACGTCTTTTTTGTCTTAGCCCGGCGAAGGTCAGCACGCGTAAAGCGGACTCCCGATAGTGCGGCGCTTGCTAAAATAGACTCAACGCTATCTCACGTGCCTTTCATCCCCTCATTTCGCCCTCTTTGGACGTGCAAGTGACGTCGGCGTAACTTTGAAGTGCAACAAAAATTACAAAAGTCAAGGTGGCCAGGCCTGAGAAACAAATGGGAAGAAAGAGAAAAAGCGTACGCGGGATTCCTCTCGCCAGGTGCTGCAGTGGGAGGTCGCTTCTTTGTGTGCGTGTGTGTCCGCGTACCGCATGGGCTCGTACTGAAACCGTTCCGTCAGTTCGCTACTGTAACTTAAGATAAGTTACAGTGGCTGGGAGCGCTGGTGCACGTGGGCCGTGGCTGAGCCTGAGGCTGGTGCTTGCGCTGGGCGCTTTGATTCCGCCGGTGCCGTCATCGTCGTGGGGCTCAGCCAGGCCACGGCACGTCCACAGCGTCCAATAAGTGCAGTGAATCAGTCCCGTTGTGCGGCCACTCAAGCTGCTGGCTGACGTTCCGGCTCGGGTCAACCCCCGCTGCGATGAGCATGATGATGCCAGTGATGCAAACGGCTTAGGTTCCTGTCCTGCCTGTACCACCACGACATCCACATCCCACAGCCACAACCTCATATACGTTCACTCGTCCACGTCCACGTCCTCAATTGCATCTACGTCTGCGATAACAACGACACCACCCGCCATCACTCTCCGTGCACATCCTGTCCTCGCCCCTCTGCCGTCCCCACAGCGCAACCAAGAGACCTGTCCTTCCACACATCAGCCACATCGTGGAGCCACAGTACTTTCGCACACAACTCCTCCCTCTTCCTCTCAACAATCCCCTCCCTCCGTCTACTCGCAGGCCGCACGATTCTCTGCCGTGCTGAGCAGCCATGAGCTGGAAAGGGTATGCATACATTTATATTGCCCTCTTTCCCGGCGCCATCTCTGGTTTTTCCAGCGCTATTTTTTTTCCTGTTCCTATAGCCGGTGCTGCCGGTCCTGGTTGCGCAGGAGCTGACGGGTTTGTGTTCTAGGTTTACCAAGCAGGTGGCACGCGCTCCGCAGACAGTCAAGCAGAAATTCAACCTTGTTAGTCTCTCTCTTGCTCCGTTCGCCTTTTCCAACCTGCTGCTATCCATCCACTGTCTTGTCAACCCGCTGACTCGAACGCATGCCTAGGGAGACATCTCCAAGGATCCAGTCTACATCGATGCCGAGCGACGCTTCCAAGAGCTGGAAAGAGAGACCAAGAAGCTCCACGACGAGTCGAAAAAGTAGGCCGAGGCCCGCAGATACACCCTGTCGCGACCAGCTGCTGACCCTTCGGTTGCAGGTACTTTGATGCTATCAACAGTTCGTGCACCCCGAGCGCACGCTCCCAGTCAGCTACTAACCTGCACACAAAGACATGCTCAACCACCAGATAGAGTTCAGCAGTGCGTACAACCTTCTCCGTCACACAAACCTTTCGTCTTGAGCTAACCGGCCCGCAGAAGCATGCGCTGAAATATACAGACCTATTTCAGGTCGCGTATCCGACCCGGACTCTTTCGTACAAGAAGGCAACCCTGAGGGTATAAGAGCGTGTGAAGAGTATGAAGAGATTGTCAGAGAACTCCAAGGCACGCTTGCTCCAGAGCTCGAGATGATTGAGTCACGTGTTATCAAACCCGCCGACGAGCTGCTCGAGATTATTAAGCAGGTGCGCAAGATAGCGACCAAGCGCGACCACAAGCAGCTCGACTACGATCGTCATCGAGCAACTTTGAAGAAGCTACAGGACAAGAAAGACAAGACTCTAAAGGACGAGAAGGCGCTATACAAGGCTGAGAACGACGTTGAGGTAGCCACGCAGGATTACAATTACTTCAACGAGCTGCTCAAGTCAGAATTGCCAAAGCTCTTCCAACTGGAGCGTGAGTTCATCAAGCCTCTGTTCCAGAGCTTCTACTATATGCAGCTCAACGTGTTCTACACATTGCACGAGCGCATGCAGAACATCGACATTGGCTACTTTGACCTGACCCTGGACATCGAAGCGGCCTTCGAGAAAAAGAGGGGCAACATACAAGAGCAGGCCGAGGCTCTTGCCATCACAAAGTTCAAGACCACCGGCGGTCGACTGAAGGGGCAGAGCAAATATGCCTCAAAACCTCTAGCCATTGAAGCCGGCTCTTCGACGACCACTGCGGGAAGAAGTAAATACGAGGCCATTTACGGAAAGCTACCGTCATCTTCGACTTCGACGCCTTCCACCCCAGCCATCACACAGCATGGCGAAGAGGGTGACCCGAATCCCCCACCTCCTTACAGCCCGGTGAGCCCAGCCTCCGCCAGCCTAGCGGCTGCAGCACACAAGAAGGGCCCAGCTCCACCGCCTCCAAAACCAAAGCCGGCACGGCTTAGTGGTCATCATGTCGAGACCGTGACAGCTCTGTACGACTACGAAGCTCAAGCCGACGGCGACCTTAGCTTCACCACTGGTGACGTCATCGAGATCGTCAGCCGGACAGCAAACACGAATGAATGGTGGACGGGCAGGATTGGTAACCGGCAAGGACAATTTCCAGGTGCGTTATGTAGCTCTTTTTGAGTCCAGTCGCGCGACTAATTGGTCCATTTTAGGCAATTACGTGCAGCTGAATGGCTAGGCTAGGCTCCGTGTCTTCCATACCAGGGTATTCGCTATTCTTTAACCGCATCCTCACGACTGTTGAAGGTCATGTTAGATTGTGATACACGGCTGTTTATCGCTCCAAAGACGAGGAGGGGGAAAGGTGATTGAAGATTTTGCTTGGCGGGCACAAAGGTGGAAATTGAAGGGCAAGCATTAATGTAGAATATTTGCGTTCCCATCAAACTATGGCCCGACAATCGGGATATGGTTGCTTATATGCCGAGCCAGGAAAGTGCAATGTTTAAGCTCTAACTTGCCTGGTCTAATATGTGTCGGCGGGACTTGAATCCAGAACGCAATATCACGTGACAAGCACACGAGGCATCTGCCAGATTCGCGCAGTCCGTTCAGTCTCACCCTCGCCCCACATCCGATATCAAACCACGATGATCCAGACTTCATCTTCTGCAGTCATAACAGCCTCGTAATAGTAATTGCGTTATAGTTCTTCAAAAAGAAAAGTCTCTGCTTCTGCTCCAGACTCATCGTTTCAAGATATTCCTCCCGTTTATTTGGCGTATGTCCCCAAACCCCCGTTTGGAGTTAGGACGGTTGAGGACACAGTGCTTTACCATATCGTGCCACAATGTCCTCTCGACCGTCCGTGAGTGGCCGAAAAGCAAAAGGCGAATACATTGAGACAGATTCTGGAAACAAAGTATCTCGTCGCGCCGCCATCAGCGGCACGCCAAACATCACCCTTGCGGGCAAGACCGTCATCATGGCTGAAGCGCAACTTCGAGGAGATCTCACGCGATCCAAGGCGTCCACATCTACGGACCCGAAAACGGCGAAGCAGTCGAGCACGGCCATTGCGATTGGACGATGCACCATCGTCTGCAGCGGAGCAGTGATCAAGCCTCCGGGAAGGATGAGCAAAGGCTCGTGGACGTATTATCCAATGAAAATTGGAGACAATGTTTTCATAGGTACGTATAAAATTGGAAAACTTTGTCCTCGTGCGATAAGTTACCCTTGTATCTTTGACTGAAATGCTTAACCGTGCCTCCTCAGGGCCCAACTCTCAAATCTCATCGGCAGACATCAAATCACACGTTCACATAGGCGCCAATTGTGTTCTTCAGCCATTCTGTATCATCCGAGAAAATGTCAAGATACTCCCTGACACAATCGTACCTGGGGGAATGGTCGTGCCGCCGAACAGCGTGGTGGGCGGACGACCCGCCAGGATAATTGGTGAAGTCGGAGAAGGCTGGGGAAGTTCTGTTGCTGCAATTGGCAGTGGTGGAGAAATCGTCGAAGGTGGCGACTTGAGAGAATTAGTGCGGAGCATCCGGTAGATAACTTTGCGACTTGTAGATTAAAAACTCGAACCAAGCTCCTCGATGTTCCCTTTTCAGTGAGGACTGAGGCACTTGGCAAATGCATGCTACGAAACCATATATACGGAGTGGTGTTTTCGGGGCCAAAGGATTGCAGCACAGTTTTTTCAATTTGGGAGAAACGTCAGGGAATCTTTGTTCATCGTCGACTTAGCACAGTTGATGGATTGTGAGAGTAAGCATAAGTATCTATGGTATTTCCTTCACCTTTACCTTATTCGTTACGCCGGGCCTAGGACATAAGTCATTCAAGGTCGGCCATCAATTCTTGGAAGTTGCTTCGTCGATGAACTGCGTTATGGCCGGGACATTTGCATTTCCTTCCAGTCCCTGCGATATGAACTTTCCAACTTCAGCACCGAACCATTCGCCTACAGCCCCGCCGATAAGGTTGAAGATTCCAGGCTGTGGATTTTCTACCGCATTCTGGAGAGCTTCTATGACTGGATCGGCCGAGCTGTCATCTTGTGACTTGCTCGCAGGTGCGCTTCCACCGTCGAATATGTTTTTAATGTCTCCAACCGCGCCACCAACTGCGTCCCCAACGCCGCTCGCTGCTGCATCCCCGATAATACCGCCAAGTCCAAGGCCCAAATTCGTGGCTAGAATTATAACTCCTTTTCCCCGGCAGTCAGCTCTCCATTGCCATTGTCTATTCAAATTCGAGACGAAGTAAATAATTGAACGCTTACTCTTCTGGAAGCTGTTTTCAGCATCTAATCTTGTGGAAGAGCGCTCGTGAACCAGTTGCTTGGATTGGAGACTGTTTGCATCATTCGTTCGCAATGGCAGTGCTGATATGCTTGGTGCGACGACGACGGCGACGACGACTAAAGAGCCGAGAAGCCTCATTTTGGCGGTACTGAGCGCTTTGCAGTGGATTATCTCCAAAGGCCGTGAAAATGCAAATGGTACATTGTCAACCTAGCAGTACTTTTCGGTTTGTCACATGCTCTAGAACTATCAACGAAAGGCACAGTCCTCAATTCCTTCAGACTCCAATGGTACATCGGTCCTGGAGTCATACTTGGAAAAACAGCCGATGAAACAAATGCAAGGCCAGCCATCTCATGCCGAAACCCTTATCCTTAAACGGACCAATCTCCTGATTCAATGGCGACGTGGGGAGACGCGCCGCCGTCAGTCAATCATGTCACTCAAAATTTCCCTGTCCAACTTATGCCTCGGGCTCACGTGCTGTGGGGGAGTCATGTGGGGTAATCTGCATAATTGCGGAGTATTAGAAAGCGAGAATGCCTGGGACAGATCCCTGCGAGCCTCAATTTCAACGTTCAGGATAACCTGGCACCTAGGCCCTGGTCGAACGCACAGAGAATCGACAACCGGAAGCTGGACCGCCCACGATGCGCCGTCGCACGGCGCAGAAATAATCAACTATGCTGACGATATTTTGCTCGTTGGGACCCCGCGATGTGCATACGAGACGCTATGCTCATAACTTCCATCCCGCCTTTCGATGCAAGGACAGCTTCTCATCCAGGGGGGGTGATTTTCCGTCTTGGAAACTACGGACAGCATTCACGATCCTTCACATAGCCATTTTCCAAATAGTCGCTCCATATTCGTTCTATCTTGTTCCTAAACCATAGGGCACTTCTTCTTACAGCACTTAAAGCCCATGTGAAGGTTTAGCAGAGTGCGCTGCTGTCGCTGCGGCTGAGCTCTCGCATCCTTGTTGCGATCTTGCACCCATGAGAGTAGATAGCTTGTTTGTTTAACCTTTATTCCGGACTGGAATTTTGTAGCATAGCGATTCTTTATTTGATCTGAGAAGCCTATATGGCCATGCAGAAAAGGATGGTCCTATGAGATTGTTCTAGCCCATTAGGAATCGGGGTTCAGAAAATCGCACTGATGGCTTGTCTTGCGAATTCTGGCTGGCTTTAAGTTTACAGCACAATCAACAGCAATGCTCTTAAAATCGTCATTTGACTTTGTCGTTATCATTAAAAGCAAATTGCTATGTATCTCTAGCTGGCTCTTGAACCGAGAAATGCTTTGATGCCGAGTCAAGGGAATCAACATTTTCGAAACGATGCTCATGAATTGTATTTGCCCCTCAAGTCAGACAGAACCTTTTCTTGACTCTGTTGCTTGACGGGCTCGAGATTTTTGTACTCTGATGGCCCGACGTGCCGCATTGCTTTGCAGTAATAGTCGTACATTGTGGATTGACCAATACTTGGAGTGCCCTTGTTATCAAGTCCAAGCCGAATCAATGTGTTGCCTTTACATGTCAGTATCCTCTCCTTTATCTGTGTTTCTCGTTATCGACTCACCCTCGGGATCATAACGAGGCCAGCCAAGATTCGTCAGACCGTTTTCGGGATCTTTTGCGAAAGCCGCCCAGGCATTCATGACGTTTTTGATCATCAACGTTTCTTCTGGCTCGTCAGGCGTTGCGCCTTCTTTTCGTTCTGTTGCTCCCATCACTAATGGGACGTCACTGACGTGGTATGCACCCAACCCTCCAAGGTTTGTGTTGTTCCATTGTCCCATGAAGTATGCTCTCCACACCGGTACACCAGCGTCGTGTCTAGCTTTGGCAGCTGTCGCAGCGGGACAGTTGAAAACCCCTGCCTCTATGAACTTGAGAAAGAAACGCAGCGCTGCGGGGCCTGTATCGCTTGAAACACCTAGCCACTCGTACGCAGTTTGCACTGGCTGGGACAGAAAGCCAACGATACCGGGTATTGTTGTTGCCCAGTCTAATCCTGCATTCAACGCTCCAAGAACTAGGTTCCCCTCTGCTGCATTGTTCGTCACAAGCATTGGTCGTCTTGCGAATCTTCCCTGTTCTTCACGATCCCACGCATCTGCAAAAACCGTTTTGTTGTCTGCAACGGGCCAAAAAGACAGGATCGTGGTGACGCCATATGCTACTCCGGCTCCAGGGCCAGCATTTCGAATGCCGTCCATAATCTTACTTCCATCAAGTGCTCTCATACACGCGATTGATTCTGAAGGAGACGTTGAGTTATCACCGCAGCCTACGCTTTTCGATACCTGCCACCAAACCGTATCGTCCTGACTATTAGCGGCCAGCCCTGTGACGGTTCCGCTTTGCGATATGTATGCGTTGGCGATTGGATCGTCGACATATGCATAGCTAAGATGATCAACCGAAAAGCCTCCAGCGCTTTCGCCAAAGACCGTAATGCTACAATCCGTCATCAGCAGGAAATTTACATGATGTGAGACGGTTACTGACCGTTTAGGGTCTCCCCCAAAAGCCGCGATATTGTCCCGAACCCATTCGAGAGCTAGTCGCTGATCTAGTAATCCAGGATTTTTCTCTTCCGTGAACGTGGCCATGTTGAATCCAAACAGGCTTAAGCGATAGTTGAAACTAACGGCAACGACGTCATGCTCCGCCGCATATCTTGCAGGACTGTACCAAACTGCTGAAGTTGCACCGACTGAAAAGGCTCCTCCATATATCCACACCATCACCGCCTTGGATTTCTCACCCGACTGTGGCTTGGTCCATACGTTTATCTTTAAGCAGTCTTCTCCGAACGCGGTGTTTTCATCTCCAGCTAGAGCTTTCCCAAATGCCAGTAAGTCTTGAGGTATGTCGGGAAAGTCCTTTTCAGCAATTGCGAATACACCATCCACTATTTGGAAGCACTCCTCTGAAAATTTGCTGCCGTCGATCTCATCATTGCTCACGTACGCCTTGGGTGCCGAAAATCTCAGGTCTCCAACAGGATTCTGGGCGTATGGTATTCCCAGATACTCTGAAAGACCAGAATTTGCTGGCCAGGGCGCCTCATGACCTATGACTGTGCCGCTAGTGGTCTTTACCTTCTGCCCAATAGTCCATGCTCTTTTTTCCTGGTGAGGTAATGAAAGGCATGATTTAACACTGTATAGGAGCAGAAGTAAGAATGATATAGCAGCCATTTTTGTGGACACCAGTGTTGGAAGCCCAATCGCGGGTGACCGTGTACAAAAGTTATAGTGCCGCTGCCCATGACTCGCAGTTGTTGAACCCATGCCATACTTGTACACGGCATCTAGACCAAATCAATACCTAGAAACTTGATTTATTCTCTCAGATAGCTACGTGTTGTGGAGTGGACGCGGGTGATGCTTGTTGTGAAGGCGATCGGCGCAAGGTTCGGTGACCGGCATTCTGTTGCAACTTCCCGAATGAACAGTCACATGTTTGCTGAACCCCAAAGATCCGAGAAAACATATTTTCATTGAGCGCCACTGGCGCCAAATGTGGTTGCGGAAAAACGGCGAACCGAGCTTAAAGTGCTTTGATCAAGGATAACTCCACAGTTTACCTTGTCAGTTCCCCACGACATTAGGCTTGTCTGGGTTTTCGCATCACAAAAAAAGATTTGGACAAGTGACGAGTTGGATGTACAGTCGTGAACTTCAAATCTCAGGCAACAATGCAGAGGGACGGACCTCTAAAGATTAAATTTCTGATTGTTAATCATTCAATTCACCAGCGAGTGTATATCTTCTTGTTCAGACTGAAGGTCAAAATCAGTGAGGCAGATATTCAAGACGGTACTTATCCTTTTCCATTAACGAGACGCTAAACGCTCGTAAAGAACATTTTAGGGACCATTGCAGATAGATGTCAGAGCGAAGAGTTACGATGGCTACTTGGAAGAGTTCCTCGTTTGCGGAATAAACCAAGCCGGAGTGAATCGCGGTATCTTCCTTTCTGGCAGCCCGGAGTGGACGAATCCGTTCAACTACGAGTTCAGTACGGAGGCTCTGTGAGTTACCCGATGGTGTCAAACTGTAAAGGCTAGAATCAGTCACTAGCGTATTCTGGCCCTGGAACAATATCTCTATCCAGATGGAGCATCCGGTTAGAATCCAAGAACCACTTTTGACAATGCTGCTGGAATCTCAAGACTTATGTTTCTTATTCGCTATTCAACTGGGTGATTAATCACATCAATTGGCTTTGGTCACTTCGTGAGTTCGACCAAAAGTCTGGTGAAAGCTGAGGATGACTGCATCACCATCAGTCTCAAACGGGTTATATGCTATGCTGAAATATACTAAATCGAAGGTTTTCGGTGCATTAAATAAGGGAAGAAGTACGGTTATTATCGCAAGTATTCTCGATCCGTCGAACTCTATTTAGTGGCCGTTGCCTCTTCCGATGACGTACTACCGGCATTAAGACTATTCATGCCTTTGCAAAAGATACACTTCCTACCTTCGCGCAAAAGCTTAGATATCACATCACGCAGTGTTTGTCTAATATATTCTTGGACGTATTCCTAATTTCATTCCATGACCAAATTGAGGAATTGGCTGCAAAGAGATATTATTGAAGATCCTAGTTCCATAATTTAGGCAAGCTTACCGTTAAATTTATATGTGTTCCCATGGGGGCCAATATTAATACGGATATGGAGCTCGTCATTTTTGAGACAAAAAGAGCTTTACTACGGAATTCCTTCGCATATGCTGATCTAGAAGCTGTGTGAGGTCAATTTAGCGTTGTCTACTACCCTAAGCCACCTAAAGCTGCTGATGAGCCATTTCCATATTTGAATCACTTCATTATAAGTCAGCGCAACGACTCACAAAGTAGGCCATTCAGAGCTTGATGAGGAATATTACCATAAATTACACTAGACTCTCACGTTTGCATAGTTCTCAAGTCCTCCATTGTTATTTCGATTTGAACAAAAAGAGATATGTATGCTTATTCTCAAGTGAGAATGTGGCGCAGGTTGAGACGCGCATCTTCCGATAATGCAGGCAGCTGCTTAAATGACTTTTTGAAAGATCGAACTTAGATTAGATCCAGAAACGTGGAATCTTGGAATCGAAGTAGCTGCGTGTGACTGTGGATCACTATACTTGGAATGCCACCAGAAGTCGTTCCTCAACCCCCATGGCGACACAAACACGTCTAAATCAGGCAAAGAAAACCATAAATAAACCTTCGGTTGTATTTCCTGACCTTTGGAGAACAGAGATTATTGAATCCACCAGTGCAGATTTGTCTGCATGAGGGTTCATCCGATCCAGGCCAAAATTAATTTTTAAACAATCTGAATTTCGGACAAGCACTAGACACTTTCAAATGCACCGACCAATGAAGATAAATATCCTGCAAGCGCCTTGTAAGTCTTCTCAATTCCACTCATGTCCGGCGATAAACAGAGGAGAGATGGTGACGATAGTTTGTTCATTTGTAGAGGTCCTCGTTCGCATGGGGACCAAAGCATCTCTCACCCTCCAAAGATTCTGACAGAAGATTAGACAGTTAACATGAATTAATTCATTTATTTATCTCCGTTCTAAATGTCATGGTGCAGCAGGCCTGTGCCGCACGATCTAAACATGTTCGTCGTATAGTTCGGTTTCACGCGAAGTCCAAATTCTGTGCAATTGTTTTTTCCTCTTGCCACCTCCACCTCCAGCATTTCGACCAAGGATATGAAATTGGCTAATGATATGGCCTCAGCATATCATAGTTTGCCCTAGCAGCTGAAGTCAAGTTTCAAAGATACCGCCTCATTACACCGAAAACTATATCACGTTCCCCAGCACATCTAGACCCAAGCTCCGGAGAAACGTACCCTTTCAAGATGCTGTTGAAGGGACTTTCACGGAATCTTTGGGATATCCTATTCCCATCATTCTGTATGATTTCGACTGTGGTGGCATGGTTCGACCAGGATAGTATTGGTCGTAAAGCCGGTCTTCTTCACTAATGCTAGCTTCAACTCCTTTATGAATGTTGCGCATTCTATAGCTCCTTTGAGTACTTTGATTATGCGAAGAAGCGACTGTTGAGTCCATCACACCCAGTTTTGTTAGCAGGGGTCGTAAAGTAGCGATTGAAGTAGCGATAATTGCAACGTTGGCCTCCACGATAGACCAAACGGCTATCACCAGATTGTCGTACGTAAAGTCGGCGTTGGCCAAGTTATGCACCTCTGGTAAACGGGCGATTGTAGCAACGCATGTTCTAATTGATTGTCAGCGACAGTGATATTGAAAGATACGATAGTGTTTACTAACACCGAGCCCAGCGCAAGAAGACTGAATACCGAGATCTTTTGCCTCTGCGACATCTGCAAGCTTCGAACCACGAAGAGAGGAAGAATTGCAAGTGTGATATCACCGAACGTCATGACAGCGCCATGGGCATAAGTTGCTCTGGTCATCGCCACTGGATCTCGGCAGCGCCCATCAGTGACCCCGAGTGCTTTTGTCCAGAAAAATTGAATAGGCTCGCACGCAAACATAATAAAGAAGAAGTAGAAAACTGAGAAACCGACTGTGATTGCAATAACAATCCAGACGCCCCAGCTAATCCAGCGCTTATCAGTAATGCGCAACAACATCAAGCTGAACGAGACCTTGATGAGACAAGTCGTCGTGACATATAGAAGCTCAGAGACATAATATCCCTAGCTCACACGTAAATACTTTTTTTGTCTTTTTATCATTTTTTGGAGATTAGTACCTTTAATGCACCTGCAACCCTCGATGGAGGCAAGTCGGTTATATGTTGTCCAACACCATAATGCGTGCCATACATCGCCCACGCGGACAAGCCATTGTTAACGCACTGCATACAGCTCAAGTTAGTCCCAATACTAGCTTCACGTGCTGCAGCTGATGCGAACGTACAAAAGCCAATACTGCGAATACATCATCCCATCCAAAACTCTTTCTAATCAAGGTTCTGGTGTAGACTCGAAGCGGCACCACAATCCACGTCAGGACGAGGAAGGTGATCGTCACACCATCGAGAATTCTGCCACGTCCTCCAGACATTCTGGGTGCCCACCTCGGGCGAGCTCGAATCTAGGCGACAAAGAGAGTGCACTGAAATGGAGAACGTACAAGTAGAGATGTGGATGCGTTAAGAAGTCAGCACCTAGGTGCAGTCGCCCACGGTCTTAACGCAACGGCTAGCAATAGTCTGCACGTTAGCGTGGCACAAAGATTTGCATCCCGGGCATGAGGCGCAATTGTCTCCTGTGTGGAAACTCGGGGTCCGGTAGCTTGACCACTGGGCCAACAACAGGGTGAGCTCGAAGCGATGACTGACTCGTTCCGGAGCATCAAATCTTGGCCCTTGACACACTTGAGATTCAGGAGCCTAGGTAGGGTGGACTCTGTTCATCGGATTGCTTCAGCAGCGCTCTAAGTGTGATATCATGGATGGAGGAAAAACAACTCGAGATAATTAGGCCATTTGTAAAGTGCATGGTCGGATTAGAAGCACTCCCGCTTGTATACCTTAGCCATTAGGTAGCGAGCATGAAGCTCCGAAAGGTACGGAGAGCAATCCAGAATTTGACCATGCCTCATCAGGGTTACTCCAGAACCAAGTTCCATAACCATGGATTTTTAGGCGTTTGGCAGACAGCGATCTAAGCTATAAACGGAGTTAGTGCAAGCATTCGGATTGCGGACGGGTCTCCCGCTCCACTTGGAACCCACTCACAAAGTCGCACTTGAAGTCCGCTACGTTACCGAGTGAAAATATCCCGCTGCATGTATACCATCCGGGGATCTGAACCAATTCTGCTATGGATCTACAGAGGCTGACAAGATGAACATCCGTCAACCACGGCGATGTAGTTGTTTCTTCCAGGAGTCCTCAAACCGTCCACAAGGAATGAGCATGAACTCGTCATCAAGGTCCGTCGCCCCTGCGCCTTGTTCTGAGCTAAGCAGGCCGTCATTCAAACCTGAGCACAACAATTGCTTCAACTTAAGTGTATATGATGTTCCTGCGCCTCGTACAACCTTATGGCCGATTGGATGGTTACGACAAACTGAAAATGTCGGAAGTGCGTCTACAGATGCACGCCACGTATATTTGGCCGATTCAGCATGTGGTCACAGAACGAACGCCTGTATGTCACGCCTGGGTGGTTCCTTATCCTTGCTTACGTTCTGCACGAAGTCAAGGAACAGCTCAATCCTAGTTGACATTTGTCCGTGCTACTGCGTCGGAACCTTGGAGTACCCATTCATACTACTGTGATTGCGCGACCGAGTCCAGCGGTAAAGGTTGGCGCTTTTCTGGGCAACATTAGAGGCCTTAGATCGTGAAACTATACCATAGGATGATCGGCTTTCCAAGATGCTACTTTTAATACGTCAAAGACTACTAGAACGCTTTTTCTCTCTGACCTCGACATGGGTGGAGAGGCATCAGCTGGGGTCCGAGATGAGCATATTTCTCTGTGTGCGGTCAAACTCGTTAGCCAAGTACAGAGGTACTGTTTTGCATGTCTTGTGCTCTACGCAGCGGAGCATATCAGTCACCACCCACTTCTACATATCGAGTGCTTCGATGTTACAGACACTGTCGTTGTGGATCTTGGATGTCAATCTTCGTGTTTTTGCCAGAAGCCCCATTAGCATAATGGAACAGCATCAGTGATTTGCAGCTCTTGAAACCTAGATGATGGGCCAGTCATATCAGCTCAGGGTATTCCTTTCGGCTTGAACCAAATGAACTGATATATGAATAATCCATACAGAGACGCATTCATTCTATTTCCAAGTGTGAAATCTGATAGTATTTCCCACGAAGCGCACAAGCGGGTCTACCGTTTACGACATGTTGGGAAACAGATATAGTTACTGTTGGTCGCGCATTTTAAGTCCATCTACTCCCACGAAAGTGCCTTTCGTCTTGCCTGAAGCATTGCGTCGTGTTTCTTCTCCTGGTGGAATTTGTATTCAATTTTGAATACGTAAAGTTGCACAGGGATTGATCCGGCCTAAGAAAGTTATTGAACATCAAGGTTATTGAAGTTTCGTAAATCTTAGGTAGCTGTAACTCCTTTTCACACTGTGATTATATACGTTGGAACATGAGACTTCCCCCGCGTTGTACGACGGGTCATGAGGCTCTAATGGAAGCCAAGTGTGCAGCGATTTACTTCAGCTATTCTACAGATCGTTGGTCGTACAGCATATAAGAGCATTTGGGGCTTTTCGATGGCATCCCGAGGAAGAGCTGTGGGTGTTGCGATGCTCAAGAGAATTCAGCGTTCAGAGGCGAAGTTCGTGCAAACGAGTTCGAAGGTCCAAATCATCAAGTGATCATATGCAAGCTCCATCTTGTACAAGGGGAGACCTCACCCCGTGACAAAGTGAGTGATAACATGGAGCCTTGCAGACAGCAAGTGTATCCCGCGTGTTGGATCCTGCTGATGGTCGCAACACAGTACGGGAGGATGCAGGTATCCAGTTCTTTTTCGAACCTGAAAGAGATTGTCTCTTGCTGATCAGCTGAATCGAAACTGGATCTCATTCCTCCTCTCAGTTGACAGATGGACCGGTTAGTGTACGCCTCTAGCCGTAACCTTACGTCGCAGGCAAAACTATGCTCCGTCACGTACGGGGTTGCAGTTGAAAGCGCTGACCTCGTGGTGCTTATTTTTGGCACAGAGACCTCAAGACCAAGGCTGCCTATTACTCCCGGCAGCAAAACCGGTCGCGCAACAATTCGACATTCTTTATCGTGCTGCTGGTGATATTCACTTCGTCTTCCTACGTTTTTGCGACGTCCTTTTCATTTTTTTCTCGCGTGCGTTAGCTGTTACCGCCGCTAGTGTACCTTACGTTTGCACACTGCCTCGATGCATGCATGGAAGCTAAAGCTAACGAGCGGGATGCGCGGAGCTTGAACGGCTTGACATCAGCGTCTTCGCGCTCTCAAACTCTGTACAATGTGCCTGATGCCGCTCTTGCTGGCGCCCTCACAGCGTTCTCTTCAGTACCTTGCACGACACAGAGGCATGGAAGAGTGACGAGATTGCAGAATGGGGCACTTTCGTCAGCAACGTCAGCCCACAACAACAGCAACTCCCGTAACAAGAACGGCAGTCGTCCCGACTCAGATCATCTTGCACCCGTGCCTCCGCCATTCCATGCCCGATCTTATACTAGACCTACCATCAGCACGCATCCTGAGGTGGACGGAAAGAGCGAAAGAAAGAACAGGCTGAATTCAACACCGGCGTCGAGCCCTGTCGTCCCGAGACTGAATCCAGCAGATCAGCCTTCCAGGCTGACAATGCAAAGACCCGAGTCTCTTAGAGCTGCTACGCTTGCCACGACTACGTCTCGTAGCACGAATCCCAGACGCTCTCCCCCACTGACAGCATCATCGAACCAGCCAACACTAGATGCTCGCGCTTTGGCGCTGCAACGCAGACTAAACGAACGAATGGTTGCAAGAGAATTGGATAACAGAATGGACGACCAAGATGACCAACGGACCGATTCTACATCTATCGAGCCCACCAAATCGCTGGTGAGGATGTTCGAGCAGCGGTCTGGTGGATCATCAGACGTTCCCCCCTCTATAAAACGTCAACCGTCGTTAGCAAAGGGAATCCCACCGCCTATCGTTGCTCCTAAACCCCAGCGAGCTCTTTCAGTACAGTCGGTCTCACCTGAGCTGCAACGGCCAGATATACCGACCAAGCCAAAGCCCATAATCAAGGCTGACAAGAGTGAGACGAAGAAGTTGGCCGATTCCGACCAAGCCTTAGGAGACCAAATCAATGAAAAACCTCAAACGAAGCCCACTGTTCCTCCCCCGCGCCGAACAGCGGGAGGAAGCAAGCCAACATCCACTACAAATACAGCGTCAGCAGGTAGTCCGCCGTCACTTTCACGTTTCGGCCTCCTCGCACCGACGTCCACTGTTCGCGGCACGAGTTCCTCGCCATCCTCAAGAGTTCTGCCATCAAACCCGCAGCGCGCGTCGCCAGCACCGTACAAAGACACGTCGCTCCACATGCTTACGCCTCACATGACGGGCGACTCTCTGGCCAACGCCATGGTTGGGGCAAACCTCGCCATCAGAAGTGCGTCTCCTAAACGATCGCGAACGCCACCCCCGATTCCTCCGTCCCGCCGAAAAATCCACGCCCATGACGTTGTGTTCGGACACAGTAGAGCAAGGAGCTTAAGCCCGCAGAAGAGGCAGCCAGGGCGACTGCTGACCACGCTCCGGACTGGCGACGTGGAGGAGAAGGAGAAGAATCGAAAACACCATTTCCGGCAGCCGAACAAGCACCACGAGGGCACGCGTGAGCGGTGGCGCGACTACGTTTCCGACTCGGAGCGGAAGCGATACGAAGGCGTGTGGGCCGCCAACAAAGGTCTGTTCATATCTTCTCCCGACCAGGCTGACGAGGTCTTGAACCTCGTTGCACGGGACATATGGTCACGCTCGCGACTGCCTCCCGAGCGACTAGCCAAGGTCTGGGACCTCGTCGCGGTGAATGGGAGCGGCAACGGTTCAACAGTGACCGGGAGAAGGACGTTGTCGCGCGAGCAGTTTGTCGTGGGCATGTGGCTGATCGACCAGATGCTCAAAGGACGAAACTTGCCGCATAGCGTAAACCCAAGTGTGTGGACCAGCGTGAGGCTCATGGGCGTGAAAGTCAGGCTGGAGGGCAAGGGAAAGGACGGCCGAAAGTTGGAGAGAGGAACGGTGTGGTAACATTGAGCTCACTCCGCCTCTTGACGTTAGACCACGACCGCAATGATACCCAGCGAGGTTTTTTTTTTCCCCCATGAGCAAGCAAGTTTGGCTCTGGCGTAACGTTTTATAAATCGGCTTCACAGCCTTACGTCTAGAGATGTTTTCATCCATCAAGCATCTACCAGCTATGACGACATTTTGGGTAAGCGGTTCTGGCGGTGACGATCTTTGTATAGACTCGATCTGGGCTACGCAGGCTCGTGACATGCATTCCGCCAACAGCTGCTCTGTTCAGTCGTCTGACAATGAAACAGTTGTAGCTCTACGTAATTCCACTCGCAGGCCAAAGGACTTGGATGCGATACATATTTCTATCAGCCCAAACATCTCCCTTCATATCTAAGTCAGAATTCGTGCGGATACTGAATTGTTGCTCATGAGTTATGTGGTAGCCTGGCATATGATTCAGGCTGGCTCAGCTCTTGAATGGCAAGCTGACGCACGTCAAGCCCTGCATCTTCGTCTTTGCCAGCCTCGATGGTGAACGCGTCAGGTGAATCCGAGGGCAGTACACCTTTTGGGACAGCACGAGCTTGCGTAAAAACTACTGGGATGAAATTTACAACCATCTTGTAGAAAATCCTTCGTCGAGACGTCGCCGTGCTTTTCAATCTCCAAGACGTTTTGCAGACGGCGTGTTTGTCACAGGTCAGCACGGCGGGGACTTTGTCCATGTGGCTATCTAGGCTGGCAGCCTGTACATGGGCAAATCGGAGCAATTAGAAGCAAACGAAAGGCTGAAGGAAACATACACCAGCCATAGGACTCAGAAGCTGCAAAATTTAGAGCTAACACGAAACAAGCGAGTGGTAAGCTAGGAGCCAAGGAGTGTTCATTGTCATTCCGTAGTACGAAGCTCTTTGTGTTGTTGATGCAGCCAAGGAGTCTGCGAACCACGGCCTCCTCATACCGCCATGTTGCAGAAGAAATGTTGGAGGTTGGCGTGATTTGCAGTCTCCTGAAGATCTGCTGCCACAACGGGGAGAGATTGCAAGCGGGTCTGGGGGCTGTTCGCGAGCCGTGCTGTATTGGTCACGGCCGCCTCTCCTGAACGTCCGTCCTAAGCACGTTCGCCCTGTTCACCTTCGGCTTGCGCAGCATCATTGCAGGCCGGCCAGGCGACTGTTGGCCTGCCTGCAGTCGACGTCGGCGCGGACAAGGAAACAGCTTCAGCCAGCGCGACAGGCGAAAGGCAGCAGACAGCGCAAGCACACACAGCGTCCATCTGTTCCGGTGAAGGCGGCCGCCTTTGTTCAGCAGGAGGCTTCTTATCAACAAACCTGGCGCAGCTGGCAAGTGCAGCGCCGGCATACGTCATGGGCTGCCTTGGGACGGGGTGAGGATGGCGGGCACGGGCTCTGACGTGCTGCCACCTCGCACAGCGCAAGCGAGGACCCGCTTGATGGAGCCGTCGCTGGATTGGACGACGACCAGCGTCTGGCGGCGCGCTTTCGCTGTGCTGGAGGACTCGCGTGCACGTGAAGCGCAGGCGCGCTGCACCCGGGCTCCTTCCCGGCTGCACAGCGCCGTGTGGTAACATGCGAGGCCCATGTCCTCCGCGCCTTCTCTGTCCGGTAGCAAGCTGATCCCCGCCTGCCGTGGTGTCGTGGCCACGGCCGCGTCGAATCGGTCGCCCCTGCCGTCCGTCCTTCTGCAGCGTGCCAAGCGCCGTTGCTGCCCAACTTGCTCCACCATCGCTCTTTCTCTGCTTCTCACTCGCTCACCGCCCTCACGCTCGTGCAAGCTCGCGCTGTTGCTTTTCCCGTCTTCTCTGCACTCTTCGCCGCTAATTTTTCTGCTCCCGCGGTCGCTGCTTCGACCGCTCGTCTAATTAGCTTTTCTTAAAAGACGTCCACACGCCCCATCTCCCCTTCCCGTCCACATTTTCCCAACTCTTTCACCACTCTGCCCAACGTCGACAGCGACGAGATCACCTTGATTTATATTCCCGTCGAAAGACGCCGGGATTGAGCTCGACGAGACCTTTTTGTTTCCTTGACAAAACTCCCGCCTTCTTTCCCCCCAAAGAGGACGAATAGCCGTGCCCGTTTTTTCCCCAGGAGGAAAGTGGAACGTTCAGTCGCAATGTATCAGGATCAGCGAGGTTTTTACAGGTATAGAGCACCCACTTTGGTTTGCTTTCAAGGAAGCCATCTCGATTGAGGAGGATTCTTCGTATATTTGCTCTTTTTCCGTATCTCTTTTCCCCCGTACCCTTCCCACTGTCCTGTTTGCTGCTTGTCATCAACACTGCCAAAGGGTAAGTCGTACGAACGCGGAGGGAGAACTGGATGGCCCCTTCCAGGACGTGTTTGCACCGTAGAGTTTTGCTCTCGACTGCGGATATTCCCCACGTTTTCCGGGACGCTTGGATGCCATAGGAGCCGTGATCCTCACTCGATAATACCTCGGGATTTCCCTGGTCCACATCGTCCTTCCTTGGATCTCACTTGCGCAAAGGATTGAATTGTTGGGCTCTGTCTGGAAGTGATCCAGAGCCTTTTATTTCATACTTTCCCAGCACTGAATGTATGTTCGACAAATTCAGTACGACATTTCGCCGCCCCACGAAATAGTCTGGTCAATGATTTCAACAAGTCGCTCCAGGGCGCAAATCAAGTCTATCGGCTCAAGAACGAACGCTTCGTGGACCTAATGTCCTCTTCTCTTGACCATAGACTGTCAGCTACTGCTGTAATCTATGATTGTGTAGGCACCCCAGGATGGACCCGTCGACATCCAGCGCCACCTGGAACTGCTGACGGCGTATCTCCATTGTCCAGCCAATAGTGTGTAGGCTACTCTCCCCGGAGAATATCCCATTAGGAAAGATTTGGGCCATCACCTCCTGGTAATTCAACCCGCTTACTTTCAGGACACTCTCAACGAAGCCAAATTTCCCAGGGACGAGAGGAAAGGTGAGCCATTAAAGGTCGTGCCTGGTCGGGTCGTTTCGGCTGTTGTAGAAAAGCACTTTCTTTCTAGGATTCTAGGACCCGGTTTGCCTAAGGTTCCTCCCAAAGTCTTGATGCAATGTACACATGCCGGGAGGATCGCACCATGGAAATCCCACACGGACCAGGATCTAACCAAAACTAGGCCATGGAAGGACGTCTTTAAATGGTAGATTTGGAAAATGCAGCTACGCTGCGGGTGCATAGTTTGGCTGGCGAAAATGCCACAAACTGTATGTTACCTTAATTACCGTGGCGCATTAGTCGTGTCGCTTGGCATGATGTGTACTGATCTGTAAATGTAGAGTTACCGATTCCCAAAGTGAATTGGCATCATTCAGAGTCTTGCCAATGCAATTCTCCAGGATCCATCGTGCGCCAAGGTTATCTACGGGACTCCCATTTACACTCGTTGTCTGGTCGAAGAGGTGCTTCCGGTTCGTCTTTCAACTGTCGATGTTCAGAGACTGTTGGCCGACCATTTAGGGTGGAGCAACTGTTGGCTAGCAACTTGTCGACACGAGAAACTCAGACCGCACCATTGCAGTGTTTTTTTCTTTTTTACTATCAGATCAATTTCGTATATTGGATACTTGAATCCTTTGATGGCCAGGCCCATGTGGATACTAATATTCTTGTGCAGCCAAAACTTACCAGATTCTTTCAACCCAGTCTACAACATCAACCAGTGGCAAGCTGGGATGGAGAACTGCCAAAGTAATACGTACCTGGATCCTCGAGTGGACATGGACAACAACTCGCAAGGCGATTGGAACTCATCATACGCCCATTCCAATGCTACATCCGAATACGAGCTGTCCCAGTACAGCACGTTGAAGCATGGGCAAGCGCCGTACACTCAAGCCTTCGCTAGTTCAAGGAGGGCATCTGCACGATCCGCTGCGCCATCTCAGAGTTATACTGACAGCGGTTTCTATTCATCCTATTCGCAGGACTTGGAGATGGAATCCTTCCCCTACTCTGCACATGATACTGAATTCAACGTCGACCTGTCCTCGCAGTATGGCTCTCCCCACAATTTTTGCATTTCTACCCCTGACGCACAGAGCAGCATTGGGCAGACTTACCCGGATTCTCCATCCGCCTCAGATGTAGACAACACCGGCTACTCCAGCGAGGCTTCTACACCAGCTCGCAACCACCCGCTATACAATGCTCGTCCCAGCGAAGACGGTTTATATCATTGCCCTTTCGCCAATGAGGGCTGTAGTCACGAGCCGAAGCAGCTCAAATGCGAGTATGAGTATGTTCTGCTAGGCCCAAATTCCAGTTCCATCTTATGAACATGGCGCTAACCGTCCGTAAGCAAATACATTGATTCCCACATCAAACCATTTCGCTGCCGACATTCCAAATGCGCAGACCTTCAATTTTCTTCCACTGCGTGCCTTCTTCGTCATGAACGTGAAGCTCACGAAATGCACGGACATGAGGAGTCATTGTGCGAATACCCACCGTGCAACCGATCCGTACCAGGTAACGGATTCCGCCGGTCCTACAATTGCAAAGATCACATGACTCGATGCCACGGTTGGGTCGACCAAAATCCGCAGGAGGGCAAGAAGAGGCGCTCTGCCACCACAAGCTCCAGCGGCTCCAAAGCTAACAAGGCTAAAGCAAGCACCAAACTTCCAAGTAAGCGGCAACAAATCATGCAGCTTAAGGCAGAATGGGCGAAGCGCAAGGAGAACTTAGAGAAGCTTACCAAGGGCCTGGAGTTCGATGGACCTCTGTTTGCCATCGCACTTACGCAAATTAACAGTGAGATGCAGACAATGAGAAGCATTCAGCTTGAAGTGTCCAAGTTGACGGGCAGAGGGCACATAGAGTGATGAAAAGTGCGTTTTGCCTCCACATTCACTTATGACATCTCTTTCAGGACGCGTACTGATTTCTGAAGTGCAGAATGTCAAGGCTCAAAGCGTGAACTTATTCAATGATAAATGCTCTGTCTTCAAAAGATGCCGTGAATGGACAACCTAACTTGGTGGTTGTCAAGACATCATTGGCTACAGGAGAAGCCCTATGTTCCAGGCTATAGCACTTGTGCTTCCGGCAAACCTACAGCAGACAGCTAGAAAGGCGGAGTAATAACCAGTTTCTCCTGTCGCGTATGGTCTGCAATGCCAGGAACACTCGAAGTTCGCCCAGTGCTACCGAGTCGGACTGTGGGTCTGAGCGCATCTAGAATGTTGTGGTCTGGACGGATTGAGGAACCGGAAGAAGGGTGGGAAGTGGTGCTGCACTGGATCTCGACTACATCCTTTGGCTGTCTTTGATGGCTGATCCACGCGGCCGCGAAAGGTTTGGAGGGAGAGATATTTTTGTTTTGAATTTCGAAGTGTTGTTGTTTCTGTTCGTTTTGATCGGTTTCATGTGCCTTAAGTTAGTATCACAGTCATTCACCACGTACAAGGTTGATGAGCAAGTGCCTGAACGCTTCACGAACCATCTCCATATGGTGCGGACGTCGTCATTTGTCTTGCTGCAAACGCGCCGTGTACGCACAGGTATGGAAGCTGTTCGTCGCATGTATGCTCTCCGCCTCATGCGAGCTGCTTCCCGTTTAGGGCGGGGAGAAACTGAAACCAACTGATTTGGCCTGACAACGAACAAAATAAAAAAGAGGTTTCATTCAGTCACGCTACTTTGTGTGTGGAGTGAGCGAGCGGCGCGGGTTTGCTGGTCGTCCGATTGCCGGCACGAGCCTGGATGGGCGTTAAACGGCAGCGATGTGTTGAGTAGAAAAGAACTACAGGAAAGAACGACTGGGAAGTCGAGGAATGACGTGATGATATCACAATCCTCCTCGTCGGAAGGTAGTCGCGACCGCTGGCTCTGTGGTGGAAGTTTCTAACTGCATCTCACCGGCAGAGCAGACAAAAAAAAAATAAATCTGACATTATCGACGACATTGACGCTGCGAGCGAGAAGATTCATTTGCTGCTTGTTCCCAACCCCTCTCATGTCCTCCTTCGCTCTCAGCAGCAGCTCATTTGAGCCCAAAACCCCGCCCAAATCTTCTTCATCAAGCCCGAGCCGGGCGAATCAGCATTACGCCTTCACATGTCAGCGAGTCTATTGGCCGCGCCACAGTGACGCGCGTGAAATCTTCTCTCCGAGCTTGAGACGTCAGCCACAAAGTTGTGGTCGATGATGCGCCGAACTCTCTTTTTTTGAATTTTGCTGGTCCGGGAACGAGTCAGAAGGGAGTTAGTGTGCTGCAGTCGGAGTCGTATCCAATCTGACAGACGCAAAGCAGAGCCCGATGCCTGGAGCCCAACCCCCGTTACGCTCTCTGCTCGACGGCTTTGAACAAATACCGCTCGGCGTTGCTATTCACGGTCCCTCTGTATGGAGGAGACTACTGTGCACTCATTAGTTACATGCGCGGTGCGGCCGGACAAGCAAGCGGAAGGCGGCGTCGTGAGTGGAGCGCTCGAGCACATGGCGCAGTCCGACGCAATCTGGGCAGAGCGTCTCTGTTCTGAGGCAAGACATGTTTTGTAACCAGACATGCTCCAGACCTCTATCTCTCTCACGCAACCAACCACCGACCCCGGCCTTTTTGCCTACTTTGTCGTCCATCGTATGAATGTTTATAAAGCCTGCACCCTCGGCTAACCCGGCCTTCTGCATCGCACCCTCTCGCTTCTGCTGTTCTCCGATAAATCGTCCGCTTCACTCCCCCCACCAGCCTCTTCGAACTTGCACTACCTCGTCATACCCACGTGGAAGTCGTGTCGTCCTATTAGTCAATCGAACGTCCAGATCGCTTCCGAGCCCTACGCTTGCCTTGTATCAAAAGCTCGCCCTCGTGCACAGTGAGCTTCCATTTTCTCGTGTCTCTTGTCTGTTCTTGTGCAAAACCTTCTATTCTTTTGCCAGACCTCTCAAAGCAGCAGCGGCGGTCTCAAATCCAGCAAGCACAAGCATGGCATCAGCTTCGCAATTCTACTCGTTCAAACCATTGGACAAGAAGGGCCAGCCCTTTGACTTCTCGACCCTGAAGGGCAAGGTTGTCCTAATTGTCAACACGGCCAGCAAATGCGGCTTCACTCCTCAGTTTGATGGCTTGGAGATGCTTTACAAGCAACTGAAGAAAGAATACGGAGGTACGTGTTTCGACTTTCACGGATCGCCGCGACTGCTCCTCGGCTGCGGGACAAAATGAACTAACCACGCGAGAACTTTTTGCAGACGCTTTCGAGATGATTGGCTTCCCCTGCAACCAATTTGGCGGACAGGATCCGGGCTCTAACGACGATATTCAGACCTTCTGTCGCATCAACTACGGCGTCACATTCCCGGTGCTGGGCAAGGTCGAGGTCAACGGCGATGGCGCCGATCCTGTTTGGCAGTGGCTTAAAAAGGAGAAACCCGGCCTGCTTGGTCTGCAACGAGTCAAGTGGAATTTTGAGAAGTTCCTCGTCAGCAAGGACGGCAAGGTTGTTGGCCGATGGGCAAGCACTACCAAGCCGGAGGCGTTGAAAGCTCCCATCGAGGCTGAGCTTAAGAAGCCTGATCCCAAAGAATGAACATACTGGCGGCACATATGGGACTGCAGGGTTGTAGGAAAGGAAGCAGAAGAAATGCTTGACATCTACACTTGTGAAAATGCATGTAGCTCTTGGTGTACGAGAGATGGACGTGATTTGGAGAGACGACAATGAATGTTCGATGGACTGGATACCCATGCATGTACAAAGGCAGAGTAAGGTATATCTGGTATCAGCCAGACAAAGAAGAAAAGTAATTCGGCAATTGAGGAGTTTCGAAACGAGAGCCAGTAAGCAAAGTTGAAATGGCAATGGTCTTTTAGTCATGGTTCTGCAGCCTTGAACAGCACGTCTCGCTTCGATGTCTGGCCTCCAGCTGCTCATGAAAATGTGCAAGACGATGGCCTTTGATCATGGCAAATGCATGCTACAGGTGTTTGAACATGCTGACTTCCTCTGTCAGAGGGAGTAAGCATGCTAAATATGTCCCCGCTCATGCACGCTTTCTATGGGAGGCCTATCTGTCATGCGCGTTAAGCAATTTGACACGAGCAAGTCTGGGAAAAAAAAAATGCTATCTACTACATGACTGGCGCCGTGACAATCGTGACAATCGTGTCAAACCCGACCTTGTCACCACAGTCAATCGTGAGCTACGCAGAAGCAACTAAGGAGTTGAATTGCGACTGGAAACTCTGAGACAAGGCTGCACCTCTAGCTCATCAGCTACGTCATCCTCTTCACAGATGCAATTCGTATCGAAAAGAGAAAAGAAAAAAAAAATTCCTTGGCCTGTTTACTATGCTGTGTCGCTGTGTACCCTGTGCTGTGTTGAACTGTCCATTTCATGTCTGAGTATTCAGTGCCCCACAGCATCTTGCCTTGAGCAAAGGCCTGTTTTTGAACAGCTCACAGAAGTTCGTGCTGCGTCCGCGCTCGTGCGGTCGCGCATGTCGCTCCACGCGTGAAAAACAGTGGTGAAAACCTTGGAGCGGCAATCATCCCAGACTATCAAGAAGGTCTAAAATTGGCGCTCCCATGGTCGAGTTAAGTTGGCTGCTCTTTTTTTGCCAACCAGGCTGGGCGACGACAGAGAGCGTGGCTCACAGGAAAATGCCGAAAGTCAAAAGAGTTTGAGACAGACGCAGGTATGTGCTAGCAGGGCAGATGGTGAGATTACACTTCACAAATGTGGTGGCGCAGCGCTGTCGAGAAAAGAAAAATAAAAAAGCCTTCTTTTTTTTTTTTAAATTAAAAGCTAGCCATGCTTCGCGACATGCTTGTACTTCCAAGCATTGGATATGCTATGCGAACGCCTTCAAACAAGCTCCTGATCCAGGAACATCAGACCCAACGAGGATGGATATTGTAATGGAGATTGTAATGCAATTCTGATCAAAAACCACTTTCCGTGCACCCCAAGTCCCGATAGAGATGTGTATATTGTTTACAACATGGCGATGACGGCCATGCCCAGGCCAAGAGCAGCGCCCTGGGCGGGAAGTCCGGTCGGCATCGCGCCGCTTCCACTGCTGCTGGAGCCGACTGCGGCGGTGCTGGCAGCCGAGGCCGCGCTTTCGACCTTGCTGGTGAGGGTGGTGAGCACACCGTTGGCATCGGAGGTGACGGTCGAGAAGACGCCCGCGGCTCCGGACGTGACGGTCGAGAAAACGCCCGCGGCTCCGGATGTGACGGTGGAGAGGAGGCCGTCCGCACCGGAGGTGACGGTCGAGAAGACGCCGCCTCCGACGCTGGTGACGTCGGAAGCGACGCTCGTGGCGACGGACTCGACGTTGCTGGCGACGTTGGTGCCGACCGAGCCGATGACGGAGGTCGCGTCGCCAAGGACGGACGTGACGTCGCTGAGGATCTGGGCGGAGGCGAGAGGAGCGGCCACGAGGGCGAAGAGGGCAATTGGCCGGACCATGTTGCTGGGAGACGTGTTTTGTTTTTCTTTTTTCAGGCGCGAGATTGGCGAGAGACTGGTGTCGCTTCTACGAAGACGGCGGCTTCTGGCGGGCGATGGGACGCTTCCGGACGGAAAGACTTTGGAGAGAGTTTGTCTTCGAGGGAGTTGAGATGGGATGGGAAGGTAAGGACTGAAAGAGACCGGGTCGACCTCCTGACGATGATCGCATTTTTATTTCTCCAGGCTGCTCGTTCACCTCCGCCAGATCTGCCGACGTTGGCTGGGATTCTTCGATGCTATGACGCAGCGTCTGCGCCTCCCGACGCCCGCCTCGATCCCGTTCGTATTCGTAAGGGGGCTCGACGCCAAGCCGGGCTCAACCACGGCAGACAAGCTCGATTCTTGCGGAGCATTCGCCAGCGGAAGCGGACCAAGGGCAAAGGCTGGCCCTTGGCCCGGCCCATGTGTTCTTGCGGCGGTGCATGCCCGCTGGCCTGCGTCGTGCTGGGCTTAGAGGGCGATCGCATCCTGTTCCTGGGCTCCATGTGCCAGCCGCATCCGAGGTAAGCGCAGGAGATGGCGGTCGACGTAAGAAGGCTGGGTCATGCTGTGCAGTCCAGTGACGCATCGTCGCCGCACAGCGCACTCTACTTGGAACGGCCCGCTTCAAAAGGCCATGTGCACGCGTACAACGCTGCCACGGCTCCTCTCTGTCAACGTCGCCCAGCTCCGTCATGCCCGCCGTCGTCTCGAAAATGGGTGCGATGGTGTCATGCTGCGCCCTGGCCCGCCTCGTCCGGTCGAATTCATCCTTGCCAAGATCCGTCTTTGCCTTTCACGCCATCCACGCACAAGTTCCACAAGTTCCTCTTCGCCACCGACGCCATCCAGCTTCTGCAGCCTCCGCGTGCGTGCTTGCCGGCGATGCGATCCTTCAATGTCGCGATAGCCTCGGATGGGCTGGACGGCGAACCTGGACGCAGACTGCATCTGATCCGGACTGTCGACTGTAAAACGTCCGTCTGCGTTCGATGTGCCATCATCACGGTTGCTGCCCCTTGCGTACGCATTCACAGCAGCTGCCCTGGCCAAGTAGAATGTCACCAAGACTTCTCCATGTTGCTAGTTTCTGCACCAACGATTGCCAAAGGGAAGGCAATGGCGAGCCTTTGCTAGTCATCGGAGGCCAATAGGACAACCTCTTGGCTCCATTACTCTGTTCAGCATACTAAGTTCAGATATAGCGCTCATACACGTGAGACGAGCTCGCATGCCACGATCTCGACTTCGACGACTTTCCACATGTTCCCCCACATGTTTCTTGGTCAGGTTTCGTCGTGCCGAGGACGAGCGAACTTTCAAATCCCCATGCTCTCTATCATGCTGATTGACGATGCAGAATTTCTATGCGTGGCAACGTCATTTGAGCATCCATCCCTGCCCCTGTTGCGATAAAATACGGAAATCATCCCCGTCCATGACAGGACTGAAGTAGTTACTTCGTAGAACCAAACACGTGATCACATGTTCAGACAAGAAAAAAACCGTAGATCCTTCTGATCCTAGTACAACGCCAGAGAACGAGTCGATGCCCATGCGAAACTTGCTGCGGATTTTAACATCTGACTGTCGATCGAGGTCGCCCTCTTCAGACGGTTCAGCCTCGGGGTAACGAGTCAGACAGCTGTTCTGAACGCTCATACATCCATCGTACTGGCATCTGAGGTAGTTGAGGTGCTTGGACGACAATAGGAACAAGATCGTCAGAGAAAAGCGAGATTCCAAAGTGGCAAGTGCGTCGCAGCATGCTTCACTTTTGAAACTTCCAAAGCCTTTGTTGAGAGGTAGATTTCATCTTGGTCACCATGACTTCGTCGAAGCTACAAAGAACTCCCTACCTAACGCTTGACAGCATCAATGTCCATCAGTGATTTGTCAGCGTCTCGAACGGCCACTTGTAGCCACGATGGAAGGCCACGCAGTAAGGGCGCAAGAAGACTGAAGCGTGTCGGCAGTATTATCTGCGCACTTTCGCCCTTCATGATCTGGTCTACGATTGCGCCCGCAACTGTTTCCGGCTCCAACACGAACTTCTTGAAGTGCGGACTTGTCATCAATCTTTCGATTAGCGGGGTACGTGTCCAAAACGGATGAACAACTCTGCATCCTCTGTTAGGTTAGGCCACAACAGAGACAGCCGGAGAGCTTACGTGGTGCGCACCCTTGGCGAACTGTACCTATGCTTCAACTCTTGAGCAAGTCCTTCGTGGAACGACAGCGCCGATGCCTTGGTGCAAGAATACTGCACATTGCTCGCGATCGGCGTGAAGCTCGCCATGCTGGCCACTGTCACGACATGACCGTGATTGTGTTTGATCATATGGGGCAGGAACTCCCTTGCCAGGTAGAAATGCGACAGCGTGTTGACCTGGAACGTCTTCTCCAGCATCTCCACTGGCTCGGCCAGAATGGTTTCTCCGCTTCCGATGCCCGCGTTCAGAATCAACACCGTCGCCTCGCCAAGATCATCTCTGATCCGTCTGCCGGCTTCGCCGATGGCCTTGACGGACGTAATGTCGGCGCTGTAGAAGCGTGCGCTCGCCGGGAGAGGCTTTCGAGGGCTCTGAATGTCCAACGAGGCCACCTTGATGCCCTTGCCCCCAAAAGCGTGCACCAGAATCTCGCCAATGCCGCTGGAGCCTCCTGTGATGACAACCACCTCACGGTCCCATTTCCAGCTCCTATCGGACGTCCAATTATTGAGCGCTTGGCGGCTGAGCCATTTGTTCGCTCTGAACAGCAAGCCGAGCCCGCAAAGAACACCTAGGCCATTTCTCAAGCCGGTAATGGTGATATGGCTTCCGAAGAGTTGGTAGATCACGCTTTGAGCTTCCAGCGGCTTCTCAAAAACCACTGCTAGTAGCAAACCGGTGATCACTGGCTGAAAGATGACCGCCTTGAATGGCTGGAGAAGCCATTCTACCGTAACGCCTTCACGGGGTAATCCTAGCATGGTACTCGCTATTTGCTTTTTAGGAGAAAGGCGTTCTTAAATCATCGACACAGTCTTTACGGGAAGTTTACAATGGGTAAATAATGCGTCGAGATTATCGTGCGAGATATATTATAGCATATCCGTGGGGGCTGGTTAGATTCTGCTTCAGCTGCGGCTGAGGCTAACAGAGTCCTTGAGTCCGAGTTTGCCTAGCACAGCGAATGGTTGATGATCTATTTTTATATGAGCTGCATCTGTCCTTTCCCGTGCAGGAATGCGCAGTTTCAGTTTTTGCTAATTTGATCCGAAGAACGTGAAGGGCTCAATCGAAGTACTCAAGCCCCGGGCATCGGACGGTCTCTCAACGTGGAAAACCCCGCAGGCTCTATTGCGAGCACACAGATTCTTAGTCAGTGGGCGCACACGCGACCTAATGGCAAAATCGAGAGCCGATACAGACTTCGAAATCAATGCAGGGTCTGTACTGCTCGATCAAAAGTTAATGCCCAGATTCCTGTAGCGGTGCGGGGAGTATTCTTGAGATACGGATAGCGACTCCTGGGGCACACGAAATGCGTAGAACAAGTAGATGTACCGCCGACCGCATACGTTTTCAAACAAACTCGAAATACTCTCCATCACGGCCTCGATTCAAGGGTGTGAACTTTCAAGCATCATTGCGTGTTTCAGCGTCACCCCCAGTCCGAGTCTGAACACGAATCATCCGTCTTCACGCACAGCTAACTTAACCGGAAAGAGTCTAGCATTTAGCAGCTTCAAGCATGAAACAATCTATTCTTGGAGTAATTTCAATTCGCCCCATGGCTGAGCAAATACAAGTAACATCGACAGTCAAACTCATCGCTGGACATTTGACTTTCGGCTTCTTCCGTGGGTTTTATTCTAGTGGCTGAGAAAGGGTCTAAGCCACAGTGACGTCTTTGAGAGTGTGTGAACACACGGCTCAGAATCAACAAAGTTCGATTCTTCCAACAACAATGAAAACGCACCAAAGAGACCAGAGATCATATCCGACAGGCAATTCGCCGTGGCCCATACAGGTCTAACTTCTATTCAAGAGTCGGGAGTCGTTATGAGTCGGTCATCCCCGCTCTGACCTTGAATATTGTTCAGATCAGGCGGCCGTCTTGAGCCTCGTCATCACCATATCGACCTCCTCCGTCGCCCCGCACACCAGGCCGGCTTTGTCCTCTACTGTCGCAATTTTTGTGTCCAGGATATTCACCCCACTGCTTGGGTCGACCGCCTTTCCTCCAGCACACTCGACAAGCAGCGCAATCGGCGCAAGCTCGTAGAGCCTCCTCAGCTTCGCTTTGCTTTCCGACGTTACTGGTGAAATGTAGATGCCATGGCCTTTGATGAGCGCGTGCACGACATCCGGGACCAAGCCGCCGGAGTAGCGGAGAGTATATTGGTTCCTGATGAAATGGCTGACGAGTGAGGCATATTCGAGATTCTGTGCGGCGGCGCGCAGGTTGGCCGGAGCGAAGTATCGCGTCTTCACCCGAGTCGCGTCCAGAAATCTGACGTCTGATCGCAACACCTGTACAGACTGGCTTTCGCCGTCGAGTCCAACCTCGAAGCAGGCCGGAGTACCCGATTCGGGAAGCCGAAGTGCGACTAGCGCCGTAGTTCGTGGGCCGAGAACCCCAAGGATTGCCGCGATTTGCCTCGATCTGGGGTCTTGGTTCAGTCCAGTCTTGCCATCCCAGATTCCGATTATCGTACCGACGGCCCAGTTGGCTGGAATGATGGAGCTGCCGTCCAGCGGATCGAAAGCGACTGCGTACTGCTCGCTTGTAACGGGCCGTGAAACTTGCTCGCCGATGTGCTTGACTGGACTCTCGCCCTCGTCTTCCTCGCTGCTTGCTGCCACGATCGACGGGCATGTCCTGATAGCGGAATGGATAGCCTCGTTGGTGGCCAAATCGACGTTGAGTTGGCTGTCCCCAGACGTGTTGATGCTCCCAGCTTGCCGAATGTCAAGAGATGACCGAAGGCATTTGGAAACATCTATGATGGATCGTAAGAGCGTTGGCAACACGGATTCACGAAGTTCGCGTCGTCCAGTTCCCGGTATCAGTTTGGTAAGATGCTCTGATAAGCTCAGAGAGGCGTTATCGGTCATAGTGTTCATGTCGAATTTGTCGCAATGTCTCGAATGTAGAGAGCACAATCTAATTGACAGAAAAGAAAGACTTCCGCTGTGCCTTTTTGTATCTGACATATACCTCCGAGACGAGGTTCAGATCTCGGACCCACATTCATGCATCGTCCGTCCCTCACCCTAACTAAGAGCTGATACCTTAGCAGCCAGTGCCTGCGACATCTGCACGTGATACGCTCAACTGGCACACCCATCCTCTTTCCAAGGTCATCAAGAAAAAAATTTTCCTCGACCTGTGTCTTTACAGTTGCATATCCTACCCGCGGAGTTTGTGCCACACTACGCGAGCGCCTTGGAAATTCACTACGTTTGCATTCCTTATTTGTTTCGTGACATGGACTGAAAAGTCAGAGAGAGCCACCCGTCCTCTGTTCGTATCCAGCCGACAGTTCGGTGCGTAGCGCGGAATGACCGCAGGGTAAGGTAGCGTCGCATGTTGCACAACTTCCCGAATCCATGGGGTTCGAGGAGAAGGTCGGTGCATCAAAGTCGCCATGTTTTTCGTACGAGGCGGTAAAGTCACGTCCAAACCCCCTATGCCTTCCTTTATGCAGGCCGCCGCCATGCTGACGACGATTTCTTCCCACATCATACGCCTTCGTTCACCCTCCTCTCCAGCTTCTTCATTGCCTCTTGATTCCCCTTAAGGTCATCAAAGAGCCTCCTTGGCCCTTTTATGCTCCATCGCCCGTCCTCTCGGACATAGAGCACATTTTCTTCTCCCCTGATGTTCTCCATCCCACCTCCTTCGACCCTACCGCAGACAACGTCCCACAAAAAGGCGTCCAGGTCCGCGAGTGCCGTTTCGGCATCAGCGTCGAGAGTGACATGCCCACAAGCCATCTTTACGCGACGCCTCTCTGCCGAACCTTCGCCGCTCCAGCCCTTGACCAGTCTTCTCAGCTTTCCTATGCTGTCGCTGTACAACAACAGGTCCCCCTCTTTGGGAAAGAGGATCGCAGCCCACTCGTACACCGAGTCACCGACGTACAGGACCCTTTCGTGCGGGTCCCAGATGGCAAGCTCGTCGGGGACGTGGCCGGGCGTTTGGTATGTGATCAAACCCAAGTCCTCGCCGTCGTACGTGACACAGTCCCCGTCACCGGCCCACTTTCCTATCTCGTACCGGGGCGTCTCGACGCCGAGAAACCTCGACAGCGACGACGTCGGCAGGTTCTCCCGCGAGAGAAACGTCTTGTCGAACCCGCTCGCCCAGATGCACGACCTGGCGTCGGTGAACTGCTCGCACGCGCCGATGTGGTCGAAGTGGCAGTGCGTGCAGATCACGACGTAGTCCTTCGACGCGCCCTCGTTCAGCGGCGCGTCGCCGTTCTCTTCGACGGGGTACACCTCGAGGAAATCGCGTAGCCGCTTCAGCTCCACGCGGGGTTCTTTCGCCTCGCCGCCGCATCCCGTGTCGATCAAAACCAGGGCTCTCGGCGTGACCTTGACGTAGATGAATGGATACTCGCCGAACCTGTCTTCTTCGACGATCCGAAATGTGGTGCTGTTCAGACGCGTGCACGTGAAGCACGTCGACGGCAGGGGCTCGGCGGCGATGAAGTCGCCCATTTCTAACAGAGTGGCGGATCTGTGCTCCTGCGGATCTGAGGTCCCCCCAAAATCAAACTTTCAGGTGTACATGTGTTTGGATAAGTTTATCCCAGGTTACGAACGGGATCGATTTGACGTAAAAGTCGGAGCAGGAGCAGCGCGGTAGTAGCCAGGCCTTCCCCATTTGAAGAGAGCCCCGCGCAGTTCATCCTTGGCTCGAAACATGGGACAATTCAGCGTGCTTTCTTTCGAGAACGCATGAAAAAAAGAAGACAAAGTGAAAGGGAGGATTGAAAAAAAAAGTCCCTATCATATCGCACGTAGCAAGCCTGCAGCAGATCAAGTGATCTTCTAAAGGCGTGTATTGATTAACGTGCTGAAATTCGTCGACTCATTGACCATTGTCTAGAGCAACTCTAGCCTTGCGTCTCGCCACCGGTATTAATCAAAAGGTAGCCTGCGCAGTGCTCCGTCTTTCCCTAATCTTTTCCTCATCTCTCCAGCGGCACCGACGCTGCTCGGCACGGCAATACCGCAGCAGTCTCCCCACGTGTTCTCTGCATGCTCATGCTTCTCGTTCCGCTCGGTCCTCTGCTGGAAGGCGTCGTCTTCCTCGACGCTCATGCCGTCTTCAGCGGGGATGAGCCCTCCAAATAGGAAATGCTGCATGACGGGGAGCTTGCCCAGCACCTCCTTTACGAACATCTTCTTCATGCCGGCCTCAATCTTCTCCCAGGACTTGGCCGACGAAATGTCGTCGAGCATGGGAGAATGCCACCGCAGACCCTCGACATTCTTGATGCTGTTGACAAAGGCGACCTGGTCCAGATACATGTAGTCCTGCGCGTACGACTCGAGCGTTGGCTGGTTGTGGATGCTTCGAGGCGTGATGAACTTGTGGCCGCACAGTTGCGACGCCCCAAACAAGAAGGGTAGGAACTGATAGTCGTCCAGCCCCCAAACTCCATGAGAGCCTGCCGGCTCGAGGTAGTAGTTCATCTGAACCTTTCTCATCAGCGCAATGTACCTGGGGAACACGACCAGGGTGACGGCGGGGAATGCAGATGGCGGAAGCAACGAGAGCCTGTTGAGACACAGCAGCCACATGACGAAGTTCAGTTCGTGGCCGGAGCCGTAGTCTATCCGAGCCGTGTTGCCGAAGCTGTTCTGCAGGTACGTTGAGACCTCCTGCCGAGCCGCAGACGGCACATGCAGCTGTGCGTGCCATTCCGGAAGCCTTGCGGTGAGGGCGGCGATGTACGATCGAAAGGCCGGATTGCCGAAGCGAGAGCCCGTGTCGAGCGGAGGGTTTGCGTCGACGAGGTCGGAGGCGGCGTCGAGGATGGCGAGGATGCTTTGGCAGGTTGGCGTCAGGCTGCCGGCGGAGACGGCGGAGATCGGGGTGTTGCGCACGCAGTCGGAAAGGCCAAAGACAAAGGCGAGGATGAGTGTGTACGTGGGTGAGGACAGAAACAACTCGAGGTCTTTGGGCGACAAGATCCGCCGCATGGGAATGCGGAAGGACATGCTCTCTGCTGCTGGCGCGTCTGGCAGCGGCGGAGTCTCTGGCGCTGGTTCTGAAGGCGTCGTGGACGACGCTTTGCGCTGTCGTGGCACGAGCTTGGGAAGCTTTTGCTGCGCTGCAGGCGGTAGCGCAGCATCTGACATCGTCATCGTTGCGAAACTGGTTGAACCGGAGGAAGTTGGGTGTCCACAAGATACGATCACACCAAATCTTTCGATGTTTGAGCGTGCAGGATGACGGAGTAGCTTCCGGTGTCGGCAGCCTTTTAGCACTATAACTTACCATCTACGCGGGGAACAAGGTTGAGGCCGCTCTCTCTCTCTTTCTCTCGCTGACCACGTCCTCTCCGCACACCGGTCTTGCTTATCGCTCATGAAAATGCTGCCGAAGGCATATGGGATCAAATCATTTTAAGACGGAGATTTCAATCTTTTCCGCTGATCCCGGTTAGCTGAGGCGCTATTCGGTCCCCGGATTGCGAACCTGATCTTACCACCGTGTTGGACCAGCAGGAAACGGGTTTTTCTTCTGCTTGGATTATTACCTTTGGCATGAGCCCATGGATCTGCAGCGAGATATGCACGATTCAGGATCGAATTCAAGTTCAAAACCTAGGTGCACCGTGTGGTACTTTTCTGCGAATCTGTGGTTCTATGCCGCCTTTGGGTTTGTGGACAAAGGGTATGAAGAACATGATAACACATTCGCAGTAGAAAATTGGAAGACAACCACTGCAAATGAGAGCTCTGAGGATAATGCGGCGCAGATTATTCGCCCCCTGATGATTAGCAGCCAGAGAAGCATCTTGGACAAAGGATAGAGATAGTCAATGCATGGAGATATTACGTTTAGATTGCACACATCCTCATTCTTCCATGACGTGAACTTTGTGTATTGCAACGACATGCGCTCATTTCTCTGTCCCCAGCAATTCATTCCTCGACTATTACACAGCGTACGGACGCAATAAGATGTACGCTATGCACTACATTCTCGGGTGCTTGATCCGAGATAGATTGACATCCTCCACAGCAGAGCGAACTTCTGCATCACGACATACACGTGCCTGATTTCCGGCGCATTCTTAATGACTTAGTCTAGAAGCTAATCTTGATTCTTTCTCCAAACGAGGCCAGCAGCCAACATGGTGATTGGTGTGGATTAAAACTCGGCTGCGCTCAATTATTCTATTATCTCTCATATGTTTAGGCCATCAGAGCGTTTCCTCTAAACCAACTCCTTCTATTTGCCGCAGAAAGGCGTATTTGTGCTGTTTGTAGTATGTTGTGAGTTCGAAAATGTGTACAAATCAAGCACATATTAGTCGGTATCTCAGCGACGACACTAATCGTCCTTTAGCACTTCTCTCGCCTTTGTTCTGCATAAGATCTGTTCAAGACACATTCTTGCAAACTTAGAAGTGTCAACATTTAATTCTAGAGATGTCCCATAAAGAAAGAGCCGCTAGAGGTTAGATCGCAATATTTCCGAGGCCGCTTAGTCTCAATCCGGTCGTGAGATGGTTCCAAGTCTTTGACGAACGGTTGGCGAAGCCTGCGCCGGATTCGAAGTCCATTTGTTAATGATATTCAAGAGCTGTTTTCGCGAAACCGGTTTCGCGACGTGATCATCCTATGACACCAGGTCAGTACGATATTTAGATTCATTGAATATCTCGGACTTGCCATCCCAGCAACAAGACATTTCTCCCTATCTCCCTCGATTGCACTCGCAGTTAGCGCAATGATGGGGCGATCGTAGTGTAATAATTTTCGTAACTGTTGGGTTGCTTGGTAACCATCCATGACTGGCATCTGACAATCCATGAGAATGATATCTGGCCAGGACGTTCTGGGATTCGGTTCACTCGGACGCTTTGAATTGCTGTTACATGCAGCATCGTTTCGACTGTCATCTCCAATTGAAAGGACAGGAGGCGAGGTTTTGCTCATGTACGAGAGAGCTTCTGCGCCGTTGTGGACAACATCGACCTTTTTGAAACCCATGCTCGCCAAATGCGCCATCATCACCTTCCGGTTAATTTCGTTGTCTTCAACGAATAGTATATGTAAATCTTCTTTCTTTTGAGAGGATAGTTCTAGATTGGGAGATTCCGAAGACGTCGCGTCTGCTAACTCCGTGAGAGACAGCGTCGATTTAATTTCGACTTTCTCGGGTGCCGTCAGTAGAGTCGAGGCGGTCGCCAATAGCAATGTCACTTTGGCCTTGGTTCCAACGTTTTTGGTGGACTGCAGGGTAACAGAGCCGCCCATAATTTCTGCCATCTGATCAATGTTAACCATGGATATATAATGAGAAGATTCTAGTGTCGATTTCATTCACAATCCGGTGGGAACTGTAGAAAACTTACTTTACGCGCGATGCTCAAACCAAGCCCGCTCCCACCATAGATCCTCGTCGTCGACTGATCAGCTTGTACAAAGGGAAGGAATAACTTATCGACGTCCTCTTTTTCAATACCGATCCCGGTGTCTTCTATCAAAAATTCCACCCTGACCATGTCGCCACACTTGTGATAAGATGTGGACAGCTTCACATAACCCTGTGACGTGAATTTCATCGCATTTGTAAGCAGGTTCTCCAATCTGTTCCACATTAGTGATATGGACGTAGACTTGCAACGTACTAGAGGGCGTACATCTGCCGAATACGACCCGTATCTCCCATTAGCTGTATGTCCGGTCCCGCTTGGAAGCTGAGGAATTCAAGCCCTTTTCGGGTGGCTAGCAATCGATTGCTTTTGCAAACTTCGTTGAAGAACCGCGTAAGGCTAAAAGGAATACACTCTAGGACGATGGCAGATGCCTCGGATTTGGAAAAATCTAGGATGTCGTTCACAATCTGGAGCAATCTATGTGCTGAGGACTGTATTGACTCCAAAAGATCAATTTGCTGATGGTCAAGTCTGGTTTCCAAGAGCAATTCAACGAGACCGGTCAGACCTGCGATTGGGGTGCGCAATTCGTGAGATACGTTTGCAAGAAACTCACTCTTTAAACGGCTCGTTTCTTCCATTGCTTTCATCTGAGCCTTCACCTCGTCGTGCTCCCGCGCTGCTGTAATGTCGATGCTCGCCCCAACCAGTCCTTTAATCCTGTCTTTTGAATGCGGCTCCTGGTCTTCATCAACGTGAGGTATAATGATAGTACGAATGTAGAGCGAACCGAAGCTGTACTCCACAATTTCTTTGGATGAATTCCCAGTCATCACGTCCACCAAGGCACGTTGCAAGGCAGGAATGCCACCTGGAGAGATTGACTCGATGAATTCAAGTAGGTTTTGCCCAATCATGCTCCGCGAGTCGTGCTTGCCATCGGTTCTAAGGTCCCCAAATTCCATGCTTCCTGAACCGGCAGTTACGATGTAATTCGCGTCGATTGCGAAGAAGAAAACGTCCAGTTCTGCGAAAATCTTCTGCAGCACGAATTTATCCGCGTGTGCTTGTTCTCGCTTCATAACCAGGTCGTGGATGTCCTCAGATATGGAGTACCAGCGCACAAAATGGCCGTCCTCGTTGTACATTGGTTCAGTACGATCCGAGAACCAGCGATACAAACCGTCTCGTCCACGAATTCTAATTTCGCACTCTCTACTCCTCGCGACAGTGCTGGATGCAGGTCTTGTTTGGACGAATTTCTGGCGATCGTCGGGGTGGAGACAATTAAACCAGCGCGAACCATGTAGGGCCTTCGCCTCTAAGCCAGTGTAATTTGTCCACGCCGTAGAAACGAAATCCACTTCTCCGTCAAGCGTGATTGAACGGATTAATCGCGCTCGATTCCAATCCGTGGTAGGTTCGCCATGTGTAGCGGTATGACGCAGATTGTCGTATCGCTGCACATACAAGGAGAACTCTTCCGGCTCAACGCATACGATAACGCCCAGGAGGTCATTACTATTAGGTCGGTTAAGCAAGATTGTAGAGGCGTTGAACACATTACGGGTCCCAGTCAAAGGATCTTCAAGGCCTCTGCGGCAATTCAACAGCGCTTGACGTCTGGAAAGCGATGTAATAGCTGCGCCTTCTTCGGCGGGGAGTTGACGAGTAAACTCAGGATCAGTGAGTGTTGTCTTGTGCTTCGTATGGACATGTTGAAGAGTCCACGGGTAGGACTCTGTTCCGGAGAGAAACTGTCGACCGCGATCATTTAGCTTATGGGACGCTTGACTAGCGGTCATGATTGAACACATCAAGTTGGGTGAATTGAACGTGGGTGCGGCAATCGTTTGCAGCATTTCCCAGTCCTCTTCTTCCGTAGGCCTTTTCTCTTCTGGTCCAGCTGGGATATTCGGTGTTGGGATGCCAGTGAAACTACAGTACGGCCTGCACTCAACGTCACAATATGCCATAGCCCAGGTGAGACTCGACAGTCCTGATCCACACCGAGCGGTCGGCAATGTAATAATCGGTGTTTTGTACGTATCCTCAGCTGATATTATTGCGCTTTTGCGTTCTCTTGACTCTCTCAACTCTTGCAGATACTGTTCTATCGCGGACTTCGCGGGAAGACCAAGGGCGACTGAGAGTTCGTTGTCTAGGACTAACGTGCCGTCCAAGAGACAAGAAACATTGCAGCGCGGGAGGATCAGCGGTTGAATCAACAGACGTGCGGCGGCATTAGCGAATGCAATCGTGCCATTGGCGGCGACAAACAGGCACGGTAGTGGGAGGTGTTCAAGAAAGTTGTTCGTATCTAGAGGCATGGTAGACACGCCATCCCGCCGCGGAGGCATTGGGAATCCTCGAAGGCGTGGACGTTCGTTAAATTCAGGGCTGACATGAACGACGCATAGAAGCAAAGCGATATCTTCGTGGATTCGGACTATGCATTGTACAGATCATAGGGCTAGGAGCTATGCGGTCGGGTGTCGTAAGGGTCCAGATGCTATCTACTCCGTCAGCAGCTAAGGTGGATCAGCGCGATCGGACGGAAAACTCAGGGGTTGCGCTTGTGCGGATCAAGCACAGGGCAGAGAAGATCCAGTGGGGACTTCTGCTCAGTTGTGGCGTCTCCTCACTTGGTAAAGGAGTTCTAGATTTTCGAACTGGACGCCTGCGTCAAGCTGATTTCAAGGTGTGGTAAGTCCTTAATTCAGACAGGCACTTCATGAGGGCTTTGATAGTCGTTGCTCTAGAAAACTTCTCGGACTTGAGAATCAGCGAGAACTCCCATATCAAGAGTTCAAGCTTGTCCAGGAGATTTCGAACGCCCAGACTTCCAATTATGAGAGGCGGAAAAAAAGAAAAAAAAATCTAGCCAGCGTATTGCGATCGGATACAGCGACATATTACAGCCCAAAGAACTCCCAACATGGTCTCTTCCTTGCAATTTGGGATATCGTATACTTGGCGGCGAGTCTCAAGTACCAACACACGAGCCAGCTCTTGCGTAGCCGAGTAAGAAGTTTGTTGGATATCGCTCATGACTAAAGGCCTCCCATTTTACGATCTCCAACATGGCATAATGTAAGCTAATGTCTCGATTATTTTGTTTCTGTTAAGTTAGATTATTCTCATGTGGACGAACTTATCGTGCAGATCTTGCATCAGACGACTTCTTACCGGCGTTGTCAACCACATATATCATCGACGCAAGTCCTATCTCTTTGCTTGAGAGAGTTGTATCCATCTCGTACTTCTCACCCTGGAGAGGCTCAATCTTGCTTTCCTTTGTCAAGCATAAGCCCACGCAGAGAGCGAGGAGAACCACGGAAAAAGCGAGCGCAACATAAACTATGAGGCGCATAACATCAGAGTACTTACTAAAGTCAGACTACGCCTAACTCAGAGTCAAGCGGAAGCGGCCCTTACCGCAAGATCTATTGCATTTCTCTCTGCAGTGCCTTTTGCTGGTATGTCCACGCTTGTGATAGACTGAAATACGGCAGCAACAACGGCTTCATCTGCTCCTTTGCCGATTCTTGATCTAAGTCGTTCGCGGAAATAATTTGTGTATATAGCTCCAGCGTACGTATCACCTAGTGCCGAGCCAACGAACTCGAACAGAAGCACCAAAGACGTTACTTGCGCCATCTCTGAATGCGGTACCCTCATCTGCGCAGCAGCAATGATGACGATAGTGATGAAACCAGTCCCTATGCCTTGAACGAGCTGAACTATATACAGCTCCGCATCAGAATTGCTGGATCCTCTAAGGCGAACCATAACAACATAGCCGAGGAGACGGATGCAGGCTCCGGTTAACAGAACCGCCTTGAATGATGGAGATGCATCACCCTTGGCTAGTCTGATGCTGAGGAAAGGGAACCGCTTTGACCAACTCTTTTTGAAATGGTACCGCTTTTGTGCAATCCATGAACCAATCAGCATACTAATGAAAAATTGCGTGACGCCATTTATGTAGTTAAGATATGTTGCTTGTAATGGGCTGTACGCCTTGGCAATGACGCTCCAATTGTAAAGATATGCATGAGTGCCTTCAAAACCAATCTGATCACACACACCAATCAAGAAGCAGCATAAAATGGTCGGGTCTCTAAAATAGCGTGCAGGCAGAACAGGATTTTTGGCGAAGTACGTTTCGTACCCGATGGAGATCAAAATTGTCACAATACCCATCGCGAGGAGAACTGGAATCCATGGAGTAGTCCAACGCGAAGTGGTCGTTGCCGCAAGGTTTATAGGTAGGAGAAACATGGCGAAACCAGCCATTAGCAGGAAGAGTCCGACTGCATCTGTCTCTGAGAGGAAATTTCTTGCGTCAAATCTTTTCTCTCTCGATGAACCCGCCTTTTTCGCACGTGATTGGTAGTAAATCAACGTAACGATTATGAAACTCGACGCGAACGGCAGGATGATTGCCAAAATCTGTCACTTGTCGATCAGATGTGTTGATTAGACGGAAAATTGTTTCGATGAGAAAACGTACGCCAAATCCCCATCTCCATCCAATACCACCTTTCGAGACGACACTGTTGACGATAAAACCACCACACCAAGGCACAACCAAGAAAGGAAAAAACGAAAATGATAGACCAAACACTCTCCAACGCGGCGTTGTAATGTCTGAGACTACAATGTCGTTCATTATGTTCATGCCAGTCGCTGCGACGCTGTGGAACAACGAGCCTACGGCATATGTCGCCACGTTTTTGCTCGCCGCACACAGGATGTAACTAAGCAAAAAGAATGAGACTGCAATCAGATACGTCTATCCACGTCCGAGGACATCTGCAAGCTTTGCGTACAGCAATTTGCAAATAGCGAAGAGGATGGTTCCTGCTGTCGAGAATGTCGTAGAGAGTGAGAGGGACCAAAACGATGAGAGTGCGTACGACGCATAACTATACACGGTGCTGTTGTCCAGCTCATATACAGTCATTGATAGACTGATGCCAATCATGACAAGATAGCGACCCTTCTTTCCCCAACCACCTTGACCATTTAGCGAATTCCGAGCCTAGAAAACCCATATCAGAGGGAGACTAAGAGATTTATGATTCTGTGATTCCAATTTCCATTTCTTGCACGTACCCCATTTTCCCCTGAGGTTAAGCTCTCATCAGTAGTAGTCGTCGGATTCTCGCGATTTTCCATGATGGTCGCAGGAGAGCGAGTTTTTTCACTTAGTCCAAATATCGCTTCTTCACAGATATTAGGGACACTGCATGATGTTCAGGTCTTCTTGATGGACAAACAAGATCTGTACAGACAGGACAAATTCACTCTGCGCTTCTTGGGACTTTGATGGCTTTATGCATGGCGACAAACTCAGGGTTTTGTGATAAGGATGGTCGATGATCGGCGATGCAGATAAAGCCAAAACCGACATGCTGGACGCTTACTGAGTATACACGTACATCGGCATTGAACAGGAAGGAGGAAAATGCCACGCGTTAGAGAGGCTCCGGGGCGAAGATGATTATCGTGGATATATCTGGTTCCAGACAGCATCTGCATGAGTGAATGTAACTAAACGCTGTTGGCACTCAATCTGACTGCATTTGCTCTAGCGAACACCGGAATAGTCTTCAGGTCCTTGAAATGTTGTGGAACCCGGCTTATCTACGAGCAAGGGAGGAGATAAAAACAAACACTTCTCTATCCTGCAGTCCATTTACGATACAACAGCTTGTCTTCATTCTACAAGCAGGCATCCATAATTGTTCAGTCAGTGCGTTATTTTGCACAGTGCGGATTCATTACCAATCGACAAGAAACTAGGTACTACCACAGAGATGCTCACAGACGCAAAGAGTCTTATTCACATCACATATCAAAATGCCAAGCGTTTCAATGTTTTCATGCGGAAAACGGCACTATAAATCGTAAGACCATCGGCTTGAATCCAGGAGAGAGGCTGCCCGGGCTATTTCAGTCTTGGTAATACGCATTTGAGCAGCACATTTAATTCTTAGAAATCTGCACCTTTGGCAAAGTTTCTGGAAAGATGTACAGCGAATAAAAATGATCTATGACAGAGCGCAAGCTTCTCCTTTGGCTTATAAAACCCAAGGAAAATCATTCTCGTGTGATGAACAGAAAACGCTACGCAAGGTAAGGTCGGAACGACTGTGGTCACCCGGCTAGACTACCCTCTTTCGTAGCCGAAGTGGAATCCAAGCTCCGACGTCCTCGCCATGCCGTCAAGTGGCGCAGGCTGGGATGTCAAACAAATTGCCTTAGTTCCATGCTGGGTTTTATGGGCCCTTGACTCTGGACGAAATTCGGTAGAGCAAGCAATCGACCAGCTTTCGTCTCCACGTTGGTCGTAGAAGCGGAGGAATACGCAGCACATTTTGTTAGACGAGCTCGGATTTCGGACAAATTCTCCCAGCTTAACTCCACAGTCACGTGATGCAATCGCGCATACAGCCAATCAAGCCGTTTCTTGGCTGCTGAAGACATTACTGACACTTAATACAGCAACCTAGCAAGCTATGAACTAGCCATTGGTACGTTGAATTTTGGCCGTCGTGAAGGGATAAGGGGGTCGGCTTTGAGTGCTGAGGCACATTTCCACGGGCGAAAAACGCCCAAGGTCTTTATCAAAGTGATCCTTAACGTTGATCCCCCGCCCGTCTCAGTCCGGCGCGATAATTTCGCACAGAACAATATAAAGACATTTTCACACCTTCTGAGTGCCCACTATAGATTCAGACAACAGGAAGCCTTTCCTGCCATTACCTAGTGACTGATACATTTATCCATTCTTGGCAAATTGGATCCGACAACATGTCCTTGACTTCTTTCTTCGCCCACGTCATCAAAGCGCAATGGTTCACAACGATTCCTAAACAGACGAGCACATTTGAAGGCCAGACAGTGCTGATCACAGGTGCGAACACCGGTCTTGGTCTAGCCGCAGCAAAGTATATGGCGTCGCACAAAGCTGCAAAGGTGATCATTGCGTGTCGCAACACGTCGAAAGGAGAAAAAGCAAGGCAGGAACTTGAAAAGGAAACTGGAGTCAAAGGTGTCGCTGAAGTTTGGGAGCTCGATCTCTCCTCATACGATTCCATCAAGAGCTTTGCGACGCGAGTGAATGAGAACTTGGACAGGTTAGATGTGGTGATCTGCAGTGCAGGCATTAATACGATGAAGTTTGACGTTGTCAATGGCTACGAGAGCATGATCGCCGTTAACGTGGTCGCGACGTTTCTTCTCGGACTTCTCTTGCTGCCGAAGCTCAAACAAAACGTGGAAAAGTATCCGGACTCCAGGCCGCATCTGTGCTTCGTTTCGTCCGACACACACATGACCGTTACTTTGGACAAGGCGGGTCGGAATCAAGACGAGCTGATATTCGAAAACCTCAGCGACAAGAGGAAGACATCGATGCCGTCTCGATACCCAATGTCAAAGCTCCTTGATGTGTTAATGACCTTCCAAATGGCAGCCAAAGTCGGAAACGAGTATCCCGTCATCATCAATACAGTCAACCCAGGTTTGTGCAAGTCAGACCTGGGCCGCGAGGCTCCCAGATTCTTGACCGCTATTGTGAATTTCATACTTGGTGCGAGAAGCGCTGAGGTTGGCATTCAGAATTATATTTATGCCGTCACCGGCGGAAAGGAGAAGCACGGTAAATACATTAGTGAATGTCGAGAGGGACCTCTGGGACCCGGGGCAAAAGGGGCCAAGGCAGAAGTTTTGGCTGCAAGGGCTTGGAAAGAACTAACAGATATATTGGAAAAGATTGAACCTGGCATAACAAGCAAGCTGTAGTCGTGGATGTCAATTTTCTGAGATAGTTGTACTTTGCAGATTAGCGCTGATGCTTCATGGAACTGTTATTTCATGGGATTCATGTTTTTGTGTAAAATTTCAGCCATTTCTCAATCAGAATGCAGTGAGCTGATGCCGTTACGTACGCCATCTTCGTGATTCCTACATAATGTTAGCTCCTAAGTCAAGGTAAGTTTGAAGCAATTGAGCACTGCTACTCTGTAGCTATATTGATTCCGCATCTAGACCGAATTTGAAGCATCAAATTGATCAAGTTGTGAACTCCAGGTTGGGAATACTCATGGACATGAAATAGGGGTCGAGCAAGGTCCAGTCCAAATCTTCAGGGCCATCAGGGCCATCAATCATGTGCGATATAGTCTCCGTAAAGGGCAGTTCTAGTTCTATTGACGTTGGCAACGAGCTTTGGGACCTGAGCAGCGAAAATCTCAAAGCCAGCCTGGCGCAAATTGTTGACTACAGTCGTTTTTTTCATTCACGAACTGCTTAATACAATGGAGGAGATCCAGCCGGGGATAGTGTTGAATCTTTGAAGCTTAACTCAAACGTGGCGGTATTGCTGTCGGTGGTTTAGAATACTCTTTGGGTCTGAATAAACCATTGGTATACACACATTGTTGGTATTCTATGACGCGCTGTTCCACTGCAAAGTAGGTAAGTTAGACATCTACAACGTTTGCTTGGTGCTGCTGAACAACAGATGTGATTCAAGACACTTGTCTGTTAGGATCTAATCAGTCAAAGAGTGATCGGTTGATTCTCGTGGCTCATCCGGAGCCGAACTCTGAGCACGTAACTGTCTGCCGAGCTGAGAAATACAAGTATATGACGTCGGCGTGACGCGACGACAGCGGTTTCAGATACAATGGGTCCACAAATGATTGGCCCATGGGCATCAAAAGGCCAAAATTTCAATCACGTCGAGCCCTCCATTGCCCGTCGAATTCAGGCATTAGCTCGGCCAAGTTGAATCTGCTGAATTCGCACCGCAAAGGTCGATTCGTCGAAGTGTGCTTCATCGCGCTCGCTATCACGTGCCAGGGTCCAACGTGAAAGTGGCGTGTCCTTTTGCTGCTTTCGTTAATGCAACGTCGCGTCTTTGTTCTAAAAGTTAATACTACTTCCAGCCAGACTGTCTTTTATTTTCATGACTGTGCCGTACAATGGATCATGAGCAAAATCCGTGGTTGGCGCTGAAGCCGCCTGCGGCGGACAGCATTACCTATCTCACTTTTGTGGAGAATAACCTGACGCTGGACACCCTTCCGCAGCTACACGAGGTCCTACAAGACATAGAGTTGAACCAAGCAATCGGGTGGGATCTTGTTCAACTCCTTCTTCCAATGGTGCCAGCTTCGGAGGCGTGTTTGCTTGATATCGCGAAGCTGGGCAACCCTCGCGAGGTGGTCTTGAAAGTATCGGAGAGTATCCGAACGCTCTCATTTGATGACATAGACAAAGCCTCTGAAACAAGTTCAATTGGTGATGACGCGAACACTGGACAGGAAGATTCTCCAGCCGTAGCAGCGTCAAGCCATGAGGCCACAACAACAGGACGGTCTGAAGCGGAATTGCCCCTCCCAGTACTGCAGTTCCGCGTATTGCTGTCTATGCTCTCGATCTTGCATCCAAGGATCAAGACAAAGTATCCCAGTCGGTTCCTGTCTTCCACCTTGCAAGCTATTCTTGCTACGTACATGGAGGCTTCAGCCTACCATGACGAAATGACAGAAGATGTAATCAAATTGCTCAAAGCGTTCACTGGGGCGAAACGTCCCGTTTTACCACCAAGAAAGAGCAGTAGCAAAGTCTTGCTTCAAGATCTTGCAAATTCCGCACCGGATCCGGAAGGGACCACTGAAGAAGCATCAGCAGGAGAAGGCGAGCTGTCAGGCAAGTTGCTACAGTCATTTTTGACACATATTCTTGAAGAATATATGATATCTATGCCTGCTATGGATGATGTTCCAGGAATGGCTTGGTCGGTGCGGTATCAAGAGAAGATTGACCCGAGTCATGTCGTTCCACACAAGCAGACGGCGACAGAAAAGGTGTCAAAGTCAGAGCGCTTCCAGTCAAGACTGAGCACGGTGGGATCCATTGTAGCTTTGGCGCGAGATCTCGGATTAGAGTCCGGTACTCTTCTTCAAACTATCCTGGATGCAGCGCCAGAATTACGAGGTGATGAACGGAATGAAGATGATCCGCCTTCTTCACCGGAGGAAATTCCTCTTTCGAAGACTGGTTCGCTGTTTCTTCTTGCTGCACGCAAAGCTTCTGAAGCGCTGTACGCCCAACCAATCGCAACGCCGAGCCTACTCATATTCCCTCATCACGCGTCAATCGTCAAGAACTTCTTGGGAGTGACGAACAAAGCAGCAACAGGACTCGAACCAGAGGCCCTAATCGACGCGGTGCTTTTTCTTGGACTACAGTCCCTCCATTCAAATGCCATGGGAGAGCCTGTGTCTGATGATGAATTTCTAGAGTATCTGCAAAGCATCTCACTCTTATCTTCGAATTCTCCGTCTCCAGTGCTGCGATACCAAGCCCATTTTATCTGTACATCAGTTTTGCGTTCACATCCTCACGATCTCGTGAGGCTGTCATTTATTCGTGACACGCTCGAGAACTGCCCTTATCAGAATCTGAAAGCAAGTGCTGTGGGCTGGATCAAGGGCGAAACGATTGAAGCGAACCCACCAGAGGCACCATCAGTAGCCGATAGTGCCGAAGCACCTTCGATTTTTGCGACTCCTGTCGCCCTGTCCACTCTTTCACCATTCTTGTTTCCAGACCTTACAGAACGTTTCGCGACGCCGAGCGTCGTCGAATCGTATACGCAATTCCTAGCCGACTTGAGTTTCCACCTCGCCGTTCTGAACTTCTACTACCTGTTGTTGAAAGCACGTCACCTTCATGACGCACTAAATATTCGAGCTCTCAATAAACAAGCCGACGTAAAGGATAGCTATATTGCGCCTTTGAAGGAAGCTGCTCAACGATTCAGATTTGGTCTTCGCGAAGGCGGAGAGCTCTGTGAGGGAGAAGTCAATACTGAAGCAATAATGGAACTTGGACTATTGGAAGATGCGATCCAGAGAGTGGAAGAAAGTATCGTGACTCTCGGTTAGAAGGCATCATGCTGACGAAGCGAGTCCGTTGGTTAGATTTCTGTACTATTACATGTGAATGGATACTGCTATTCCTTGAGAAGACGCCCCCTGATGTAATATCTTGTTCCATGAACTCTCCAATTCTCAAGTTGCACGGGAATTTGAAATACAGTGGTACATGCAAGCCGTCTGTTACCGAGAGCAAACTAAGTTTAGCGCACCCTGAACATCACGATGTTTCATGATTATGGGCATAGCTTTCCAAAAATAGACTTTATAATTTGACGAAACAGATATCCCGAAATTGGATACATAATCAAGACTCGGTGTTGACGGAAGCCCAATATTGCAAAGCTGCGATGGAAGCTCCTAAAGAATGTTTAATTTAGTCATCTCTAACGCCGTGGCTTGTTCAAGTCTGCTGTGCCCTCACGTTCCTGTTTGGCGGTGAGTATATTGAAGGGTCGAATGGCGCGGTCGTCAGTAAGATTGATGTTACGCAATGAAATGCTTAATTACGGGGGTGACTGGAACGAAGTCGAAGACGCTTTGTGAAACTTCAAAAGCAGCACACGAAGTGACATATAGAGCCTGTGCCATATCCTTTGGCGAAACATGTAAGAGGCGGAAGCTGGTGATGATGCATGTGCTTGCTCCTCAGTGGCGAATTGAGATGAGGAGAGAATCAAAACTTCTCGTGAGCAAGAGAGAGTGTTCAAGTATTTACAAATCGACTGAGTAATAGGCCGGCAACTAGTCTTAACCTCAGGCAGTCGGATATCAACGGTTATGATCGAATCCACATAAACGTGGAGGAAGTGTATATACATGACCGTAACGTGATATTTACGTCATTTCGAGCGAATTCGAGACAGCTCCTGTGTCTTTTCTGCCCGTGGCAATAAACTACTCATACTTTTTAAGGCCGTGGTCGATATTAATAAAGCACACGGCAAAGTTGCTCGAGCATTTGATACTAAATTGCTGGATGAATGTCGAACGACCCGAAGATGGCGTGAACGTCTAGCACCATGGAGCAAATAAGCGAACACATCCAAGGGCACGATACAAAACAAATGGTCTGTCCTGTGCGTTAAATAACTATCTGTGGCGCGCAGAGGGACGACGGTATCTTTCCGTGTGCCATTTGGCATGGGAATTTCATCTGTTTTAGGCACTGCATTTTCTGGTCTTTATGATCGGTTGAAGCTGTAGCCACGCGCGCGCTCTCATGTCTCCATTCAGTTGACGATTGTAAACCGTGGAGCTGGACAGAGTGTATGTAAAGTACGAAACTTGTCGTTGCTCAATTGGCCTCGTTCAGGCCTTTGAGAGTCCAAAGGCCCCCATTAGTCCACCAGAGCGAGAGATGGTGCTGAGAGCCACAATCCGGCCCCCACTAGAGAAGGCTTGGGTGTCTGGGATCTGTATTGCTGACAGGTTGCCTGGCGAACATCTGCAGCGATCCGGGTTCTTGTCTCGATTGATTGACCCGGAGTCGAGCGGGGGAGATGCACTCGGAGCACATGCTTGGTCCACGGATGGACGAAGACAGGACTGTCTGAACCATCCGGTTGAAGGCTTGAGGTTGTGATTGGGAGGTTGGTAGCGAGGTGCCTGGCGATGCTTCGTTTGGTGGCGCTTGAGGACGTTCTCAAGGGGCGCAGAAGCTTCGGTTGATCCGCGCAGCGAACTTCATCGCTCGTGTTCCTTTGCACCGGACCTATGCTCTCCTACATGTTGCGGCGCGTACTGCACTTTCGGCATCTCATTCGCGTGATTGCGGGAAAATATAGACCGATCTTCACTGCAATGCACACATGTGACAAGGAACGTGTGCTCGACCACCTCACAAGTTGGTTTTATCGCCTTTACTGGCTGCGCGACCTGACCGACGGTGCTATCGTGCTGAGCCCACCAAACTTCAACGCAGCACGTCCAAACCCGTGCAGATTCAATCCCTCGCGGCGGCCACAGTTGGACTCTGAAGAAGACTGTATAGATCAGGTTAGTCGTCGCGGTTCTGCGGGCATTCGAGTTGCTGGAACAGCACGTCCCACAGTCAATGTCAGGACGACATGGTCAAGCTTTGTTCTCCACACTCCGCTGATTGGATTAGAAAAGAGCCAGCGCTGGAATTAAGGCTGACATGCATTTGCTTCTCGCCTCTTCTGAACGAACCTGCTTCCGGGATGGCTTGACTTGAGCCGGGGCTTCATGCTGCTGTCCTGCGGGCGTGGGCTTACTGCTGCTGCGACCTTCGCCCGCACGGCGGGCAGTGTCCACGGTCCTGGCCTGTCTTCCTCGCCGATCCCCAAAATCCACAGGCCATGTAGGCATGGATCACTCGCAGCACTGATTGGAAATTCTTGTAAGACCACTTGGACCTGCTCTTCTGGCTCTTTGCACTGTCGATCTCGTCGCCCCAGCTTCTGCATTCTTGACATTTTGGGCTCGCCGGAGGCTTTCTCTCTCTTTCTTCTTTCTTTGGTTTTTTGCACTGCGTGAAGTTTCCAGCATCATTCTCCAGGGCTGCGTTGGTAGCTATGTCTTCGCCGGCTCCGCCGTATGTACCGTCACCGCATGTTGGAGGACCGGCGTTTACTGAAGAATGGGATCAAACGATGGACCCAGTTGCCCAGCATGAAGTGTCTCCGGCAACGACAAATATGACCTCTGTCAAAAAAAGCTCTACGGGCGTCGTTTCGCCGTTGAACGAGCACCCTGATATCGTGTCTCCGGGGATGGAAGCCATTTATAGTGGGGACCAAGGGAAGGAGGTTGTTCCGCAGCCGCCTGTGGAGCAATACGCACATTACCGAGAAATAGAGAACTATCCGCACTACGAAAATCAGATGACTGCGGAAAAGCAGAGAAGAAGGATATGCGGGTTGACTATACCGCTATGTCTGGTGCTTCTCGCGTTCCTGATCATCGCTCTCGCCGTAGGCCTCGGCGTTGGGCTAGGAGTGGGCTTGAACAAAAATCAGTAGGTCTAATCGTAGCCTTTACATATCACCAGCTGACCATACAAAGCTCAAACAAGAGCTCATCGCTCAACGGGAACATAGTCAATCCAGAGTATCTGTCAAAGACTGGAGCTTTCAATGGAACTGGTCTTGCAATTGCTTCTTACTCATTTGGTACTGGTGGCTATGGAGTCATTAATGTATATTTCCAGCACTGGACCGGTCAACTCAGGAAGATGCAATTGATGCAGGATGGCAGCTGGCAGGGCGGTGATGCTTCTAACATCGTTGCTACCGATGCGCGAAATGCCACGCCCATATCTGCAGTGGCCTATGCTATGGATGGAAAAGCAACGGTAAGAACAGATTTAAAGCGTTACATCGAAAAATCTAATACGATACAGTGGCATATATTTTATATTGATCAGAACAACAAGATCCGTGAGAAGATCAATGACAACACGACAAACCAGTGGCGGGAAGGCCCTATTGGGGATATGAACCTGATCGCCATGAACGATACGGCTGTCGGCCTACAGGCATGCTGGTATGGTAGCTTCTATGGAGATGCAAACTACACCCATAGTCCCATTCCTGGAACTGGGTCAAACACAACCTCCCAGGATCAAGTGATTGGAATGCATCTTTGGTATGGAGAAAGCCCGACTTTGCTTCAAGAAGTCACATGGACGTACAACACGACACAGTGGTACCGCCAAGAATCATTTGTCGCCAACGGACATGCTGGAATCGGCTGCTATAGCTGGGGTCCTGGCAGCGTCAGCTACGTTATGATGGTAAATCTCGACAACGCTGTCCAAGTCTCTTGGAAGGACCTCAATTCCTCGGTCCCGGCGACCGAATCGCATCCCGTGAACGTGTGGGTAAATACCACTTGGACGATCCCGAATGTGGACGAGAATACTTCGCTAGGCTACACGAACTACTTTTACGCGCAGAATGCGGATGGCCATATCGGTGGTTACAACATTACGTGGGATGCAGAGAACACCCGCCTCGCAGATACGTTCACGATACCCCAGGTGCCTCTTCTCGGAACACATTTTTCTGTTACCGCTGTTCCCGCGTCCTCGGGGGGAGACCAGCTGATGGTGTTTACTCAAGACAACGGTACGGATATCACGCAAAACGTTCGCGATTTGGTCAACGGCCAATGGACTTATTCAACGCTACCAATCCCACAGTCGTGACGAATGGATCGACAATGAGAAATGTCTTTGCATTAACGCAATTCGCAGTGGCGCTGGTGGATTACGCATATCCTCTGTTGGAATTGCTTCGTTTCGTCGCTGAGGGCATCTGCGTTCACCTTTGCGTTCGTTGTAGACTTGAGATAAGCACAAAAAGCACGAGCAGGACGCTTTTGGTTGTTGTTATTGCCTCTTTTGCTTGATATACCCTCCTTGATCGTTTGCTGGTTTATCCTTTTCTTGTTTTCTTTTAACGATGTTACTCCCGAGAAATGGGATACATTTCTCCACCCGAAGGAGAGCAAGGCTAGGATCAGGCACAAAATTCCTTCGGTCCGCTGTATGTATATACATAGTTTTGCATTTGACACCTATTGCAATTGGCGTGCATAAGAGTACGACGCGAATCTACGTAGAGCTGCTCAAAAATATGCTGTACATCTCTCTTGTCTCTGCTTGAGGTTCTTATCCGTCGGAAATTCGCGGCGGTTCTGGATGCTATTTTCGAGTCGTAGCTTAGAACTAGCAGGTACACCAGCTTGGCCGAGGTCTGCATTGCTGCCATGCGCACGTTTCGCCTCGATGCAATCAGATGCTGAGCGAGAAGGTCGCCTACAATGACATGCCCGAAGAGGAGGAAAGATCAATGTCCTATTAGAGCAAGTTGTTGGACTGAGCGCATTGGTGGGCCGTGGCCGCTGCTAGTGCTTACTACACCTGCGTCAAGGGAGCGATTCGAACGAGATCAAGAAATGCTTCGCATAATTTTGTTTGCTCCCGCGAGTTCGGCGGTCTTCATATATTCTAAGCCTTTCAAAACTCTGATTTCCTTGTTGCTAAGGCGAAGCTGTCCATATGTGGAGGTTGTGCGATAGCTAAAGCGTCCTTGGTGCAGAGGCCAGATCTCTCGTGCTCGTACAAAGCGCCGCAAACACAAAAATGGCCAAAAGCCTGGACGACATATGATCTGTGTAGTTAACGCGGAGGGCGGAAACCAAAAGGGCGAGTGTGTTCGAGCTCTAGAGGTTGAGAGAAGGTGTGTGTTTTCAAGACCAGACTGGGTTTATCTGATTCAGAACGTCAAGCTCACCGAGAGCTGCATTGTGCCTGACGCAAAAATCTCCCCGCATCTCAGTTATCAGCTGCTCCACCCATCGTCACATCGAGAATAATTCCCCTTGATCATGGTCTCGGCAGCTGCTATCCAAGCCGGCACGTTGCACAGATACTCGAAGCGACTCGTCGCTTTCGAGCACCGTGCATCGTCGGATGATGCGCCAAATAACATGATCCTCTGGGTTGGTGGTCTGGGCGACGGAATCCACACCGTTTCCTACCCTTCGATTTTGGCACAAAATCTACCCCGTGGCTGGACTCTCGCCCAGGTGCAGTTGCTCTCGTCCCTGAACGGATGGGGAACGGGCTCGTTGCAGCGCGACGCGAAGGAATTGGCGCAGTGCGTCGACTATTTCCGGAGGTTGAAAGGCGAAGGTAGCAAGATTGTCGTCATGGGCCACTCAACCGGTTGTCAGGACTTGATGGAGTATGTGACCGGCAAAGGGCGCGAAGGACGGCCTCGGATCGACGGCGCGATATTGCAAGCACCCGTCAGCGACCGGGAGGGATTGCACAGCACAATGACCGACGCAGCTCGCAGGCAAATAATTGAGACGGCCCAGAGATTCGTCGAGGAAGGCCGAGAGAGCGATCCGCTGCCTTCATCGATCTCAGGAACCTACCTTGGACGGCTCCCCATCTCGGCCTATAGGTGGTTAAGTCTGCTGTTGGAGAACGGCGACGACGATTACTTCAGCAGTGACCTATCCGACGAGAGGCTCGCGTTGACTTTCGGGGCCTTTCCTCCCCACACACCGTTGCTCATCTTGTTTTCTGGGGCCGATGAACACGTCCCAAAGTCGGTAAACGTTGAAGAGCTTCTGGGTCGATGGAGTCGGGCCGTCCAAAGTTCAAACGGCGTGTTGAGCAGTTCATCCGGCGTCATACCTGGAGCGCACCACAACCTCGAACAAGATCCAGAAGAGACCGTGCAGGAGTTGGTGAGAAGGGTGGTGGCGTTTACGCAAGAACTAGATTGTTCTATATCATCAAAGCTATCGTGATCTCTGTACCATGGGCAAACTGCACGACGCCGAATGAAACCGAACGTGATTGTCTGGGGCCGGTGACATTTGTGAAATATACGATTTGAATTTCTAGGGTATACTACAAGCATCTCGAGAACGTGACAGAGCTATAAGCGCATCCGATCTATCGTAGCAGCCAAACCTATCTCTGTTCCACCATCCTCAATACTTTACCGGTGCATCCGTCTTATTTGCAAAGAACTAAACTCTGCATCCATGTCTTCATTATTGCTGACCAGGCCCACGGCACGCTTCTAGTCACCATTGTTCTTCTCAAAGTCGAGCAAAAACCTGGGGCCAGTCACCACGTCATCGTCGTCCTGATCCGGAGACAAATACAGGGGACGCTCGGCAGCCCGTTTCCAGTACATTAGTGAGCGAGCACTGATACGATTCGGAAAATCTGTATTAACCTCTAGTATGGCCTTGTAAAAGGCATCAGCACGGGCTGTGAGGCCAAGGACTCGAAGGGAGCGGATAATCCGAGAGATCCTGAGATGGTTGCTGTCCGTACATTAGCACTTTCGAACATTTGAAGAAATCTAGTGATACTGACTGGTCCATTCGCACGACCCAGTTTCTGAAGGCAATCTTATGATTTGCACTGCGGCTCAATTGAACGCCACCTGCGTCCAACAGCGTGACATCGAAGCCGTAGAAGTTCATTATGCGTATGTAGCCACGTTGAAAGCTCTTTCTCAGATCTTCACGAGCTCGAAATGCTTGGAAGGTGTCCTTGTCGATGATGGGAGACTGCCAATTGAACGCCGATCCTTCAGGCAAGGGGAAGAGGATTTGTATGCTGCATTGTTTCAGACAACTTCTTCGCAAGATAAAGCTTTTCCATGTTTTTATTTAGACGAATGGTAAGGACGTGACGCACATCGACGATGCTTGCGCGCAAATGTCCACACGTCTTCCCGCCATGCTCGAGAAGGGCAGAAACTTACTAGTCATGACTCATCTCAAATCGGTCGTCGTCATACGCCAAAATGTCATCCAGCGTTCTTCCTCGAAAGTCCTTGGCTGCGACCTTGGGATCGAAGAAGCGCACAAGAAACGGCTGCTCGGGTTCGCCTCGTCGCTCCATATCCTTGTCCATCTTCAAGCGTCTGTAGTTCTGTGCCTCCGGGAGCTAGATGTATGCAGTATGGCTAATCCGGGCTTTAGTCTCGCCAGACACGCTGCTTCTGTAACGTAGATTTGAAAATTGCAATATATGTAAGCAAATGTTGTGTTGACCTAGGCCACCGGTTTCCAAGATGCATAAGCTACCCTTCTCAGCCGCGTTTGGGACTTCGGTCCAGAACTGGGATAGAAATGCGACGAGGACGAGCTTACCTCCTGAGAGATAGATCTATTGAGCTGAACGCACTGTATCAAAGTATTTCTGCGTCGAACTGATGTGCCAAGTTGCAGGTGGTCGGAAGGTAAAATCAGGTGACTTGCGGTCTTGTAGGCAACCCCACTACTCAGTCCAATCATTGCATCGAAGATCTTTTGCTTGACCGGTAACACGTCTCACAAGATCTCCATTCTTTCCAAATGGAAGAAAAAATTTGAAATTTGTCCATTTCTATATATCATCTATTCAAGTCTGTTTCTGCCTAAACGGGTTAGCAATTGCTACTCCTTCAATCAGTCCGTCAGATCCTTGACTGAGAATTCCCGCTTTGACTCTTGTCGCCAGGCTTTGAACAACTATTACCCAAGGTGATGCATCGTGCTCTAAGGCCACGACTCTCGCTACTCGAATTGCCGGTAGAGCTCCGCCTGCAGATATATTCTTACAGCTTTGGTTACGAGGAAACAGCACTGCCTCGATGGGGATACGGTCAGCCGAGTCGAAGCGTTGCACTTTTGCGAACATGCCGCCAAATATACACGGAATCTCGTCACATTTTATACAATCAGACTACGCTCTTGCTCACTGGTCGGAGTCTACATCCACTTCCAGGAACCGTTGACAAGCACTTTGGAACCATGGGCCGAACGTGGCTGCGAAACTTAATCATCATAGAGCCTCGAGCAATACCGTACAGATATTCTTTTGGTGTCTTTCCGACCCGCATATCTGCCACAGACTGGGACTTCAGTATTCTGCGGCATTTCCCTGCTGTAAGGGGAGTTGAGATCACTGATACGGGTCCTATTCCTCTCCGCCTTCTGCTCGGCGAGAGCTGTGAGAAGATGGTACAAGCTGTAGAGCAGTTTATTCGCTCCCAGCTATCGCAAACGCTGCAGGCATTCTCAGTGACAGGCGGCGCGGAAAAATATCCAGAAGTCTCCATTTTTGCGTCTACGCGGCTCTGGTTTACTTGCCCTGAAGTTCAACAGGATTCACACGATCAGACAGACGCTGAATTGGTTGATCTGGATGATTCTAACAATACAACTTGCAATTGGTACTCAATTATGCGCAGCAAGCCACTGGTTAGGGAATCAGTCTTGCGTGTGAAACTTCATCCGGTTTCTGAAGATGCCACGGTAAATGCTGAAGATTATCGGCTGGCCAAAAGGATCATTCTACGACATATGAGAATGGATTCATGGTTTCCCGTACGATCCATATCCTAAGATCTTGCGGTCCGGTGAGATATTCGTCACAAAGAAGCTGTTTGAAGGCACTGGAGGATCAAAGACGTTTGCTCTTAAGTTCGAAAAGAATGCTATATTGCATGGGTATTGATTTTGAGCTAAGAAAAGTGACAGAAGCTTCTATATTGTGTTAAGTTAAGCCGTTGATGTTAATCATCCAGGTCGCCTGAGACTATGGCATACAGGTATACTATCAAGGTACGGACCATGTGGCACTGGAAATTGTCATGTATGAGTTGAGCAACTATATTCTTCAAATTGTTATGATAGTGGTTTTAAGCTATATATTCTCTATGCGACCATGTCTGATTGACCTTAAGAGTACCAAGATCATGTGTGCAAGCGCCTCTTGCAAGGTGACGTGGCATAACCTTGGTGCATGTGCCTTTCGCGCTACAAGTAGCTTTTCGTTCCGGCTCGTCCCGCGTATGTTTACATGGTTGTTGAGCACCGGTTGACCTTGTCCGTAGATCATTGATTGGTGCGCAGATAGAAGGATTAACGCAAGCATCGTCGCTTGCTGAGCATTGCAACCCTTGTCTTTAATTCACGAGCAAATAGGATTGACTCACACTTCTCAACAGCTCCTTTGTAGTGGCATAGCCTTCGAAAGGTCACTTGGAGTCCTCATCATAGTTTCTTTTCACGCAGACTTCGTCCATAGCGAAAAGTGATAATGTCCTTGCATTAGACTTTGCAAATGATGTTGGACGTACTGGCTGGAAGCTCGTTTCTACGATGCTGAGCTCTTGAACGAAATCCAAAAGCAAACGACTGAAAGTTGACGAGAAAATCAAAAAAGAATCTAGAAGCTTCAAAATTTATTGTGGTTTATTAATAGAGCCTGCGCAAATCTGCAAAGCCAGAATATTTTCTGGTAGGCTGAGGGGCTGCCTCGACCCTCTCTTCTCCAGAAGAAGTTTCATCCTCAAGCCAGGTGTTTGACGACCTCGGAACATAAGAATCCTGATCGACGAAGTTGACACCTTGTGTCCATTGATCGCCTGCACTTTCCAAGTCTGAATTACGCAGATTGTACTTTTTGTCGCATATGACTTCTTCTAGTTGCACACTTTTCGTCACAATTACCCCCATCTTCGGATCTGAGGACATCCAAGGGACATTTGTTGGCAAGCTACTTGATTGCGAAGTTCCATGACCGTAGTCTTTGCTCTTGCTTCCGCTCGAACTTTTGCTATATTTGTTTGACCATGACCGTATTCCACTCGTGAGCGTCTCATCTTTGAGAACATTTCGGAAGAAGTGATTTAAGGCTGGCAAGCTGGCACACACAATGGCCATGTGGCTTTCAATTCCTGTCCTGAGAGCTAGTTAATAGCCGATAAGAAGTCTGAGGAAGGCCAGTCAAAGTTGTGACAATAATCTGCAAGAACTCGTTTCGAGATGGAGTTGAGGTACGAAGCCATTTACTTGAGAACCATAGGCTTACCATATCCACACTTGGAGCGACTCCCAGGTAAGATCGTACGTCTGGTAGTATACTTTGACCGTTGTGATCATGCGTAGCATACCGCAAATGCAAAGGCTGCGGCAATTAGAAACATAAAAACTGTCAGGAGTCCTCTCTACTCACAAGAAGCCAACTCCAAATATGCACCCGAGGGCGATTTTCTTCTTCCTTGCAATCTTTAGCTTTCTGAACAACGCCATCGGTAACAGGCATGCAATGAAGTCTTGAAGCATGCTTATTACACTTGCACACACTACGGTGGCTGCTTCGTCACCACAGTGCCAATCGCCTTGGTTAGCCGCAACCCAGTAGATGTTGCCTTGGTTCCAGAATGCGCTTAATGGGCGGCATTGTACAAAGGAATCGACAAAAAAGACGAGGCCGTTCACTATGACAAAGCCAATAGCAAAGTAAATGCAGTATCGAAACCTCCTTGAAACAGATCCTCCTAGTCGGCGATAGAACAAGAGAATGGATATCTTTGTGGTGCAGGTCGATATGAGATAGGTGATCTCAATAGACAGAGCAACTTTCCTAGCAGCGACCATCTTCTGAGGTGGAATATCCCAACTAACAACCATTAATATGAGCGTTCTTTTGTTGCAATGTAGAAACGATCTTTTTTTTGCTTACATGTGTCTATCCCAACCATATCTTGCGAAAGCTTTGTTTCCCATTAGGCTTGGTTGACGCATTGCAGAGCTGGCCTACGCACCAAGTATGAGACAAACAGCAAGTCCAGTCAAAGGGATCTACGACATTTCAATCAGCGTATGTCCAGTTTTGCTTCTGGAGAAGGGCACACCAGGTTAAACATTATCAGGACGTCATCGAGGCCAAAGTTCTTGGCCTGAAAAAGACGAGTGTATACTCGCAACGCAACAATAAAGTAGCACAACCCGAGTAATACACCTTCCATTACTATTACACCATGGCCATGTGTTACTGGATCGACATAGTTGGACGGTGGCCATGAAAGGATCACTGAGAGCGGTGGGTGCAGCCCACCGCCCATTTTTTTGTTTTTCTTTTATTGAGGTTATCAGAGCCGGCCGGGTGCTGTAATAAAGTGTGCTTAACAAAATATAGCGACGATAAGATCAGAGAAAAGACAACAGGGACAGTCGCTCGGATAATAGGCCTAGACTAACCTTTATGATGGTTTTCCACCGTCTGGGGTCAGCCTAACCCCGACTCTGTCCGGTGCACCTGGATCACTTCAGCAGGGGCACTATGTCACAACGTGCATCCTTTTCGATGTCCCGCCTTCGCGCATACATATGAAGATGTATGAAGAGCGGTCATCGCATGACGGCTTCTTGCGGTTCGCCGAAGTTAAAATACATTCGTAGGCCTCGAGCTTGCATGAGCATCATGGTGCATAATGAATGCGAATGAATCAAAGGTTCGATCTCACACCTTAGCACTGGGCAAAGTAGTCAGGGTCGTAAAAGCGAGCAGAGCATGACAAGGTTGTTGGCGCAACTGGTCAAGGGTTGGGACAACCTTGATGTCAGGCGAGAAGACAGAAAATGGATATGCACGAAGCCAAGCACAACCAATGAGATGTTTCACGGTCTGCTCACAAGCTCGGCTTCCAACATCAGACGAGTGCGTGTCAGAAATGCCTGCCTCGTGTTCTGCGAACTGACGACTTTCGCGAGAACCTTAAATCGTACAGAAGTGCTGCGGTTAATGCACTCTTTTTAGGGCTACGCACAGGGTGCCTGGTCCTTTCTCATCGATCCGGCAACCCTACCGTTTGATCACCCAGGCTTTTGCCCCAACGTCTGAATGTGGAGAATCAAGCACATGGATTTGACGTGACCTTGCTCGATTCGAACATGCTTTGTAACCTGATTTGGGGACCGTTTTCAGCGACTCAAACGTCTCATGACAATCTATTGGACGGTATATCAACTGAATAATGCTGTGATTGAAGGCAACATGTATGCAGTTTGCTCAATGAGAACGCGAGCCAGTTGTGGCTTGCGTCGGTGAAGGCGTAAATAAAATCACAGTACTCCAAGGAGATAATTCTTCATCCTTCATATCATGATTCATTCTAGAGTGTGAAAACACCACCCCAAGAGTGCTCAATACTCAATGCGTGTCCAAACATTAGAATGCACGGGTTAGACAAGGTTGATATTCATTTTTGAAGTGGCTGCAGGATGGTATGGGCTCTGAGAGACGAAACGCAATCTTAACAGTATGGCGAATTCTTCCGTTGTTGTCCTTGATTCAAGCGTCAAAATATTCTTTTAATTTTCAGCATCGTTGCCGTCGGTCTTCTCTTGTTCAATTGGCATGTCGGCATCGAATTCCAGGGTGTCACCGTACGTCCATTTGAAAGGGCCTTCGAAGGATGTGGTTATTTTGACTTTGCCAAGCAGACCGATAGCTGGTGTCAACCGTCCATTTACGTCGTTAAATGCTTGCTTCACTTCATTAAACACATTAGTATTAAGTAGAACAAGGGAAACAATGGAAGCATACTCAGCCGTTTTCCATTCTTAGTCCAGAAAACGTAGCCCTTGACGAAGTCAATCCCGCATCCAACTGTGTCGCCGTGGCCAAAGGGATCTCTGCGATCCTGAACTTCGTCATAGAACCCTACACGAGAAGTGCTAATCCATCCGTTATCGCCGTGATAGGCCCATGACTGAATCCCGCGTTTACTGGTCTCAAGATCTCCAGGGAAAGCCAGATCCAAACCAGCTCTTGTTTTCCATTTCGATGCCCCTAACGAAAAGACGCCAATAGCCACGAGGTGTCTACGCTCTACAGCTTTCTTGGGATCTTCAAATGCGAGCGTTATCTCGAAGTAATATCGTTCAACGTTAGCAGGGATTGGAACATCCGCGAAGACTGTAACTCGTTCACTCCATGGATATATTCCTTCTACTTCTTTCGTATATTCAAGCTCCTTTGTTTCGGAATTCCATCGGGTCTTGTCTGGCTGCGTGATTACCCAGTGGTCAGGATACTTGCAAGTCGTCCCCGACTGCTGTTGGAGGAAGTCTACCACTATCTGTCTTTTGTACTGCCTCGCCAATTCAATGGCCGTCCATCCGAATTCGTCTCGAAGAAATGGATCTGCTCTCGGCCGACCAGGCTTCGCGAGCACCAAAGCTTCAAGAACAGGCATGGAGCCTATTCGTGCAGCAGCACTAAGCAAGTTTCTGTCCGCTATAGCAGAGTCTCTGTCTGCCTCAATAAGCGCCAATATACAGCTTTCAAAACTGGTATTTCGTGGGCCGTCTGAGCTTTGCAAGAGTTCCCATTGTTGATAAGACAATGTGAGAGCTATTCGGCCTTTAACGTCCTTGCATTTGGTATCGGCGCCATTTTCAAGTAACGCCTCCACAATTTCGGCATAACCAAGATACGCGGCAGCATGCAACGGTGTCCACTGAAGGACCACATCTGCCGCGTTGATGTCCAAGAACGATCTGTACTTCGTCAATAGAAGTTTGACGATTTCTGTTCGGCCAAGTGCAGCTGCCTTTCTAAGGGTTGTCTTCCCATGGGAGCTTCGTTCATCTAAGAGTTTGCTATTTCTGATCAACAGCAACTGCGCCAGATAATCAGTCAATGCGACGTCGTCGTTGATGCATGATAGATAGAATGGAGTACGATTCTTCTCCTCCACCACCGTCGGATCTGCACCGGCAGCGCAAAGTAGCTTGCAACTCTCCAGATGGCCACTATTTGCAGCGTTGTGGAGCGCTGTCCACCCTTGAACATCTCTGTGATTTATATCTGGCTTGGGCTCATGTTCTAGCAGCATCTTAAGTGCTTCGACATTTCCACCACCTGCGACTTCAAATAAAGGCTGCTGGCCATCTCTGTCGCTCGCAAAAATGTCTGCATTGTGCTCCAAAAACCTCTTCAGTAAGTTCATAGGCATCTCATCTCCACGAGAACTAAGCATTTTGTGCAGTGGAGTTTCATTAACATCATCTCGCACATTGACGTCTGCCCCAGCTTCAACCAACATGTCAAGCACTGCCGGATCATCCCCGGACCATGCAAAGTTGTGCATCACGTTGAAGCCCCAAGGGTCTTTCTCTTTGACACTGGCACCATGATCTAGGAAAAGCTGTACGATTCTGGGTTCCGCGGCCCCAAAATACATGAGAGAATGGAATGGGGGCTCACCGTCAAACATTTCTCCATTGAGACTGCGAAGTGCCTCAACGCCAGGCAAGGCGCCATTCTCAAGTAGTAACTTGCATACGTTATACTTTTTAGTGTTGTCGGAAATCCTACAGGCCCATGACAACGGTGTCATGTTAGATGAAAGAACATTAACGTCAGTCTCTGATCGGTGGAGCTCAAAATACTTCTCCGCGCTCCGCATCTCAGCAAAGATATCAGGGGACATCCCATCCGGCCGGATTTCTTTTCCTGCATCTTCGGCAGCCGGCTTAGGCTCGGTATCTATTGATAAGGCGGTGCTTGGGGCAAGATTCAGAGTTTCGCCTCCACTTGTCTTCTCTAGTAGTTCGTTTCTAAAGCGCTCCTTGTCCTTGCACTGTGCATAGTCAAGTTTCTGTTTCTCGATTATCCTGCGGCATAGGTCTAGCAATCCGTTCGCTGCAGCAATGTGAAGTGGCGTTAAGGTATAGGTATCGAATTGGCCCGAGAAAACTGTGTTTGGCCGGACCCCCTCGTCTCGCTTCCAAGCAAGGAAGCCTTCGTTTGCATTGTCAAAAAATTTGAGGACATCCTCATAAAGGGCTTCATACTCGGGTGGTTTTTCTTCTTCTGCAGCCCATTGATCCTCCACCATCTGCAAGTGGTAAATAGCCTGCGCGATCTCATATCTTGGATACGCTGGCGCGGAATCCGTGTTGGCCGCAAATCCTGAAGGTGAAGGTTCATAGACATCGCTATCCGCATCAGACATTACGTCAGAAACATGATCTGGCGCTTCATGCTTCTCAAATGTTAAGTTCGCCTCTTCAAAGTCGACCTGTGGAGTAGAAAGTGATGCTTCTGCTTCTACATTCAATTCCTCCAGTTCAGGAGAAGTCTTGTGTGGCAACACAGGACTAGTCGTACTCGTTGCATTTGTTGATACATCTGCGTTATTCATTTGGTCATGAGCAGCCATTTCAGTGTAAGTGATTGGATCCTTGCTCGAGTCTTCCGTTGCGGCGTTAGCATCCTTTTCTCGAGACAATTCTTTGACTTTCCCGTTCTCTTCGACCTTGTTGGTCATTTCAGATCTAACGTGAAGACTTTCTTCCTCCATGATCGGACCTGGGTCATTTCCCTCGCCACCATTCTCGGGTGGCTTTGGTGAGGACGCCCGCGAAAACGATAATGATCCTGATGTTGCATTCTGCTGGTCCATGACTTGAAAGGAAGGCAAGTATATCCTCTGGAAAAGTGGAGAATTGAGATGTTTGACTTGTGTTCGACTTAGCAGTGAGTTTTTCAATAGCGCAGCAACTTACATATTTGGGTGGCTATCTCAAGGTGTCCATACTTCTTCGTAAGGATGAAGTTGGAGTCTTGTTTCTTCATGGCCCGACACGGCTGACATTGACAGGCGTCAGGACTTGGGCTTCTTTGCTGAATTCTCTCGGCCTCCTCGTTTGTCTTCAAAAAGCTGTCCTTCACCAGCGCCGGCTTGATCAAGTTAAGCTCTTTGGTTTTCTCATCAAGGTCTAGGAAGGTCTCTCCTGCTTTCCGAATCATATTTTTATAAAACTTGGTTACTTCATCACTCAGTTCCTCCTGAGATGTGTTTTCGACGTCTGAATCATCGCTCTTTACGGTGAATCTTTGGCTGTAGATGTCTATAAGTTCATCTATTTTCATCTTTTGCTCGCCATTAGCCAGAATCACCCAAGTCAAACAGGTCTTGAGAAACCCTATATAACTGGGGTCGGTGTTCTGAAAGATCCGCGCATTCATGTTCAATAGGTTCTCTGGGAGAGCTTGTAAATGCACTTCGATGGCTGCATTAAGTCAGAGAGCTGGTCATTGTGAGGAATGAAAAGGATCTTACGGCGTTGCCACGGTCTTCTAAGTAGCTCTAAAGCGGGTTTCAAGTATCCGAAGTAAGGTCCAGCACGACCACAAATCTGCTCTCGGGCTGTTATGCGCTCCGAGGAGGTCATCCCCGGAATCATTGAGAGCTGCGCCTCCACGGTCTTGAATATATCGCCTTCGTTGAACTTTTCCATTCGTATTTCGGGCACGTCGCATTTATCCATGACCTCCGTTATATCTACTTCTGGCCGGCTTGTCAACAGGATTTTGATCTTGAGGTCCTTTCGTTTGGACAAAGCAGCAAGTCGCTGGATTAATTCTTCCTCTTTGCGATCGGAACACTCGTCTAATGCATCGACAACCAGAAATAATTTCTTTTTGAGAACTTCCGCCATGCGCTGGAAAGCCTCCTCGAAGTTTAGAGTCTTCTCTGCTTCTGGAGAATCTTGTTGCATAGTCTTCCTTCTTCGGCGACCCTCGTTACTCCCTGCCAGATATTGGCGAGCGATGTCGTTGCAACGATCCAAAATCTCAAGAGACATCGGCACAAGGTCGAACAAATAGTAGACCAAATGATCCATAATTCTCTCCGTCTTCTGGGCATTGTCGTCACCGCTCTTGCAAAAAAAGAACATCGTGTGCTCCTCAGGATTTGAGATAGTCTCTGTACGAAGTCGTTCGATCACACTGGAAATGAGAACAGACTTGCCCATGTTACCGCCGCCAGAAACCCACAAGATGCTGGAGCCGGCCGAGTCGTGCCACCTTTGGTAAGCCTCTGTCTCAAATATCCACTGACAAGTGCCTTCTTCTCGCGCGATTTTACGCTTCGTCAGCATGGCCTCCGTGTCAACCAAAGCTCTGAGAGTTTGTTTATGTTTAGCGTATGCTTCGCGAGCTATATCCATTGGCGATTTTCTTCGTTGCTCCTCAAGTTCCTTCTGAAGGTAGTCATTGATCTCCTTTGACGTTGCTGTAGACTCGCTCAATTTGTCTCTAATCTGCTTGAGTTCCGCGAGCATTTGATTCTGTTTGTCGTCGCTTTTCTGCTGCCAAAACGAGGTTAGGGCCTGGGAAGCTTTGGTTGCGTTTTCAGACATGATTCTCTCCCCTTCTTTGATATCTTTCATAGCGCCGCTGAATTCCTCCTTGTTGTTTTTCAAGACGCCACGTGTCATTCGTACTGTCACAAGGTTAGTAGCGAAACTGAAGTCGGGGCTAGTCTCGAAATTGATGTCGTACAGAACTTGTTTCGATCCATATACTTGAACATTTGATACGAAAACTCCAGAATTTTGGCGTATATCTTTGGAATCGCGATGCGGACCTGATCTTGTATCTCGTAGAGTTCCGGCGGGCCTTTCGACTGGGAGAACATACGTCCAAAGAGCCTGCATGTCACCAATATTCCGATAATGTCGACGCATGCTCCGCTAAACAGTTGAAACGTCGCGAAGTCGTCCTGGACACTACCCAAAGCCAAGCTTATCCCAGTCCAGGCGAGTCCCACGCTCTCCGGTGCCCCTTTAACGGCAATGTCTCCAGCTGCCAGAAAGATGTCGATCTTTCCAAGGACTTTCGACACAACCGGGCCATACTGCGTCGGAATCTCACGTTGCCGTTCTCGAAGCGTTTGCGATACCGCCTGTGGCGTGGTGTACGACTTCAGGAATTCCTCAAGCCTTTGCGCTTTGTGATCGCTTTGCATTCGAAAGTTATTCACGGCATCTCTCCACGTAAGAGCCTCAAAGTCCAACGCAGCGGCGGACTTCGGCCCACCACTCATTGGAGCTGTAGAAGGTATTTGCAGGGGTGGCATCTTGGAAACAGCTGGCGAAGCCATAGCGCAAGGTAGAGTGGACGACAACTCCTTGAACGCCGGCTTACCCAGCACAGTCCGTCCACAGGATCAGGCTATCGGCTCGAATGAGGAAGAAAAAGTTGCTTAGCTGATTATGAATCTGCTCTGGGCTAAGCTATCGCACACGAGAAAAAGAATAACTACGCAAACGGCGACATCGATGAAGGCGAAGTAGGCCGTCTATATTTGAAGGATTCGGCCCCCATGCTTGGAAATTCCGCTGACATGCAAGCGGACACATTTGGAAATCACCCCACAAATGTGGCTAAGAACGATGGCTTGGATTTGAGGACACAAGTATTGCAGCGTTCGGGGTATTGCTGACCCCAGATTCTATCATTTGAGAAGCAACGCGAAGGGCAAGCGAGCCCCTCTTATTGTCTTTATTCTTGAAGTTCGGTCAGCCTATGTCTGCTTGAAGGCAGTTTGGGGAGGGAGCGCAAAAGGAGAAGCATAACGAATGTGGATACGTGCAATGTAAGCCGAGCGCTAGACCACGTTTTAGCGCTTTTTTTTGCGTAGCCGAACACTTGGCGTTTGTTTGACAAAGTAACTCAATTGCCAGGAGTGCTCATGGCATTCTTGTATTGTTGGCTCGATATTTCCGTAGGCACGTACTGCAACTGTGGTAGATTCGTTGGTAAACGCTGAGTCCTCTCGCACTGGCAGGTAATAAGACGTTGTCTTGAGAGCGTAGTACTCTTGCTTCATGAAGCTGTCTGACGTGCTCCTTGCTCGTCAAACATCTGGGGTTAGTCCGAGAACGCAGAATAGTATATCTCTATCAAAGATCCAGCGATACCACTGAGGTGGCGTTGTCGATTTGGAGAGGGCATCGAAACACCTTTGGTCAGGTGCACTCGGTCCTGTTCGCCCGATAATATATATTACTGGAGTTCTCCTTGGTAGCTATGAACTGATGTGAGTTGGAGGAAAGACAACTCATTTAGGCCAACGAGACTATTATATCTACTATGAGTGTACCAATATGTATTGTGTCTCTGCAGTAGACGTATATCAACGCAATGGCCACGCCAACGCTGCGAATTCGTGTCAAAGTCTCGCGCGTCCGTTGCGAATCATGTTCCTGTCAGAGTCATCCAGCGGTTCGTACCCGCTCCTCTCCGTTCTGATCCAGTAAACCTGATCACCGTCCCTTGGATCGAACCCAGCAGCCTTGTAGTCCTCCTTTTGCTTCTTGAAGACCGCACTAACCCCGACCGCGTCGCTCTGGGTGACACGCAAAAAGCGAGGTACCGCGTACACGGGCAGACCACCTCGAATCATGTACTCTTCCATCTCTCGGATTGTTTGCTGCGTTGTTCCCGGCGCAACAGTGATGACACAGCATCCAACTTGACCCTCATAGCCGTACGGCCTCAGAGCAATGGGAAATGCTGATGTGGAAACTACGGCCGGATGAGTGGCCAGTACAGACTCAACCTCAGTCGCGGATATATTATGTCCCTTATTACGCCATCCATGGCCGAGGCGATCTACAAATGTTACGAAGCCGTCTGCATCCATTACCATGAGGTCACCGATGCGGGTGTACTCATCGCCTTTGGTGAGGACATCTCGAGCAACCTTTTCCATCGTCGCAGGCTCGTTATCCAAGTACGAGTGTCGCACCAGAATGCCACCAGACCGATCGACAAGTGCCACGGCTTCTCCCGGTTCGTTCACATCGGCCACGACGCATAGTCCCGTCTTTGGGTTGCGTACCAATTCGCCGGTCTCAAAATCGCGGCGGATGATGAGAACGTTTTTGGTGAACATCTTCATAAGGGGTGACATGCGCGCGATCTTGCCGAGTCCAAAAGAGTTCCTGTTGACGTTGATCAGCAGCCCCGTTGATTCGGTGGCACTCCAGTATTCCGCGATCGTTGAGATGCCAAAACGCTCTCGAATCACTGCCCACGGGCCGGCTGACATGCCGAGCCCAAACATCTTCTCGACCCGGTGTCCGTTCCGCTCGTCCTCGAGGTAAGGGCTTTTTGGCGCCTGAGCCAGGTATCTGCACATTTCGCCAATATAGATGACGGAGTTGCAGCGACCGCTCACAACGTCGCGCCAAAAGCCACTGGTGCTGAAGCGGCGAGCGAGCACGACCGTGGCGCCCTGCCCAAGTGTAGGACAGACACAGGCCCAGGTGGCGGTCCCGTGGAACAGCGGCAGCGCGCAGTACCACCTATCAGTCTCCTGCCACAGGTATGGCCAACGAGATGTCTTGGTCATCATGCTGAAGCCACAAGGCCACTTCACCGCCTTCGGCCTGCCGGTCGTGCCCGACGTGTACAGTAGCATACACGGATCCTCAGGGAGACGGCGGGGCCGTTGGTCAAACTTAAGCTTGCCTTCCTTGAGGGCTGCATGTCGGACGTGCTGCACCGTGGCAGGGATCTCCTGAAGAGCGGGATACGTGTCATAGTCGTAGCACAGAACCTGCAGCCCTTCACGCTCAGAAGCATAGTCCTCCAAGGTGGCGTAAATGGCCGGCAGCAACTCGTTTGTCGTGATCACCATGCTCGTCTTTGTGATGGCCATGCAGTGCTTGAGTGGAGCGGCGGTGAGCGACGTGTTTATGGGCGCGGGAACGGCGCCGATCTTCCACAGAGCAAAGATTGTGATGATAAACTCGGGAGAGTTGTTGATCACCATTGCAACCATGTCGCCGCACTTTACGCCGCGCTCTTTCAGAAGCTGCTCGAACTTGGCAACATCCCGTACCAGGTCCAAGTAGGTCCAGACGCGTCCCTCGAAGACAAGAGCCTCTCTCGTTATGGCGCGGTCGCCTAGCCGGGTAAATGTCTGATCCAAGACATGATACAGGCTCCAGTCGTCTTCACCGTGCTTTCTGTACAAGTCTTCGACGACCTTGGCACCGTATATCTTGGTGCCGTAAAGCGCTTTCAGGTCATGAAGTATATTATACTTGCCGTTCAAGTATGCACCCACAGCAACTGCCGCTGAAGCCACAATCGGAAGCGTCATGTTGGCCCATTTACCGTAACGTCTAGCGTATCAGTCCGACCTTCTTCTTCGACAGTCAGATTGTAGTAAGCTCATGAGCACCGGCAAATTAGCCATCGTCGTCTTCTGCATACTACCCCGTGCAGACATGGAGCAAGGCCGTTGTGGGGTACATTCATCGTCCGAGGGTACTGCTTGGTCCAGCGCGGGGTGAACGCGGAAATGCGGTTGCTGAATCTCCATCTACAATTTCACGGATCTACCTCGACGAATCATCACGCGACCGCCACCAACCACATCCGCGGAGCTGAGATAGCGCAAGACTGAACACTAGTCAGTCCGTCTCCGTTTGGCTCGTGAGGCAAAGTTCGCACGAGTATTTTGGTGAATTACATTGGGGTTCAGGAGTGGAGCCCAAATCCCTCACACAGACTAGCGTACTACATTCACAGGATGCTAAGGATAAGCGTAAGGCAAAGACCAAAGGACGCAATATCATGCAGAAGCACTGTGCTATGACCCTTTTGGTTGACAAACAGGGCCGAACCTCGGATTTCTCTCAGGTTGGGATTCTGGACGTCTCTTTATCTCAGCAGCATTCAGACAAGGCGGGCAAGCGAGTGCTAGGTTGTCGAGAATGCTCTTATCGCTTAACACCGTTTTCAGGCAACCTGCAGCAGGCATTACGGAAATTGCGCCATGATCAAGAAGTGCAAACGAAGAAAAAGGCTTTTCCATGTCGAGAGGGATAAAAAAATTTTTTCCCGGTCACTGTGGCCAGGCCGTTCGAGGCCTGTAGCAGTTCAAGTCGCCATGGTAAGACTGACCCGGTGCCACGGGAAGGACCAGATCGAAGGCGCGTGAGATAACACCGAACTTCACAGGACTTCCCGCAGGACGACGGCAGGACCGGGCAAGATGCAGGTGTCAAAAAACGTGGAGAGGTGCAGGATTAGCCTGGCGTTAGCCTTACATACGTCACCTGTGCGGACTTTAACGGGAGGCTTCCAACAGCCGTAAGGACGAGCAGAGAATGAAGAATCGGGAGAGTGGGAATGAAGATGAACGCACTTGGGTCAGCAGCGGCTGGGAAAGGAAGGGATTAAATGGCCGTGGATTCATTTTTCTTCTTCAGGCTCGAGCTGTTCGTTGTTGAACCTGTATATTTGTGGTCCAGCTGATCGAATACGGCATGTAGACGGTAAGCAGGACAAATGGCGCCGCGGCGAGTTCGTATAGTACCTCTGTACAATGCCAGACGATACTGCCGCAGCATGAATACACAGAAGCAAAGTTCAGTACATAGCGCTTTTAGAGGCGCCCAAGTATTGGCGAAAGGGCTAAGGGCGAAAGGCGAAGGCGAAAGGCGAAACGAAGAAACAACGAAACAAGAAACAAGGGACCGGTGCCGGCAACGGCTCCAGAAACGGCTCAGGTACGTACACTCGCTACGATGTACGTCCAGTACTATACCTCTGGCCCTAATATTCAAGGGGTTGAGAACTGGAGACAGCGTTTCAGTGGGCCACTTTACGTGGCGCTTGACGGGATTGGTTCAAATGGTCCGGCTGTCCGTGAGAGTGTGTTTGGCCGGCGGTACAGACGACAAGAGTACCATAGGAGCAGAGCTGATTGTTTCGTGCTGGCAGATCGAACGACGGCGCCATGGCTGGTCACGCTTTGTTTCACGGCCAGAAACATGGTGGAGAGCAGCTCGCAACCACCATCGATTGAAGGCTTGTAGCACATGCGCGGCCAGCCATGATCCGGCGCGTGCACAAAGAACAAAGAAAGGACAAGACCTGAAGAGGAGAGAATCAAGACGCGAGCAACAGAGACAAAAAAATACTCGCGTGGAAACGGCGGCTCAGCGAAAAGCGCACTCGGGCTGGGGATCGGCTTCTGGGATGGAATCTGATTGGAATAGCCGCTGGCTGACGAGAAGAAGTTAAATACCCGCTTCGTTCAAAAGGCAATCAGATGATGCGCATGCAGACGCACCCTCATCGTGGCCCGTCCTGTTATTGCCCACGACAAGGGAACGGCTCGTCGTCATGCAGCTCTTTTCTGTTCCTTATCCCTTCCCTCGTCCTCGCATGACGCTGATGCGATCGTGAACGGTCGGCTGAGAAAATGGCTCTCCCAGCATCACAGCGGCTTTTGCGCTGCGGGTGCTATATACCAGCCGCTGGACGTGCGCTTGAGCAGAGCAGAAAAGAAGAGCTCCTCTGCCTTTGATTTCGTCTCTGTGTTTTGCTCCTCTGATCGCCCCGACATCGCAAGTTCGTGCGTGTGTGTGCAAGCTCCTGCATCACCCCATCAAAGCATCACATAACTTACTCAAACCTATACACGCACGCCCGTATACGCGCACAAGCATATACGGCGCAACAAACCTCATAGACTCGGGACGGCACAGCCCAGTTTTACCACTCGGTCCTGCAATTGCAGACTCTCCTCTGCCGTCGTCATTCCCATCTCTCGAAAGCCCATTTCCCATTGTCCGTCCTCAGATAAAAAGGCGGCAGCTTGGCAGACCCCCTGTGCCTTGCGATCCGGAGCCCGATCATCTCACCATTTTACTGCGTACGTCAAACGCGTCTCCACCACGGATTGGCAGCTCCACGCCAAAACAGTTCAGACAGCCCAGGAATCCACCTGGGTGGATCGTCGCCACCCTTGCCCGCGTGCAGGCGCCGACCTTTTAGCGCGGGCTGTATACCTGGGCCTTGGTACACCTGAGCGTCCCGGCCGCTATTCAAAGACACGCCTTGGGACGGCTGCCGTCACTGCATCTCCGCCCCAATTTGATCGCTCCTTCGTCTGCCGCGCCTTTTGTACTGGACGAACCCATCCGGACATCCGTCTGCTGCACATTTGTGTGCCCTTTGGCCTTCCCTGGATCTCCGGCGCAACGGTCGCATGCCATAAGCTGAGGGCGGCTTGATTCGCTCGTATCTCATCCTGTCGGAACACGAGACCGCTGCTATATTACTTGCCCAGAGGACCAGCCGTTATCTTCAGCCATTGTCTGCGCAACTTCACGACGCCTGGGGTGCAGACACATCCACAAAACCATCCAAGACGGCGCCTTCACAAAGTGACACCGGGTCACTTTACCTGGACTCGCCACCCACGACACTTTCTCCGAGTACGCTGCTGCCGGCGAAGCGAAAGATGAGCTCTGCTCGCACATCCTCGTATCGTCCGGCCAAGCAATCAGTCTCTCCACGCATAGAACTCAACGGTTCTGCCATGTCCGGCCACGCTCAGCAACAACGCCTGCGTCCGGCACGGCAGTCGTCTGCTACGACAGCATCCTCCCAGGGCCCGCCAGGCTCCCTCCGTCTTCCCGGCCTTCCGCGATTCCACCCGGCCAACTTTCCAAGCGCGTATTCGAGCCTCCAGGCGACGCCGACGTCAGGGATGAACTCTCCGCAGCCGCCCGTGAGCCCGAGGAGCCAGCAGAGGCAGTACAACGAGGCGCAGAGAGCATTACTCAGCTACCAGCGCGACTTTTACGCGCAGCAGCTGGCCTTGACGCAGGCCAACACCACGCACAAGCGGCAGGGCTCGAACGGCTGCACCAAACCGGCAAGCCCACGGCTCATGCCCATGAACGACAGTCCTGGCCCCGTCACACCGCTCGAGCTGGAAGCAGATGGTTACTTGACCGCTGGCTCCGGTGCCGTCAGCCAAGCAGAGCAAGCGGCCTACGTCGAGCGGGTGATTCGGGAGCAGGTCGACCGCATGCACGGCGGCAACGTCAGCCCTGGCGGCAGCAAAGTTCCCTCTAACCCAGTCACACCCGTCGGCTCGTACTGAACTCTGCCATCGCCACGCTCGCTTTTGATTCAACTCTAGCATGCAATGATACATACCCTTGGCATATGCGGTGACGGATACAAATCAAGGGAGGGAGATTTTCCTTCTTCTTTACTGTGATTGTCATCATCGTTATCATGATCATCATATTTCCCTCGATCATCTTACACGGGACAAACCTGACGGTCGTTCATGGCTGGTCCATCACAACACCAGGGCACAGGGGTAAAAGGAGTGACTTGCATGGAAAATCGGTGTTGGACGGCTTAACAATTTTTCTCTCGCTTCGAGGCTGCAAGGAATTTACGTTATTATACCCCCTTTTTTTTCCTTTTATCTTTGACGACCATGGAGGTATAGATGGACAGCTCCATCTGTGGGAACGAAATGGCTTCATCGTCATATATCATCAGCATCAGCATCATGAGCTTTCATTGCGCGGCTTTGTTTGAACTGGACAGCTTTCAGCGAAGTGCTCGCTCGGGCAGCTGTAGTTCCTATCATCATGAATCAATCAAAACGCTTTGTTCCCGTTATCTACTTTTCCCTTTCTCCTCGCCGCATCGTCTTCCCTGTTCTTCCCCTCCACTCCGCGTCTCGCTCATAACGCGCCTAGCAAAAAAAAAAGTTTTCATGTGGACTTCGGTTCGTGCCAACACAGCATGGCTTATCACTCACAATTCATTGCTAGGGTCGCAGCAACAATGGCCAGTCATGCATCGACACTGCACGGTGTGACTTCTCGTGCCGTGCCCTGCGTTTCCCCCACCTTTCTCCCGCCTACATCAAAGGCCAGGGCGCATAGATTTCCCCTGCGACAACCTCATCGCATGAATGGTTACCTGTAGGACCCTTTCTCCACAAAGTCACATCCTTTCTTCGCCGCATCTTCACAAGGGAGTCTCGAAAAGCAGGCCCTCGAACGTTCATGGAAAACCGGAAGGGTCCAAAGCCACCAACTTTCGTCTATCCTCCTCCCCCTTGCCTTTTCCCTAAGATTGGTCCAAGAAGCACGCATGAAAAGCTCCGATCGTTGCCTCGCTGAAACGAAAATCATCACGATCAGCCAGCTCCGTTCCCGGCTCTGTGTCGCGGAGCTTTGCTAATGAAAACTGGGGCCACTCGTATGTCCAACCACGTTCCGCTTTCCTCTTCGTCTGCAAGAGTTGCAAAGTCGCTCGCACACAGAGGACCGTCGCGATGCTGACGCATGGCCACCGCGGAGACGGTGGGGAAACGAGTAGCAGAGCTGAGTATGGTAAGAGGGTTATCACATCGCGAACATCACGGTATAGAAATGGTCAAGCGCCCCCCAGACCACATCGCAGCAAACGTCGGAAACGCAATCATATGCTATTTGGCGTGCGCTGCGCTGTTCCACACCAGCTCAATGCGGACGTCCTGTCTCCCTTCTACGCGATACGAGATCCCATGACCAGTTTGGCCTATCACCAGCGGTGTGCTTCAGAGAGCCGACGGTTTACGTCGGTCGCCGGAGTCGAGTCCGGGTTCAAATGTCTTGCGCTTTTTTTTTCTCTTCGATCTGGTTGATGCACATGAGATCATACTGCGCAGTAGGATGCCCCAAGACAGACTACTAATAGTATTGTGTAACGTGACCTGAGACCCGTCATCTAGGCAAGCCTCCGCTGGACCCCAACCTCAAGCGGCGCGCAACGGCTCGGGTATCTGGATCCTCTCGTTGACCCATCTCCCTTTGCATTGCTTGGGCTGATCCGCGAGCGTCGGGGAGAGGGCAACGTTCCAAGTGTGCTGGCGAAATGACGATACGGAAGAAGCGGCAAAATAGATTGCACTCTGTATTGCCTCATCGCGAATGCCCCAAGGTTGTGTAGTCCGAGGCATCCGCTTTCGCCGTCCCAGCCACGGAGTTTACTGCGAAATTGACGCTACCGTCTACAGTAGTTTGCGGATGTGGAATCGCCTGCGACCACCGTCACCATGCCACGAGTTCGAAGGGAAAGACGTCATGATCGACGCTGGCGCCGCCGAACGCAATCCGAGGAGCAGCGAAGCCCGTACGAGGAACCATGAGGTACTAGCACGACCTGGCGATTTTTCTAGCCTTCGATTTTGCGCGCGTGCCCGCTATGGATCTCACTAGTTTGGTTAAGCCCTTCAGACGAAGTCTCTCCCCTTCCGCTACAGGTGTCGTCAAGACTTCGCAACCTGCTAGCCGCCCGCCAGAGCCCGCGACCTCTTTGCTCGGTGGCGAGACGGCTCTGTGCATGTGGTCTCTCTTTATTTTCGGTCTTGAGGATTTCTGACAGTGACGTAGGCGGCGCTGACGAAACCGGAGCGCGGACCGAGGAAGCGAATAGATACGGAGATCTGAATAATCTGGTGGTCGGAGCAATTGCTCCATTGTCGACTGTTTTCCGTCTGCTCCTTAACGGTGCTAAATTAAGGGTTCGTCATACGGAGATATCGCTGCAATAAAAATACGAGCTTCTGGAACGGGTTACTGCTATTGCTCCAAGCCTTTGCTCGCGAACGACGAAAGTGTTGACATCTCCAGCGCCATATTGACTGTCGTAGGATCCGAGAAAAACCCTAATTCCTTTCCTCAACTGTCGCTACCATCGTTGCCGTCATCCTTGTCCAGCCGTCCGTATCTAAGTACACGTTGCGCAATATACTTGCTCCGGCTACCGCAGCTAGTCCTGAAGAACGAATATGCTAGCCAGTCCGTTCCTCCGCTCTAACCTTCTTTTCTTTCATTTCCTGTCCCTCGCGCTTCTCTTGGGGCATACCTTCTCGAGCGCTTGTTTTTGGCGCAGCTCCATATGAGCCACATCATCATAGCCGACGAACCATCTCGAGTGTGCAGCCGTCGCCCGTATGCTGGAATTAGCGCTGAACAACTTTCTCTTCATCCAATGGTCACGTTCTAATCGATGTTGGCGCTTTGCAACGCGTCCGCAGTAGTATCGCATCACACTTCGAGGACCCTGATTTCTGGTACTCTACAACGCTCGTACATGGACGTGGATCCTAAAGCAACTCGCAATAGCAGAGCAGCACTGCTTTTCGCTACGTATGATCCATACTGAGCCTTAGCAGATTTATCATCAAAGGCGTGATTTGCAGGCCCATGCTTGTTCTGCCGACGGGTCCAGCTCTTGGGAACGCCATCCACCTCGGTGAAACGCCTTACACCAGGAGACCTCCCAGCCCACGCGCAGCTTCAGTATCGAATTCTGGCCTGCGATCTTCAGAAGCTGCGCCAAGCGACAACGTCGTAGGACGCAGTTTATGATGACACATGAAAACAATCAGGTGAGCCGAGTGCTTGGGTTTTGACGTTTTCCGCAATGTAGCTCAGCTCATCTTCTGCGCGAAGCCGAAATAGCTCAAGCCTCACACCCTGTTCAGTAAGCGCTCATCTACCCTGGTGATTTTGGAGAGAACGGGCGCCAAAGTTCTTTGGTAACCAATGTACTTCGAATTCGCGTAGAAGAAAGAGTAGCCTTTCCGAGCAATACATTTCTGGAGTGTCCAGCCGCGTTTGAATTATTCGGACTGTCTAATGATTGCTTTGAGATCTACCACTGGCACCTCCTCACCTGCGGCATCCTCTACATCAAGAAATACACATAGTAGCGTCCAGCATCGCAGCACCGGGCAAACAAGGAATTTATAGCCTCGGGAAGTTCACCTGTATCGCCAGTCTTATTGATGCAGCAAGTGTCCGACCACGTCCACTCAAAACAATTGTCGAGAGCCTGTGCACCAAAATCACATATCATTAGATAGCCAGGTCGGTGCTGTGTGACGACCATCCAACAACTGCTGCAGATTCACTTCACGATACCGCAATCTATGGCTGAAGATGGCATATTTTGGACTTTTTGCGTCATTGAGGAACTCTTCCAGCGCAAGGCTCCGCGTGTTGACAATTCATGATGGATGGTAACGCTTATGAGATGGACGGAAGATAGGGCCAACAATCATCATTATCTTCGTTCTAGGGGATATATGAACAGGGAATAAGAGACTGTGTCTTTCGTAATACGGATTATGTAGGCATGATGGAGACCCGAGTATGCCTTTTCGTCATGGTTGTCCAAAGTTGGCTGTGCATATCGAATGTCGTGAGAGCATGCTCCGTCCTGTGAGCCTTGCCGTGCCTCATTACGCTCAAGCGCGGCGCTGCTGCAGTTGGTTTCGCGCCTCTGGGTCAAATATCACGTTACAGTGGTAAAAAGCAGCTAAGGACTACGATTGCCGATGCGTATTGGATCACGCGAATCTTTGAGAATTCGTTCTCTGCCACCCATTCACAATGGGCAGCACAGTTGAAGAACTAGCTTTGAGAGGCGCGTGTGATCAATATAAACATGCTATAATATACCAACAAGCATACGATTCAGGTTCGAGCGGCGAAAATTAGGGCATCCGAGACGTGCACAAGTAGGGAATTTCCCGCAATAGACTCGCAGACCATGCAGATACCGAACGATGACCAGAGTTACATTCGCCGCAGTCTTCCATTGCCGCGTCTGACTGACTACAAGCGCATGTTACATTTCTCGTTGTATTCGCAAGAAGCGGAGGATGCCCAGTCGTCGAGATGAGTGTTCTGAGGGCGGCGTCATGTCTGTGGCAGTGGATCTGTCATCAGCATTGAGATCTTCACGAGTCGACGGAAGTGTGTGGAATTTGATGAGCTGGCTACAACAGGCATTCAACTCTCTCTTCGATATTTGAGCGGAGACGATCGAACCAGAGGATGACAATGACGCGGAGTGGGATTGAAAGTGGAAAGTGGGCGCGCAGGAAAGCGGAAGTAGACGAGGGGTCTTGGCCCAAGCTCAGACGCCAAAATATCGAAGCACGGCGGAACCACTCACAGTCTCTTCGCCTGTCACCAACACGCACGTTCAAAACCCGCATTCACTTCTACGATATCATTTGCCTCAAGTGTCGCCGAAGGCTTGGAGTCGCACGTCTGTTGCCGCTTCACCTCCTTTGGTCAGGCTGCCGCCAGTGAATCGCAGCCTACCGGAGCCTGAGCTCCTTTGTCTCCGTTAAAAAAAGGCTTCGCGCTCCGTGTCGAAGCACCATCTCTTTTCAAGTCGCTCCATACACAGAATATCACCCCCCAGAATGGCCTCAGAGACTTCCGCCGCTCCTATTCCGCAGACAGATGGGGCCAGCGAAGCCAAGAACGGGTCAACCCTTCAAGAGCCGGAGTGGGATGTGGAAGTGAAGCTCGCAGATCTGCAGGCGGACCCGAATAACCCGTTATATTCTGCTAAGAGTTTCGAGGAGCTAGGATTGTGCGTTTCTCTCATATCCTTGCCTTGTTCAATCGCGAATGTGGAGGTTGTGCTAACATTGTTTGACTAGGCCCCCAGATGCTCTAAAGGGCCTGTACTCCATGAACTTTCGAAAGCCTTCCAAGATCCAGGAGCGTGCTCTGCCTCTTCTCCTTGCCGACCCGCCAACGAATTTGATCGGACAATCGCAGTCGGGTACAGGTAAAACTGCCGCCTTCGTGCTCAACCTTCTCAAGCGCGTTGACTTGACCAAAAACTCCCCGCAAGGTCTCGTGCTCGCACCCTCCCGCGAGCTAGCACGCCAAATTGTGGGCGTCATAGAGACTATGGGTGCATTTATGTCCAACCTGAAGGTCGACGTTGCCGTACCCGACCCTACACGCAAAGCTCCTCTCACAGGACACATTGTTGTAGGCACGCCTGGCACAGTCATGGATCTGGTTCGCAAGCGCATGCTCAACCCGTCAACAGTGAAGGTCCTTGTGCTCGACGAGGCGGACAACATGCTTGACCAACAAGGACTGGGCGATCAGTGCAAGCGCGTACGTGCACTGATGCCAAAAAATATCCAGGTCACCCTTTTCTCTGCCACTTTCCCCGATCAGGTGCTCGCCTTTGCCCAGACCTTCGCGCCAAACGCCAACCAGCTCACGCTCAAGCATGAAGAACTCACAGTGGAGGGCATCAAGCAATTCTTCTTTGACTGCGACTCCGAAGAAACAAAATACAACACGCTCGTCCAATTCTACGGCCTTCTCACCATTTCATCGTCCATCATTTTTTGCAAGGCAAGCTCTTTCCATCACCACTTTATTTCCAGGGGCGAATTCGCTGACTTCAGCTGTAGCGCCGAGATACTGCCCAAGAAATTGAGCGCCGAATGATCGCTGACGGCCACCAAGTGGCTCACCTTTCTGGTGCCCTCGAGGGGGCCGATCGTGACAACACGATCGATCGCTTCCGTTCTGGCGCAGCGAAAGTACTCATAACCACAAACGTCCTAGCCCGTGGTATCGATGTATCCTCGGTCACCATGGTTGTCAACTACGACATTCCCGAGGGTCGAAACGGACAGGCTGATCCAGAGACTTACTTGCACCGCATTGGCCGTACTGGACGCTTCGGCAAGGTCGGCGTTGCGGTCAGCTTTATTAGTGATAGACGTGGGTGGGAGCAGCTAAACGAGATCTCATCACATTTCAAGTGTGCAATTGAGCCTCTTCCAACCGACGACTGGGACAAGGTCGAGGAGATCGTTAAGAAGGTCATTAAAAGTAATAGGGCAGGAAAGACGACAAAGGAAATGCAAAGCGAGGGCGATGCAATGATTGATGGTGCCGCAGCATAGGACGTCCTTTTGGGTCTTGAAGGAAAGAGCCTGGAATTTGGACACGATGAGATTGATGACGGTTCTAAGCACCACGAACCTTAGAGTCATTGTGAGGAATCAGGTATTCGAACTGAAGGAACGACGGAACGTGTTTGTATGTGCAAACGAGGGCTCGGAACTCTTCTCCATTTCATGGACGTGCTGTGCATGCATATCTTGATGGATTTCAGCAGCGAGTTCTTGTCACGCATTTAGCCGCGGGGACGGGCGCATCACAAAAACGAAGCTTTAGATATCCCCTGACTCAGTCGAATTCAAGAAATAATCTCATCCAGAACCTGTCTATCACCATATGTTGGATTTGGCGCAGAGGTTCACTCGTCAAGCGTTGCGCTTAGAACATCCAGCTGGCAAGCGAAGGCAATTGCTCAGGAGTCGATTGCCTGTACGTCTGATACATCTGCACGTGAAATGTGCGCCGACTCAACTAATACTTGAACACCAGACAGTAATGGCATTCGCTCCATAGCGATAGTCCTTATAGGGATGGCGTAGGCATCACTCAACTTTCGCGACTCTCAAGGCTAAATCTGCAAGGAAGATTTGAGTGAATTTTTTGAACGCGCAAGTCTCTCACAATGCCTTATCAGCATTCCCACTTCATTGAGTTCACGAGCGTTGCGACTTAGATCGATGAGAGGAAGATGAATAACTATTTATGGTATTCTTCTATCACTGCGGGCTAGACTAGTCCAGCACGAGCATACTCGCTGGCTAGATATTCCGCGCTGAAGGGATAATCCACGTAGCCTACCGGCGATTTGCGCGTGTAGAACGTCTCTCGTTTATATGCCGTCAGTTGCATACCCTCTCTTATCCGGTACACCAGATCCGGATTCGCAATAAACAGTCTGCCGAAAATGACGACAATGTCTTTCTCCGGGTAGTCCTCGTTAACAAGTTTCTGCGCTTCCGCCACGCTGTATCCTCCCGCAACGAGGACAGGCCCGGCCCACAGCCGATACGCGAAGTCCAGCCGTTCACAGCCTTCGCTGTCCTCGGCTCCAGACATCCTTGACTCGACGAGATGGAGGTAGGCTAGGTTCAGCTTATCGGCCCTGAGAATGACATCCGTGAACTGCGGGATCGGATTCTTCATCCTCATGCCTTGAAAGGAGCTCCACGGACTCAGACGCAGGCCGACACGTTGCGCACCAACAGCGTCCACCATCGCTTTCATAACCTCTTCAACAAAGCGTGACCGATTGGGTATGCTGCCGCCGTATTCATCGTGGCGCTTGTTGCTCGTATCTTGGATGAATTGATCGATCAGATAGCCGTTGGCGCCGTGGCACTCGACTGCATCGAATCCCGCCTTGATCGCGTTCCTCGCGGCGGTTGCGAAGTCTTCAACTGTCTCTCTGATCTCAGAGACTGTCATCTCTCGGGGCACGGGGGAGGCTTCATCAATGGGAATTGCGCTAGGACCAATAACTTCAACGCTCTCTTTCGCTGATGTCTCCGCGTCCGCGGCACGGCCCATTGCGAATAGCTGACAGACGATGAAGCAACCTTTTCGGTGAACCTCATCCGTGATCGTTTTCCAGGCCTTGACCTGCTCCTCGCTCCAGATGCCTGGTGCGTTGACGAAGCCACCACAGGCCGAAGGTGACACGCACGTACCCTCCGTGATGATCAAAGTGCCAGGTACAGCAGCTCGCTGACCGTAGTATTCCTTCATCAATGGCGTCGGCACGCGATCGTCTGTCGCTCGCAATCGAGTGAGAGGCGCCATCCCTATGCGGTGCTTCACGTCCATGTTGCCAATTTTCAGAGGTCGAAAAAGGCGAGATGTGGACATGACGAGCGAACAGGGAACGTGAGAAAATAGCTCTAGCTGTCTCGAAAATAACTAGTCGTAGTTGCAATATCTAGATGGAATGAACACTGTGGAATTTCCCTTTCGCCAACTTGAATATATATTCGCAAGAAATCTGTGACACGCTTATAGATTCACACATCTTTGTTACACCAGGCGAATTCTAACACGCGGACTGAGGTGCTTCCACGTTTGGAACAGAGGTACTTCAGTTGTCGGCTTCAAAAGCTTTGACCGGACTGTTCAGATAGAGATCTTTCCTGAAAGGGAAACCAGGTAATTCCCATTTGAGACTCGGCTTGTCACTATTTTAGCGAGAGCGGGTCGCAATTATGTTGGACCATAATTCGTGATTTATAATCTAGTTCTGCATCACGTGATACTAGCATGCTTCTACGTGTTCGTCTCACTCTTGCACTCCCAGACACAGTGAGAAAGTATCCTATCATAGAGCTGATCCGGTCGTTTGGTAGCTGGTTGACGCCGATGGACGTAGGATCAGGGAGCCGCGGGTTTTCAGACGCAGAAGGCGACGATTCAAAGGGTAGGCGTCGCGGAGATGGGGAGTTGTCGCTTGTTCTATTCTTACTTTTTCCTTTCTTTTGGTTACTAACTCCGGTCGCCAGGCGGGAGTCTGCATTTCGTAGCAGTTCAATTTCCAAACGGGCCTTGCGACAAAGCCGCGAGGCGTCGTGCAAAGTCACATGCGGTCCGGCAAGCCATCGAAAAGAAGCGGAAGCTGCAGCAGGAACTGCGAACGAATTTCTGTGCGATGATGCATGAAGACACAACTGGCTTCTCAAAGAAGAAAGCATCCACTCTCCAGATGCTGCCTCCGTCACTGTATCCCTTATTCCTTGGCGTTCTAGATCCCTTTCAGATGCTTCCTGTTGACACGCGCCGGTTGCAAGAACTGCTAGTAAACCGTGAGTCGTACCGCGTGTAGTTAGTTAGAAGGCTAAGTCGTGGTAATTTAGATAGGGCAAGACACGCTCCAGAGCCTGTTTTCAGCGTCAAGGAAGAGCTCGCGTTTCAAAGGTTTAGCTCCGTATTCCCGGCGGGATCGGCTGATCCTGCTTTGCTAAATGCTGTAATGCTTTCTCTTGCCGTTGCCGAGACGGAAGGGTCCATTGATCGGGAATGTCTAAACTATCAAGGGAAAACGCTCGCCTGCATCCGTGAAAATATCACGTCTCCAGAGCAAGCTACGTCCGAGGCGACGATTGGGGCCATCTTGCTCCTGGCTGGAGTAGAGGTGAGTACTGTCTATATGGCTGACAACCGTCCACTTCGGCTTGGCCTGCATCTTTGACGCCTGTTAATTAGGCTCGCCTCGGGAGGGTCTCCCAGGTTCAACTTCATATGAATGCCGTCAAGCAGGTCCTCGACTTGAGCAGATCTCGACGAATTCATCTCACCGCCGGCATAAAGCGTGCCATATTCTGGTGAGCAAAGGTATAATTTCATTTCGTGGCCTGTAATCACAATGGACTGTAGGCAAGACCTGAACTCGTCTGTCATCGCGGGCTCTACGCGTATTGTGTCGCACACCACATTTGCCGAGTTGCACTGGAGCCGCGACCCTTTCTCACCTACATTCTTCCAACTTCCTCCGGGATTTGGAAAACGATCCTACATGTTTTCTGAACCGTTCATCGAGGTGATCGAGGACATCCACGGACTGCAGTGCATTCGCGACGTGGCCCGGTTTACTCAGTGTGACGTAACTCAAATGGCGTTTCTAAACAACCACATTGCATCGATACACTCGCGGCTTATGATGCTGTCGGGGCTGGGCCAGGTCACGGAGTGCTGTCGGCTTGCAGCATATCTGTGCTCTGCCATGTTGTGTTGCACAGTTTGGTGTGCTTTGGTGATTCCTGTGAGTTGCATCCTCAAGGTTGACTCACACGTGCCTAGGCTGAACGTAGGGGTACAGCCTCACATTTCTAGACAACTTCTTTATCAACTTCGAGAGTCACGCTCCAATCCTTTGTGGGACGAGCACAAGGATCTCCTAGTCTGGTTGCTGTATACTGGTGGGGCGCTCTCTCCAGAAGACGTTGCTCGTTCGGAATACGTCGAGCTGCTGCGGGAAAACAACGTATCTAGGTTTGGTGGCCAATTCGAATCTTGGCCAGAGCTGCTTCAAACTCTCGAGCAATTTATATGGCCAAAAGAAGCATTCACTTCGCGGGTGCGGGAGCTGTGGACGGCTGTATATGCATAGCTTCCTGTTTCCTTCGTCCTGAGCCCACACGACTGCGTCGTCCACGTATTTGGAGTTCATGACATTCGATTCGCCTACGTGTAATATAGAATCATGCATTGTAAAGACTTCGCTGAAAGGCTTGTCGCAACGAGACGGCATGAGCATCGTCAGTCGTAGGCACTGCCAAGTAATCTTACTCCAATGACAGGTTCGTACACTAAAAGTCGACGAACTGAGTGCACTCCGAGGCGGACGCTTCTTGCAGGCCCTTCCTCGCGTCTCAGGCAATTAGATGATGAGTGCGCGAGCGAAGAAGACGAGCGTGAGCTACTCCGTACAGACGGTTGGCCTGGAGTTGCCCCACAGTTCGGCCACACAGCCACCCGAGATGGCGGCGGCCGCTGGCGTCAGATCGGCTGAGGACCGTAGGACATCCCACTAATGACTGGCATTATTCACTCACCTGCAGCCCATGCGAACGACCAAGGACATGCAACGCTCGATCCAGATGCGGAACTAAATGCCAGATATCCACATTACCTACCTGCTCCGCCTATGACTTCTTTCTCTGTGGCTGTCTACTCACCCCGGACTTCGCATACCTGCCGCGCTCCATCATGACCGAAGTAGAGGTAGCGCACTTTGGCGCGGAGCTGAAAGTGCGTGTCTTGATCACCCGGTGTATCCGGCGTGCACCATAGCTGGAAGCATAGCTAACCACCGTGGCAAGCATAGGATGGATTCAAGCCCGTGAACGCCTGGGTACGTTACGCGTGCTCGAGGAGGGCGGAAAAAAAGCACAAGGCGGGCTAACAGTGGAGTCGGTCGTAGGTGTCGCAGGGCATTGCGTTCCTAGACGATGTGCAACAGTTCTACCGCGAGCGCAGCGCCATCGAGTCCGAATACGCCAGCAAGCTGCAGGCACTCGCGCGGAAGTATTTCGAACGCAAGGCGAAGAAGAGCGCTGCGCTAAGCGTAGGAGAGAACCCGCTGGTTACGCCGGGCTCCCTGGAGAGGTATATCGATACATGCCTATGCGTTCACGACTCGAGCTGCGCAGAATGGGTTCAGAGTGCTGACCTATGTGGGAAACAGTGCGTCAATGTCTACTTGGGCAACCCAGCTCACAACCCTCGAGCAACGTGCCGCAGAACACGACAAGTTCTCTAAACAGTTGATCGGAAGCCTCGCCGAACCCCTCAAGCACCTTGCCACACGCTACGAGGAGCTGCGGAAACTCCACGCCGACTACGCCGCCAGGCTTGAGAAGGAACGAGACAATTCATACGCAGACTTGCGCAAGATGAAGGGGCGCTACGACAGCGTATGCCAGGATGTTGAGAAGCAGCGCAAGAAGGTAGACGGCGCTTTCGACATGAGCAAGGGCAAGGCGCAGGCTTCGTACAATCAGCATACCGCGGAGATGAACAACGTCAAGAACACCTATATCATTTGCATCAACGTGACCAATAAGCAGAAGGAGCGATACTACCACGTATACGTGCCGGAGCTGCTGGATTCGTTGCAAGATCTCAACGAGACAAGGGTAGCGAGCTTGAACAACATATGGTTACGGGCAGCTAGTCTGGAGAAGCAGATGCTCACGACCAGCATAGGCTATGTGGATCATCTCGCGGCCGAGATACCGCGAAACAATCCGTCCTTAGACTCTCTGATGTTTGCTCGACACAATGCAATGGCGCAGTGGCCAGAACCACCAGACATGGTGTTCGAACCGTCTCCCGTCTGGCTGGACGACGATGTGCTTGCTTCAGACGAACAGGCCAAAAACTTTTTGCGTAACGTTCTCACCAAGAGCAAGGGCCAGCTTGCGCAACTCAAGCGCGAGGCAGAAGCAAAGCGTAGAGAGGTTGAGGGTGCTCGACGTGTTAGACAGAACATACGCGCTGGCACCGACAAACGCGACGAGGTCGAGATTGTAAGGCAGATCTTCGACCTGCAGACGTCTCTGCACGAAACTGAGCGTCAGCGCGTTAGTGCGGAAGTTGAAATCAGCACAATCACGTCTGCAGTGGGGGACGTCTCGATAGGTGCACGTAACCACAACTTCAAATCTGAGACTTTTAAGATCCCCACGAATTGCGATCTGTGCGGCGACCGCATCTGGGGCATCAACGCCAAAGGCTTCATTTGTCGCGACTGTGGCTTCACATGTCACTCGAAGTGCGAAATGAAATGCCCTGCAGACTGCCCGGGAGAGCTAGGAAAGGAGGAGAAGAAAAAGATAAAGGCAGAGCGACAAGAAGCCGCGAAACACAGTGCCGTCAGCGCGAACGGAACATCTGCGAACGGGAGTTCCACAGACTTGAGCGCGGGCACACCAGCAAGAACCAGTCTGCACAGGAGCGATACGATGAACACGTTGAGTTCGGGTTACTCTGCTACGGCTCACAGAAGCGTGAGTGGCACGCAAAGCATCAGTGCCGCGACAGATGCGGATGAGACGGCCGCCGCTCCGGCCAAAAGGAGCTCTACATCCGCAGTGGCTGGAGGCAGGAGGAATCGTATTGTCGCTCCTCCACCAGCGCAGTATATTACTGCAGATCCGGAACCTCAGTCCGACGTTGGTGGCGGGGCTGCAGGCTCGAACGAGCCAAGGGGTAAGATGATGTACCCTTACACAGCGGGTGGAGAAGGCGAAATCAGTGTAATGGAAGGGCAAGAGGTTGTCATAGTTGAAGCGGATGGTACGTATCTGAATTTTATTCTCCAGCTCACCGAGATACTGATTTGTTACATGCACAGACGGTTCTGGCTGGCTCCGAGTCCGCGCTGGTGGAGAAATTGGTCTCGTGCCTGCCAGCTATGTTGAAAACCTTCCTCCTCCAGTGAACACGTCTACTCGGCCTGCTTCAACTTATAGCAACTCTTCTTCACATACGGCATCTTCGTCCACCGCTGCCGCTGCAGCTGCGGGCAGAAAGAAAGGACCGGCGGTAGCTCCACGTCGGGGCGCGAAACGTGTCAAGTATGTTGAGGCGATGTACGATTACGAAGCGAGAACAGATGCGGAGCACTCGATGAAGGAAGGAGATCGGTTCGTGCTTGTTAGCAAGGACAGCGGTGACGGTTGGTGCGAGGTAGAGAGGGGAGGCGTGACAAAGAGCGTGCCAGCAAACTACGTACAGGAAGTTTGATTGATTCAGAGGACGGAGCCCGAAGTATAACATGATGAGCTCGTGAGATAGAAGGAAGGGTTGAGTCTTATGGAATGGAGAAAACTCCTGTCTTGGATAGTCGAACCACAATCGGACGGCAGAAGCATTCTTGGAGGCACTATTTTTAGAGCGAGTAGCAAGAAGAATCGAAAAAACCTGCTATCTGCAATAGCTGATCGCGGTACTCGTGGCGACTTTGAAGTCGGAACAAACATGACATGGAGTTCGTCTCCAGCTCAGCGTACAGCTCACGATGTGTATTTGGGACGCCTCAACGGCGCGTGACGGTCTTCTCTTATGCGCATGCTCCCTAAGGCTGGTACAAAGAAATCTGCAACCTTCAATAAATTTGCCTTTTCAAACGCGTCATCAAAATGCGCATAGAAATCATGTCTCTTTCACGAATCTCCAATCGTGGAAGCACATTTCTTCACTGTAGGAATAGTCTTGGCTCCCCGACAATGCCACTCGACCTTTTGGATGTTTCCCTCAAGACTGTCTGTTATGTACAGCGTCTTGTTCCCTGGACCTCCAAAACAGCAATTCGTCAAGTTGATGCCAACGCTGCCGCTGACTATTCTCGCCTTCGGCACACCGATGGTGTCGACAACGAAAACTGAACCCAGGCTTGGATGGCAGACGAACAAGTTGCCCTCCTCATCGAGCGCGAGACCTTCCGGCCCGGCATTTCCAAAGGACTGGAAAAATACGCCCACTTTCGTCGTCGTACCGTCGTCGTGAAGTGGCAGCCGCCACACCTGGCTTGAGCGGGTCATCGCTACGTACAGGAACTTCTCGTCGAGCAAAAGAACGAGTCCGTTTGGCGATATGCCGTTCTCAACGAGCGTGTCTAGCTTGCCGTCCGGGTGGATACGGTACACCTTACCCGTCTGATCGGTCATGCCCGTCTGGCCTTGGTCGGTGAAGTAGATGTTGCCTCGCGAGTCCACGATCAGGTCATTTGGGCCTTTGAAGCGCTCCAGATGTCGCCTGGTGAGCTTCGGCGAGACCTTGCTCGCGCTGGGGTCGAATTCCAAAAGCCCCTTTACCAGCTCGTGTCAGTGCTGATATGGGTCAGTCCGTGAGCACATGGATGTACCTGTTAGTAGTCCGCAATCAACAAGTTCCCTTCGGGAGTGATGGCAAGGCCATTGGGCTCCCCATCCCATTCGGCACACACCGACACCCTCTTCTCAGCGTCGACCCTGAGGATTCTGCCATATGGCACATCGACGACAAAAAGGTTGCCTTCAGAGTCTGCCACGGGTCCTTCAAGGAAAATATGCTGGAACTTGCGCGCAAACCCTCCTCTCCACTCGGAATCCCTGCCGCTGCATCTGATCTCGTCCGGTATGCGAACACAGATCTCGGCCTGGATCGTTGGTGGTGTGGGATAAAAATTCATCCCTTGGTCAGTGTTGCGTCCATTCCTCAACGGCGAGAGGATGTTGCTCAGTGAATTAGAATACTTGTCTACACGAGACACATGGTTTCAATTTGCGTTGAGCGTCTACGTCAATATGTTCCGAGTCATTAATTCCGGTCGTCTGTCTGAGAAGGGAAGCTTTCCGCTTGTCTTGTGAGCAAATGGCGAACCACACAAGGACAGATGAGCGTCGGTCACGCTCCGGCGAGAGAAGTTAAGCCTCGCCTTGGCGGCGAAGTCGTCGCTCCTTGGTGCAAGACTTGGGGAGGCAACTCACTCGCGATGCTAGCATTTGCTCTAGTTCATCGCTGAAAATCTTTGGTACGGCACCCTGAAATTCGGTGTCCCAACAATTTGATGTGATCGGTGCCAGGGTATGCACAAATAGTACAGACAATCATAAACTGTAGAATAAGATTTCTCTCTTGAGCAGGGTCGATGTCGGGAGTTTTGGTTGAATTCACATAGCCTAGCATGGTTTAGCTCACTTGGAGTATATTCTGCGTCTAGTTACACAGCAAGCCTTTGGTTCCGGTATCAATCCCATTCAATCCAGAACCAGGTGCTTCAGTGTGCCATTGGCGCCTAGGAAGTTCAGGTACAGCAGCTTCTTGTCGTGAAGAAACATCGTGGTAACAAATGGTATGTCGAAGAAGTCAAGCAATGCCTGTATACGTTGCGCTGTCGTCCGTCAGTGTGGACAAGAACGCGTTTCTTCGCACCACTCACTGTTCAGCTCCCTGATTTCCTCGCCTGTTTTAGGTACCTCAAAGGGCGGGGACCTCTTTGAGGCCATCGACGCGAGAGGAGTCTTAACAGATGTGATTGTAGAATTAAACGCTCGCGCTTGACTTCGTTCTCTGAATTTATCAGTTCAACTCGACACAAAGCTTGCGTAACCTAGACGCATACTTCTCAATCTCTTCATCCTTTGCATACTTAATTTTTTCTGCCATGTCCCTCAGCAGAAACTCCACAGCTGTCATAGCTTGATTTATCCCATACGATGCCATGTCCACATTGGGGGACAAGGACTGTACATACGTGTGCACGGCTGGCGGAATGATTGTTCGGTTCTGCTTTTGTCGCTTAATCTTGCGGCTACGATCAGGAGACATGTCACGGGTGCGACGGAGCAAACTCAAGCGCACTTCTGGATCGAGAGACTGAGGGCGCGAGGCTGTTGGAATAAACTCTTGCTGCACTGTCGTCGAGGCAGTTTGACAAGGTGGAGATGTAACTGGATGTGAACGCGGTGCACTTGTTTGTATGGGATCGTCAGGGAACCTTCTGTTAATTCTGTTACTGAATACCACGTTCTGGTTAGGTAGAGAAGAGACGCTCTGGCCAAAAGGCCTTTGGGAATATCGGCCTTGCGAAATGTTTCTGCCAGTACATGTGGGTCGTTGAAAGTACGTGCCTGAGTCAAACTCCGGAGGCACTGTCTGAGACCGTCGTCTGTTGTATGCCATTTCCGGTAACTGAAGGTGAGAAGTAGATTCTGGAGTGACTGAATGAAATAATTTTTGCTGGATTTGCGTGATAGTGCCTGGCATCCCATTCAGTTGCTGGTTAGGCTGCAGAAACGGGCCGTCAAGCTGCGGAAAGCCGCCCACGTCTTCCAATTCCGTTTCTATATAGCTTTTTTCTTCAAAGATAGCCTCAATACCTGTTGGGATGTACATGGTCGTGTCAATTGAGCCATCTTTCATACCACTCTCTGAAAAGATAGCTGTGACCGAACTAGACTGGGTTTCATCGCAGCCGCTCAAAGATGTTGTAACAGCGGTGGTTGAATGACCTCTGTCATTCTGATCCCCACTGGTTGCAACCGATGCTGCAGCTTCTATTTCATCTTCAATTGATTTTAGAGGCTGGTCTTTCTCAATCTTGGTCTCAGAAGTGTTGTACGAGCCATCTTTGAAGGCGTCCTCTCCAAAGAACACGTTGTAGTTGAAAGTAGCCGTGTCTGAGCTCGTTAAAGGGCTGGTCACGTTTTCAGAGCTCGTCTGCAATGCCTGTGTCGTTACTTCGTCGGCGAATCCGTAGTGTTTTCCAAGGCCGAAGGAGGCATCGTTGAAGGCAAAGGAGTCCATTTCATCTTGTAAGACTGCACAGCTATGGCCGTGATTTTGTATGACAAGCTGGTAGGGCGTTTATCCGCAACGCGTCGCGAAATATTGATTGTTTTATGTGGCTAAGTAAGGTGAAGCCTGTGTTATTCTAAAGCAATGTTGTACAAACCTGATGCTCGGATTGGGTCACAGTCTTTTGCCGGCTAACGCGGACATGACTGTCCACTTATATTTCGCAGGAAGTTTCGGATCAGGATAGGCACGGCAGGATGATTGCTCGATGTTTGAGGTGACGAATAGAGCTCACTACGCACCATGCGTTTGCTCGGCAAGTATCTTGACAGCGCTTAACCTAGTTGATCCGTTTGAAGGCACGGTGTTCGTGTTCAGCATAAAAGCCTGCACCATTGTTGAAACACCGAAAACAGCACTCGGTAGAAAGGGAAAATGTTAATGAGAAAGTAATTTCGATCGCATCTCATGCGAAGCGCTTACGGATGGAAGGCCATGATGATGAACCAATTAGAATATTGACAACAGAGCAAGCAGGTACCCGCTTACGTTAGGTTTCTGCAAATTGGCTTGTTACATACACGCAAATGGTCCACTGTTTAGACCGCTTCTTTCGTTCTAAATTGCTGTGCGCCAACGTTGTAAATGTATTGATTGCGGTACAGGTATCGAGATGGAGCAACGGTTCTGAGCGAGGATCGGCTTGTGGATTCCGTCCGCCTGAAGATCCAAACAAACAGATTCGCAATCGATAAAGCTGACTATTCAAACCCACGGTGATGTGTCAGAGTCAGCAGCTTGGTTGGCGAAGATTTGCAGGTCCACGCGTAGCAAGGATTGAGCCGTCTCCAACGAAGATGAGGGTATGGGACATTTGCTAAATCATGCGCTACTGCGGTGGATGGCAAAAAGAGCATCAAAGCCATTTACGCTTCAACAGCGCTTCTTCGCTAGAGCGTGTGCTACCCCTTAGATCGCCTACGCGTTTTCAAATCGAAGTGCGTATGTACTACCTCCAGTCCCCGTCAACCTCGCGGCACGTCGGGCAGCGGCTTATCAGGTAAAGGCCTCTCCGGTAGGTCCTTCCACACATCTGCGCTTCGTCTGATGTCCAGGCTGCTTTCTCCGTCATGAAATCCCTCGTCAACGTCATAATCCATCGCCTTGCCCTTCCCACGACCATGAAGCGCGCTAGGTGTGTCATCTACATCTAGCTCTTCATCCTCGTCTCTATATCCGTCTTCCTCCGGCCTGTGCAGTCTCAAAGTCGGTATCCTCCGGTATGCGCCGCGTCGTCTGCCAAACAGGGACTGGGTGCTGTTGTGCTTATACTGCCGCCAAGCGCCCGTGATTACGCGGTAGAGTATCCAGCTCAGCACTGCCGCGAACAGAAATGCCAGAATACGCGCGAATGTGATCAGCGTTCCGCCTTCTTCACCGGCTGCGCCCTCAGGCTCAGATGAGAAAGGGTCGTCTCGCTTAAAGAGAGTCATTTGTGCTGAGCAAAAGTCGAGGTTTTGGAAGAGATTCTGAATAAACAACAGTAAGACATGTATGTACAAGAAGCAAAAGGAGGGAAATGCTACGATTGCATTGTGGCGGGGGGTTTTTGTCGCACTGATGTTGTTGACACCGCGAGAGCTGCTGCGGTAAGATGACGACGTCCGAGCCAACAGAATGTAGAAAGGGGTTATGTGTTTTGCCTTGTTGCCTTACCACCATCAGCACCGCAGCATCGGTGACACCGCAACGTCCTCTCGAACTGATGATCACGACAAAACCGTTCCCTTCCGCCTTAAATGCGGCCTACAATTGATATTTGAGAATCTAGCTCCCACGGATCCATTTACTTCAGAGTGACTCTTTGATCCATAAGCTGCTCATGGAGATACGAGCAAAGGGAAATGCGAACTCAGATGTGAAATAAAACAAATCAGTGCAATATCAAAATCACCTTGCCAACCGCACACAGTATGACTTTTCTTAGTTCCATCGAATCGCTGTCTAAAAGTGTGCTTCGTAAATTGTTAGTCGATATTCTGCAGAGAGGCGAGAATAATCCAGGGAAAAAAAGGGAAATAACAAAAAAAGTTGTCCCCCAACTTCTGATCAGGCGGTCTCTGTACTCGGTTCGGTTCGAACATGCGTTTTAAGCCTTGCGCGAGAGGCGGCCTTGATCCCGTATCGACATGGTGACTGCTCAAGTTGGACGCTTACGCTTAGCACCGGCTAGCATTGCTGATCGGATTGCCAACTGAGGTGTGCACCACCCGCTCCGCACGATGGCAGCCTTTTGCACCATTTCTGATTATGTAGTCTCAAATCGGGGGTTCGAGTCTCAACTCGCGCGGTGGAATTCAAGTCTGGTTTTGTTGTCTACGCGATGGCAGTCGCTTGTCGGCGCGTTGCTCGCGAATCGCCATTCTGGCTACTTCGCCATTCCACCATTATTTTTTGTAATTGCTCAAAGATTCCACCTTTCAAAGTCTTGAAAGGCACATCGGATCACGCTACGCTGCGCTACCACTCTATCCCTATGCTTTTGCTGTGGGTTCATGCTCAGCTGCTTCATAGTCACGACACGTAAATGCTAGCACCTACAGCACTGTAATAATTGACACGCTTCTTTCGTGACCACAGCTCTTTGGATGTCATGAAGCAGCTTCGCTATGCCCCCACGCATTGAAACAGCCTAAGGAGATCATAAACCCTCCATTTCTTCGCCAAAAGACCTCAGGGAAACGAAGCACGTATCCGAACACTGCAGCTACGGAACCATTCACGGTCGCTCGCATTACCAAAGACCAACTCGTCGCAGTCATCCAAAACGTTCATCTCAAGCCCTTGCCGAAGCCATCTCAGCACCCATAAGAACGCTCTGTACCTACTCCCGCCTCTCCGTCCCTAACCAGTCCCCGATTGGCAATCCAAACGGACAGACTTGAGGCTGGCGGCGAAGCACAAAGTCCCTAGAACGGGTCGTTCGCGTACCACCCACGAGGCGTAAACAGGAACGCTGAGAGCGATACGGTGCTACGCCTCCGCTTTCGCCTCCGCCGGCCTCGCCGCGGTTTCAAAACGTCGCCGCAACAAGGCGTATTTCCAGTTCAGGGGGGGGGGGG